AGTGTCCCAGAAACAGTTGTGGATTGAATGACCAAATTATTATTATTAATTTTTGAAGGGGTTATTACCCCCAGAAATGCAATCCTCCATTCGACTAACAATTGAATTCCTTCTCACTGCTAGGTTAAAACGAGGCATGTGGAGTAAGGAAATTTGCACAACGTTTTGCCCCATATGGGAATCAAACCTGAGTCCTCTCGCATGCGAGGCGAGTACTCTAACCAATACTCTACAGGATTATTTATGCAGTATCTTAGAGCACCTAGAATTTGACGAATTGTTGAATTGTCTTAATGTTGAAGTTGGATTTCTGCAGTTCTTGAAAGAAAATTGACTACATAAATAAAGGTGAAATCGCCCCCCCCACACACACACAAACACTACATAGATTGCCAAAATGACCCAAAATGAGCTGAGATGTATGTGCATGTATGTACAGAAGAGCAAAATTAAGGGATGGGACGATTGGCTGTAAGGGGAAGGGAATTTCTCCTGGTGTCCTGCCCAACAATTTTCCAGATAAAATTAGTCATTTGCTTAATGCGTCTTTGCAGGATGTTTCACCCACAAATGTACAGTCAATTCACTTTACAGTATATTTTGTGAAATGCTTTGAGATGTCTCGAATGCAAGGAATATTATTATGTTGCAGTGCAAATTGAGTGCTGTGTCTGCCTTCAAATACGCAGTCACTACACTTCACAGCAATTACCTGTGCAGCGATTTAAGACGTTTCAATGTTATAGGCAAGATATTAAATGCAGGGATTATTACTGTTAAAATCTACACACTCTGCAAACTTAGACTTTTCATTTCACGCTTTTCTTTTCCAGTCAGTGATGATACAGAGAGCAGGGACTTGGCTGCAGAGACCTGATGTAACAGAATAATCAGGGCTGGACAGATAGGGAGAGGTGCATTTCCAATGCACTTTCTGGCTCAGAGCTTTACTATAAGGAGCCATTAACAAACCAATATTTTAATTGGAATTTACCATGGTATAATTCACCTGTGTCTGGTAGGTCAATAGGCTCCTGCCAGCCACACACTTGTGGGGATGTCCTGTTTTATGAACATATTGTGGCACAACATCATACCTGTGATGTGTTAAACTTCTCTAGAGAGTTTGCTCCTGGATCAGATGCTGTGTTTTGAGGGTTTGAGCCAATAGAGATGAGAGATCCAGCTCATAGTTGGCTCAAGTTCATTTGTGGAAAATAGAAACGTAATATCTCATGGTCCAATGACCTGTCACAAGAGACCTGCTCGGCAATGAAAGTGAGCCTGCCCCTTAGCACAGTAACCTGGCTGGTATGAAGTCTCAGTTGCTAGGTTAGCTTGCTAATGTACCAGCTACTGGGGATATAAGCTAAAGATAAGTCCTGTATTACATTGGGTGCTCTTACCAGTGTTTATAGCCATTTTTGATATTCTGAACATCTGTGATCAGGGCTCCCTCTGCCTCCTTGTCCTCCTCGACCTCTCTGCTGCCTTCGACACTGTCAACCACTCCATCCTCATACACTGCCTCTCCTCTTTACTTAATCTTTGCGGACCAGCCCTTGCCTGGTTCGAATCCTATCTCTCTTACCATCTCCATTTTGTTACCTCTAACAGTTTCTCCTCCAGCCCCCGCACTGTCACGTCTGGTGTCCCCCAGGGCTCTGTCCTCGTCTCCTCTTTACTATCTACATGTTCCCCCTTGGTGACATCATCCGCAGACATGGGGTCAACTTCCATATGAATTCGGATGACACCCAACTCTATCTTTCTGCCCCCACCCTCAACTCCAGGACCACTGCTGTCCTGACAGACTGTCTGTCGGACATCAAGTCCTGGATGAGGGCAAATTTCCTACAGTTGAATGTGAACAAGACTGAGGCCCTCCTGATTGGCTCACGCCAGCGCCTCCGCACCTCAGGCTCTGGCACCATCGACCTCCATGGTTGCACACTACAACTCACCAACTCACCAGCCAGTCAGGAACCGAGGTGTCTTGTTCAACCCTCAACTGTCTTTTCTCCCCCACATTCAAGCCATGACCCGCTCTGAACTTCCCACACCTCCGTGACATCGCCCGACTCCACCACTACCTCACCCTTCAGGCCGCTGAAACTCTTGTCCTTGCCTTCATCACCTCCAGGCTCGACTATGCAAATGCCCTGCTTGTCGGCCTTCCCGACTCCTCACTCCACAGACTGCAGATAATCCAGAATTCTGCAGCCCGTGTCCTCTCCCGCACCAAACTCCGTGACCCCATCCCCCCATTGGTTCCCTATCCTTCAGAGGATCCAGTTCAAGATGCTGGTCCTCACCTACAAAGCCCTCCATGGCCTCACTCCACCCTACTTCTGCGACTTCCTAACCCCCTACAACCCACCCGCTCTCCTCGCTCAGCCGGCTCTGGCTGCTCCATGTCCCCCGACTCACCCACCCCACCATTGGCAGGAGAGCCTTCAGCCACTCTGCCCCCAACTCTGGAATTCCATCCCTCAGTCACTCCGCCTCGCCCCCTCCTTAGCCTCCTTCAAGTCCCGCCTCAAAACCTTCTGGACCAGGCCATCGGTCATCTCCCTTCCCCTCCCTCCCTTTTCCCTCCCTGACCCCAGCTCGGGGCTGAAATGCTGTACTCTGTCCAGTGCCTTGGGATGTCCTCCTGACGTGAAAGGTGCTATACAAATGTAATCTTGTTGTTTTTTATATGATAATATTTGTTGCATTTCCAGGCAGGGCGAAACCTTGGGCAAGTTTCCTTACTCCACACAGAGCCTAATAATAATCCTTCAAAACAAAAACAATAATAAATTGGTCATTTTCAATGCACGGCTGTTTGTGGGACATTGCTGTGCGCAATTGGCTGCCGCGTTCGCCCACAAATATACAGTCAATTCACTTTGCAGTATATTCTGTGAAGCGCTTTGGGACATCTAGAAGACGTGAAAAGCGCTATATCAAATGCAAGGATTATTATTATTTGATGTAGCACCTTATCAATTCAAAACGCTTCGCAGAGTATACAGTAAAGTACATCAACTGTATACTTTTGTGGGCGAAAGGCGGCAGGCAATTGCGCACAGCAGTGTCCCACAAACAGTTGTGGATTGAGTGACCAGATTTTTTTAAAAGGGATTATTACCCTCAGAAAGCGATCCACCAATAGACTAGCAACCCGATTCCTACTTACGCTAGGTAAACAAAGGCGGATTTGTGGAGTAAGGAAACTTGCCTACGGTTTTGCTCTGACTGGGAATGAAACCCAGGTCCTCTCCTATGGGTTTATATCTTACGGGTTTGAAGTTATTTTTAATCCAGAAGTCCATTGGAAACGATTTTAAAACCAAATGCCAGAGCGTCCCAACCAGTGCCCAGATCTTAAAATCTCCGTAATAACCACACATATGTCACTCTTAATGTTTGAAAGAATGAATCCTCTGGGCTGACTCTCAAGAGGACGGTTGGACACACACTGCACTTTTTGAGGTGCCGTCCTTTGGATCAGATTTTAAACTGAGCTACTGCCCATTAAAGATCTTGTGGCACTATTTGGAAAGAGAAGAGAGTTTTTCTCTGTGTCTTGATAAATGATTAAAATTGGTCTTGCAGTTTCTGGGACATAGCTGTGTGCAAATTGGTTATAGCAATCACCCACAAATGCATAGTCGTGACATTTTGCTTTCAAAACCTTTCTTCAAAGCTCATCTCTTTAACCTCGCCTTCGGTAACCTCCACTCTGCTTTCACTCTGTGAGACTTTCTCCTGTGTGACAAGTGATATATAACTGCAAACTGTTGGATGTGAAGAAGAATAAAGCTGCAGCCCAGCTGAAGATCACATTGTTTTACTGTAATCACTTGTCTCGTTGCTGTGTGCTGGGTGTCTGAAACTTTAATTGACTATTACATATATTCTAGCCAAACAGTAAATTTATCCAATCATAGAATTGTATAAAACAGTAAATTTAACAGTGGGTTTCAGATAATTGTTGCGAATTGAATTTACACGTTGAATTTGTCTGGCATCTTGAGACGAATCAGTGACCAATGAGTATAGGCACCTTGTTAACATTGTGAGTTCAACTTTGCAGTCTAATTAGCACAATGAATAGGTGTGGAGAAACACCACAAATTCATTTCTGTTAAATAATTAGTGTCCATGCTCCTTAATTAATTTTGTCAACTCGGCATGGCTGTGTAGAGGCAGAGGCACTGACTACAGGCGTCTATTGCTTAAGGGTGTTGGCACAGTAAGCAACAGGAACAAATTTGCAATGATACCTGTTCCTTCTGCGAATCAGCATAAGGAACGAGTTAAGAAACACTGCAAATTTTACTCCATTCACCTCTTTGAATGATTAATGCAGTTAAAAAAAAACTCCCGGGAGAGGAGATAAGTGGCTTCTCTGTTGGTTGAGCTGGCTTTGAGAGCTTGGCCTACCAAGCAAGGCAGGTCTCTGTATGCCAAACACGGTTGAGAGTTGGCCAGCAGTCTGGCTCATGAATGAGAAAGTGTCCTCAACAACAACACACATCCTTTCACTCTTCACCATCCACATGTCCTCAACAACAACTACTTGTATTTATATAGCTCCCTTCACATCGCACTGCATGTCGGAGCACTTAGCCATACAACATAAAGTCCCAATTGGGAGGGCAAGTCAAACATGTACGGGTTGCAGAAATGAATGCATTGTATGAGTACACTGTTTAGTTACTATTAGTGTCATATGTCATAGATATGACTAATGTGATTTATAAAGAAAGTTTACACGTTGAATTGCAATATCCACTTCCTTGGAGTTAAAACCGCTGATAGTTACTTTGATCTCAAGTGCAAGGTGTAGCTTCCTGCTTATAAAGCTCTTGAATTCACTCTGGATTGATTCCACCTGCATTTGAATACTGAATCATAAATTCTTGATTTACTAAATTTACTAAATTACTAAATTTACTGTTTCTGATTACCAATGGATTACTAAACTTCCATTGCTCATTCTCTTTCAGGAGCTGAATGGACAAACCAGCCAGTACTGCCCTCGTCTCTGTTGCATGATGAAAGGCCCAAATGGCTATGGTTTTAACCTTCACAGCGACAAAGCAAAGCCCGGACAATACGTCCGATCAGTGGATCTTGATTCCCAAGCAGCTAAGGCGGGTCTGCGTGCTCAGGACAGAGTTGTGGAGGTAATGGAAGCCATTTCTCAACGCTGGCTCATTGTATAGCTTTCGTCCTTGGCAAATCTCCACTTTGGAGAGTACCAGAGTGGATGTGGAGGGAGAGGAGAGAGGAGAAGTCTGAGGAGATGGAGCCGGAGGGGGTGAAGTGGAGGTTGAAATCGCCGAGGATGATGAGGTGGTCGGGGCAGAGGGAAGCGAGGAGGGTGGAGATGTCAGAGATGAAGGTGGGAAAGGATGTTGGGATGTGGTAAAGTAAGAGAATTTTCAGAGAGAGGTGAGAGGGATGGCACAGGGTAAGGTGTTTGAAAGAGCGGAACGAGCCGGTGGAGTAGGGAGATAGGGATGCTCTGGATATGAGGGCTACACCACCGCCACGACAGTTGGGGCGTGGGGCATGGTGGTAGGTTTAGCCGGGTGATGTGGCCTCAATGAGGAAGAAGGTGTCACCTGGGGTGATCCAGGTTTCTGTGATTGCTATGATGTCAATGTTCTCATCGAGATTGAGATCATTGATGGCCAGGGTCTTGTTGGAGATGAAACGGATATTTTGAAGTCCAGTGTAGAGTGGACAGTTGGCAGAGGGATGTGTGGGATGGGAGGGAGTAGTGGGTTGGTTGGCAGGGAGGATAGGGATGTGGATGAGGGAGGAGAGGTTAGTCCCCAGGGTCAGGTCGGGGGTAGCTTGTGGCAGTAGTGGGGAATGGGGCAGTCAGTGTGGCTGCTGCTGGACAGCCAGCGCCAAGTGCCGCGATGAGCCTGGCGGAGGATTCCCAGGCTGGAGCAGAGGGAGGCAGTGGGAGGGTCAAGCAGAGATAGGAGGCGGGGAGGGCAGAGAGAGAGCAGAACAGAGCGGGAGAGTTGCAGGGAGGGGGGGCATTTTGAGGGAGAGCCAGCTCGGGTCGGGGACGGCAGCCAAGATGTGCACGCTGGGACAGGAGGCGGTGGGTTTAGTAGGACATTGTCAGCCTGCAGAGGTTGGGGGGGGGGGCTGGAGATGGCACAGAGGGCGGAGGGCACTCATTGTGCTTACCTTCCGTGCGTCCCGCTCAGTTTACCTGGGATTTCGAGGCCCTGCAGCTAACAGATAACGCTGTTAAAAAAGCATACGGGTCACTAGGCTTTATAAATAGGAGCATAGGATACAGACGTCAGGAAGTTTTGATGAACCTTTATATAAAACACTGGTTAGGCCTCAGCGAGAGACTGGGTTCAGTTCTGGGCCCCACACTTAAGGAAGGATGTCAAGGCATTGGAGAGGGTGCAAAGGAGATTGACTGGATGGTACCAGGACTTCAGTTATCAGGAGAGGCTGGAGAAGCTCGGATTATTCTCCTTGGAGCAGAGAAGGTTAAGAGGAGACTTAATAGAAGTTCTCAAAATGATGAGGGGATTCAATAGGGTGAACAAGGAGAAATTATTCCCACTGACGGGTGGGTCGGTAATACAAAATGTTTTCACACAGCGAGTTGTTGGGATCTGGAATGCATTGCCTGAAAGGCTGGTGGAAACCAATTTGATAACCTTTAAGAGAGAAGTAGATATTTATATGGGGAGGACAAGTTTGCAGACCTATGGGGAGAGAGCAGGGGAGTGGGGTTGATTTGGAAGCTCTTTTCAAAGAGCCGGCACAGACATGATGGGCCGAATGACCTCCTTCTGTGCTGTATAATTCTCTGATTCTATGTATCGTCTCCATGGAGGTGATGTCTTGTGTGTATTGTGAGGTACCCAAAAGTAGACTCAGTTCTTCAACTGCAGCGTTACCAATGTTTTGCACAAACATTTCTTCCTTGTGCCTGTGCCCTACCGGGATCTATATATCCATTTGCTTTCTTATAAACTGGGATGAAACAGATCCATCGATTTGAGGCAAAGGAAAGGCCAAAAGAAACATTGGCCAATGAGATTTGGAAGCGTAGACATGGTCTTACACTGCAAGACAAAGTCTGAGCAGTATGCTGGTCCTAGCTAGATATCTATCTTTGTTCTGTACAGTCTCCATTGTTAACAAATCTTTTAGTACTTCCAATTAATTTAAGATTGTCTGTTTGTCAGTTTGCGCAGGGATGCACCACCTTTTTTCCACCACCCACTACCTCCTCCGTGCCCCCCTCAGGCCTCCTCAATCTTCATATCAAATGCCAAGTGTGAGGAGGTCTTGGACTTCTTTTCATCTAAAATTCACAACATCCACCAGGCAGCCTCATCCACCTGCACCTTGTCACCCACCACAATGCCCTCTCTGTCCCCCTCACCCTCCCCATCATCTGCTCCTACCACCACCCCCATTCTACATTCCTTCCTCCCCATCTCTCGCTCCTCCCTCTCACCCACCATCACCTCCATGAAACCCACCACCTGCTGCCTCAACCCCCTCCCCACCAACTTGCTGGGCACCCAGCTCCGACTCCTCTGCCCACTACTGGCTGACGTTATCAAGCAATCCCTTTCCTCCTGATCAGTCCCTGCCTCCCTTAAGACTGCTGTCATCACCCCCCTCCTAAAGAAATCTTCCCTCAAGCCCCAGCCACTACTGCCCTATCTCTAACCTGCCCTTCCTCGCAAAAGTGGAGTCCTGTAGCTCAGTGGTTAGAGCACTCGCTTTGCAAGCGAGAGACCTGAGTTCAATTCCAGGCAGAGGGCGAAACCTTGGGCAAGTTTCCTTACTCCACACAGAGCCTAATAATAATCCCTCCAAAAAAAAACAATAATAAATTGGTCATTTTCAATCTACGACTGTTTGTGGGACATTGCTGTGCGCAATTGGCTGCCGTGTTCGCCCACAAATATACAGTCAATTCACTTTACAGTGTGTTCTGTGAAGCGCTTTGGGACGTCCTGCAAAGATTATTATTATTAAGTACTAGAACACGTTGTTGTCAACCAACTTCGCGCACACCTCTCCTCCCACTCCCTCTTCGAACCCCTCCAGTCCGGTTTCCGCCCACAGTACAGAGACGGCACTTGTGAAAGTCACAAACGACATCCTCTCTATCTGTGACCAGGGCTCCTTCTGCCTCCTTGTCCTCCTGACTTCTCCGCGGCGTTCGACACAGTCGATCACACCATCCTCCTCCACCGCCTTTCCTCCGTCATCCACCCCAGTGGTACCGCACTCGCCCGGTTCGAGTCCTACCTCACAAACCGCCAGCAGCACATCTGCACAAACGGCTTCTCCTCCCTCTCTAACCCGGTCATCTGTGGGGTGCCCCAAGGATCCACCCTTGGCCCCCTCCTCTTTCTGATCTACATGCTCCCTCTTGGGGATGTCATCCGCACACATGGGGTACACGTCCACATGTACACGGTCGACACCCAACTCTATTTTTCCACTCACTTTGCGTCCCCCAGTCCCCTGATGTTCTGCCTGTCAGACCTCAGGGGCTGGATGAGCGCAAACTTCCTTCAGCTGAACGTTGACAAGACGGAAGCCATACTCTTTGGCTCTCGTCACTGTCTAAATTCTCTTGGCTCTCACCTCCTCCACCTATGCGACCTCCCACTAAAACTCCGATCCCATATGCAACCGAGGCGTCAGGTTCGACCCCCAATTATCCTTCCTGCCCCACATCCGGTCCCTCACCAGCGCTGCTTTCTTCCACCTCCACGCATCGCCTGTCTCTGCCAATACCTCTCTCCGAAAGCCACTGAAACCCTGGTCCAGGCCTTTGTCACCTCTCGGCTGGACTATTCTTACGCCCTCCTCGCCGGCCTCCCCTCCACTACCATCCATAAAATCCAGGTCATCCAGAACTCTGCCGCCCACATTCTTACCCACACGAATTCCGCTCACCGATCACCCCAGTCCTGGCCAGACTGCACTGGCTGCCTATCCCAGAGAGGATCGACTTCAAGATCCTCACCCTTGTCTTCAAATCCCTCCACTCCTCTCCCCCCACCCCCGATCTCTCTGACCTCTCTCCTCAAAACAGTACCTGTTGCCTTTGTTCCACCGGGTCTGGCCTCTTCCTCGTCCTCTGCTCCACCCCCGGCGGCCGTGCTTTCAGGAATTCTCTTCCTCACTCCCTTCACCTCGCTCCTTCTCTTCCTATTTTCAGGATTCTGCTGAAGACCTTTCTCTTCGACAGTGCCTTTGGTCACCTTCCCCCCCCCCCCGGCTGGGTGCCGGGATCCGTTACTGTGAAGCGCTCTGAGATGTATGATGTATTGTAAATCATATACTTCCAACTGGGTAAGAAGGTTTTAGGTTTAAAGCCTTTGTCCGGACTTTGAGCTCATGTTTAGGTTAACACCTACTAAGGGAGTACTGGATTGAAAGAAGTGCCATCCTTCAAATGAGATGTTAAACTGAATTAATGTGTGCATGTTCATGTGGACATTCAAGATTCAATGTCATTATTCATATACAGAAATGAATTTATAGTTTGCTGGCCACACTCAGCCAGATAAATTAAGCGCTTTGAGATGTTTCAACATTATAGGTGTAGTAGCGATTGTAAGTACTGTATTATTATTATTGCTGCTGTTAGAATCAGGTAGTATTTATTTTATTTCTTCAGTCTGCTCATCAGCACAAACTTGGAAACTTTTTCAATTTACCCATAACTAAATACCCACAAAGATATAATCCAGCACTGGGTATACTGTCTAATTCTTGCAACAATTAATAAATATTTAAGGTGATCTCTTCTGGAGGTCGGAACGTACTGTGTCTATCCATGTCAGTCATGTCTGTTTCCTTTGGTACAACCTTCCTCACTGCCTGGCGACATAGAAGCTACTTTGTGGAGCTGCTCATATCAGCGCTCGGCTTGACATGTTGAAGGGCAGTAGAGCTGAATGAAAGAGTGGCATCCAAATGCTATTCTGCATGTTCCTGGCAGAAAGTGAAACGGTTGCTAAGAAACACAGCAGTAGGAAGACAAAGAGCAGAACTGGTGGCAATTCAAGAGTTTGGCTCTAATCACAGCAAAGTGATATGGGAAATAGAATCTGCTCCTCTTCCTGCTCGTGGAGTCCTGGTATTGGTTAGAACACTCGGCTCACAAGTGAGAGGACCCGGGTTGATTCCTGGGCAGGCAAAACCTTAGGCAACAACAACAAGATTACATTTGTATAACGCCTTTCACGTCAGGAGGACGTCCCAAGGTGCTGGACAGTGACAGCATTTCAGACCCGAGCTGAGGTCAGGGGGGAGAAGGGAGGGGAGGGGAGGGGAAGGGGGTGGCCAATGGCATGGTCGAAGAGAAGGGTCTTGAGGCGGGACTTGAAGGAGGATAAGGAGGGGGCGAGGCGGAGTGATTGGGGGATGGAATTCCAGAGGTTGGGGGCAGAGTGGCCAAAGGCTCTCCCACCAATAGTGGGGCGGATGGGTCGGGGGACGTGGAGCAGCCGGAGCCGGCTGAGCAGAGGGAACAGGCGGGTTGGTAGAGGGTTAGGAGGTCGCAGAGGTAGGGTGGGGCGAGGCCATGGAGGGCTTTGTAGGTGAGGACCAGGATCTTGAACTGGATCCTCTGAAGGATAAGGAGCCAATGGAGTCGGGCGAGAGTGGGGGAGATGGGGTCACGGAGTTTGGTGCGGGAGAGGACACGGACTGCAGAGTTCTGGATTATCTGCAGTCTGTGGAGGGAGGAGTTGGGAAGGCCGACACGCAGGGCGTTTGCATAGTCGAGCCTGGAGGTGATGAAGGCATGAACAAGAGTTTCAGCGCCTGAGGGGTGAGGTAGTGGCGGAGTCGGGCGATGTTACGGAGGTGAGGGAAGGCAGAGCGGGTCATGGCTTGAATGTGGGGGAGAAAAGACAGTTGAGAGTCGAACAAGACACCTCGGTTCCTGACTTGTTGGTGAGTTGTAGTGTGCAACCGTGGAGGTTGATGGTGCCAGAGCCTGAGGTGCGGAGGCGCTGGTGTGAGCCAATCAGGAGGGCCTCAGTCTTGTTCACATTCAACTGTAGGAAATTTGCCCTCATCCAGGACTTGACCAGCGCTGTTTCTGTGCTGTGGGCAGCACAGACGCCGGATTGGAGAGGTTCAAAGAGGGAATGGCGAGAAAGAAAGGAGCGGAGCTGGGATGCGTTTCCTTACTCCACATGTCTCTGTTTATCTAGCAGTAAGTAGGAACTCGATTGTTAGATAATTGGCGGATTGCTTTCCAGGAGTAATTATTCCTTAAAAAAATTAATAATCATAATAACTTAGTCACTCAATCCACTTGTGTGCAATTGGCTGCCACGTATTGGCCACAAGATATATCGTCAATTCATTTTGCAATATATTCTGTGAAGCGCTTTGAGACATGATAATAATATATAATAATAATAATAATCCTTGCTTTTCACGTCGGGAGGATGTCCCAAAGCGCTTCACAGAATAGACCGTAAAGTAAATTGACTGTGTATTTGTGGGCGAACGCGGCAGCTAATTGCGCACAGCAATGTCCCACAAACAGTCGTGGATTGAAAATGACCAATTTATTATTGTTTTAGTTTTTTTGGAGGGATTATTATCAGGTGTGTGGAGTAAGGAAACTTGCCCAAGGTTTCGCCCTCTGCCTGGAATTGAACTCAGGTCTCTCACTTGCAAAGCGAGTGCTCTAACCACTGAGCTACAGGACTCTACATTAAATGGAAGAATTATTATAATAGTCCATCGTCTACTTCTTGAAGTATATAATCATTTTTGAATCTCTTACTAATATGTTTTTTTCTCTATGTTTACCTTTGTGTCTCCTATATCCATACTTCTCCTTTCATCTTCCTCCTTCTCACTGCAATTTCAATTGTGCTGAAGTTACCTTAACCCTAAGTTGATGTGATCTCGCTCTGGTTTGCTTTGTTGTGGGTTCCCAACATTTTCTGGTTATATTTGGTATTTGGTACAAGCCTCATTTTTTTACCGGCACGTGGAGCCGACAGTTACCTCCCTTCTTCCAATAGGACTTAAAGAAGCAAATGGGAATTCTAGATTCGTATTTTCAGGCCATGAATACAAGGGGGGCGGGAGGGGTGAGGAGAAGGTTGAATTTATTTATGTTGACGTTGGTAAGGCTGCAGATGGGGTGACTTTTGGGATCCCAATAGAGAAAGGATGGATAGTCATGACAATCCACGACTTGTTGTGGGACACTCCTGTGCACAATTGGCTTCCGCATTTTGCCCACAAACTATACAGTCAATTCACTTTGCAGTATATTCTGCGATGGACTTTGATATGTCTTGAAGACGTGATAAGGCGCTCTATGAAATGCAATAATTACTATTATAATCATGGAAGGAGTACAGTAGAGATTCACTGGAAGAGATCCAGTGATAAGAGATTTATCAAATGAGCCTGAGATTTTCATTTCTGCTGCTCATAGATTGTTTAAAATTCAGAAGGAGGCCACTTGACCCCTTTGTGCCTGATCTAAGGTTCACTCCCCCACTGGAGACTTCTGCTCTTATCCCCTTCCCATGCCCTTTCTCTATAACCTTTTCTATTAGTTTTCCTCAAGAATTTTTTTATTCCTCTCTTAAATGCTATTGTGGGCTCCAATTCAACAGCTGTTTGGGGCAAAACATTCCACAGTCTAACAACTCTTTGGAAACATCTACTAGTGACTATCCTCTGGGGGGAGGAGGAGTGTGGAAATCTCTATTAGATTCCCCCCCATAATCCTCTCCATCTCTATTCCAGTGAAAACAGCCTCAACTTTTCAAGTCTTTCTACATAACTATAAACTTCACAACTCTGGTATTGTGTAAAAAATATAAAAATAATTTAGGAACTCAATCCACGACTGTTTGTGGGATACGGCTGTAAGCAATTGAATGCCGCGTTTCAGCTACAAAATATACGGCCAATTCACTTTACAGTATATTCTGTGAAGTGCTTTGAGGCTTCTCAATGACGTGATAAGTCGCTATATCAAATGCAAGGATTATTGTTATTATTGTTTGAAGGATATTACTGTATGCACATTGTCTGCCATATTTGCCTACAAAATACAGTCACTGCATTGTGCAGTGAAATCCTATGAAGAGCTTTGCGACGTTCACATGGTATGAATGGCGCTGTATCAAATGCAAGGATTAATTATTACTGTACTGGACCCTGTACACTGTCTGTGACTGTGTTATTCTTTCTATAATGTGAGGCCCAAAATTGGACGTTATATTCCAACTAAATATTAAAATGTCTTATGCAAATTTAACATTACCTCTTTGCTATGCTTTTATTCCAATCTTGTAGCAATATGGATATAATTAGAATTTTAGATGGGTTGATAATGTCTAAGCGATCTCTCAGCGAGACCTCTCTCCTGGAATCCTTGTAGTTGGGAACCACTGATAAACAGTCTGTTTTCTCCCTGCTCCTCTTTCTCCGCCCCATGTAGGTGAATGGTTTGAACATCGAAGGGAAGAAACATAGTGAGGTGGTGGCTATAATCAAGGTCAGTGAAGAGGAAGCCAGGCTGCTGGTGGTGGACCCGGAAACTGACGACTATTTCAAGAAGCTGGGATTGACTCCAACTGAGGCGCATCTGAGAGGTGGGGATCGATCCTGCAAGGTTACAGCACAAAAAGGAGCCATTCAACTCGCAGCTCTTCTTCTGATATTTTTTTCTCTATAGGAGCCTGCTAATCCGATCCCGTTCCCCTCACACCCTTTAATGTTTTTCCACCCATTTTGATCTAATTCCCTTTTAACAGAGTTGGCGGACTCATAGGGACAGATGCGGTCTAGTAATAAGTTAAACGCATTGTTTGTCATGGGCTTCATTTTCGTTCGAAATAAAGGACGTTGATGCAGTGCAGGACGTTCAGACTTAACAGTGGAGTCCTGTAGCTCAGTGGTTAGAGCACTCGCTTTGCAAGTGAGAGACCTGAGTTCAATTCCAGGCAGAGGGCGAAACCTTGGGCAAGTTTCCTTACTCCACACAGAGCCTAATAATAATCCCTCCAAAACCAAAAACAATAATAAATTGGTCATTTTCAATCTACGACTGTTTGTGGGACATTGCTGTGCGTAATTGGCTGCCGCGTTCGCCCACAAATATACAGTCAATTCACTTTACAGTGTGTTCTGTGAAGCGCTTTGGGACGTCCTCCCGACGTGAAAAGCGCTATATCAAATGCAAGGATTATTATTATTATTATTAGTGGGAAGAATTTTCAGTTGAGGCTTCAGATGTATCTTGAATATCTAAACTGACTGTCATTCTAATGCAGTGCCGGGAGTGTGATCTCATGGCACTATTGGAAAAGAGAAGGGAGCGTCTCTCTCCCGGTGTCCTGGCCAACAAACCCCAAAATAAAATTGGCCATTCACTCCATTGCTGTTTTTAGGACACTGCTGTGTGCAAATTGGCTGCTGTATTGAGCACTTCACCCTCTACCATCCCTACTCTGTCTCCCTCAAAATTTCTCCTGGCACTGATATCTCCTCTCATCTCTGTCCCTCTGAACTGAACACCTGCTCATAATGGGTGATTAACAACAACAACAAATTACACTTGAGCACAGAGCCTAGCAACGTGAGGAGGTAACTGAGTGAGATGGAACAGAATGGGAATTCTCTGCAGAAATTTGTTGAGAGTGAGAATTCGGTGTAGAAGCGGAAAGAAGTGCATAATTATAAAATAATATAGAATAATTATATTTAAATAATATAAAACATGTCTGGGAATATGTCAAAGCAGCTGAGACCGGTTGCCTGCACAATGTGTGCCATGTGGGAACTCCAGGATGCTTTGTGTACCCTGGACAGACACATGTGCAGGAAGTGCCTTCGGCTGTTCGAGATTGAGCTCAGGGTTTCTGAGCTCGAGGAGAGGCCGGAGTCACTACATAGCGTATGGGAAGCTGAAGAGTTCATGGATTGAACGCTTCAGGAGGTGGTCACCCCACAGCCACAGAGGGTTCAGAAGGAGAGTGAGTGGGTGACTACCCGGCGTGGTATGATGAGGCACTATATTAAATGCAATGATTATTATTATTATTGATTATTATTATTGACTTTCCTTTCCCCCTCAGTGTCACTGGGCCACATCTTTATTTATCTTGAATTCTATCTCCATCCTTGGTGCTGTCCTCTGCTGCTGTTCTTTCACTATTTCACCTGGATGGTGGTATCATTATAAGAAGGAATTTGGAAACCAGCTGTCATCACATGTTTGACCCTACTCTTACATTCTTTCTCATTGTTTTACTGTTCAGGTCCAATGCCTCAGCCGCTCACAAACGGATCCCAACGAACACAGGTTGGTAACAGTCAATCTACTTGAGCACCAAACACGGCTGAGTAAAGATGTTTCAGTCTGTGCCTTAAGGTTGTTGTTGATGTACAATTCAATGTAGTTTCTGTTCATTCTAACCTCTTAGGAAACCTACCAAAAGGGCAACCGAAGGCCCACACTTTATCCCCATAAAAGTTCCTAGAAGTTCAACCAACCTGTCCAGCACAGTTTCAGCAAATTGTCCTTCCAACACTCTCCCCCAGGCTAAACAGCTGGCGCTCAGTGTTTGCATTGAAACATTATGTGGAACAGAGGGAACATTTGAGCTAAATGTCTTTCCTTAACTGCATAAATAGCACTTTATACCATTACCAGGTGGTTCTGTCACACAATTTCATACTGTTCACTATTCAACAGGATGCTATCTGTCTAATCTAATGCCTATTTAATCGTTGTATCCAATTCTGTATCCACACCACAGGAAGAATATAGCAGCGATGGAAAGTACAGTGTAGGTTTACGAGGGTGATAGCAGGGCTGGCGGGTTACTGCTATTAGGATAGAGTGGGCAGGTTAGGCCGTTTTGTCGCTAGATGTTGAAGGCGGGGGCTATATGTGAACAACTAATAGAAGTGTTTAAAATTATGAAAGGGTTTGATAAGGTTAATATAAAAATTGGTCATTCCTTTATGGCAGTTGCTAGAACATGATTGTGCACAAGTTGTGCACTTGCTTCGAGATTTATTTTACATAAAACATCATATTTATTATTGTAATCATTTTTTGATTATTCAAATGGTTTTAAGATGAGGTGGAGGAAACGTGTCCCTTTTTCTAACCGCTTACGGGGTCCCCAAGTAAATTCTGAATAACTCCGCTTATTTTTCTAGCTTTAGTTTTTTTTTTGCAAAGTCAGAGTTAATGTGGAGTCCTGTAGCTCAGTGGTTGAGCACTCGCTTTGCAAGCGAGAGACCTGAGTTCAATTCCAGGCAGGGCGAAACCTTGGGCAAGTTTCCTTACTCCACAAGCCTAATAATAATCCCTCCAAAAACCAAAAACAATAATAATAACAACAATAATAAATTGGTCATTTTCAATCCACGACTGTTTGTGGGACATTGCTGTGCGCAATTGGCTGCCGCGTTCGCCCACAAATATACAGTCAATTCACTTTACAGTGTGTTCTGTGAAGCGCTTTGGGACGTCCTCCCGACGTGAAAAGCGCTATATCAAATGCAAGGATTATTATTATTATTATTATAATGGTGAGGTCAACAGCCTTGGAGTTCCTGTGTGCTAGCTTGTGTTTTGTGTCACTCATACTCGTGGTCCCGCCTGCCTGCCAGTGAGGAACGAAAGGTGCTATTCATACACCAGGCAAGCATCAAACAGTCCCTGCCTTACAGAATTTAAAATAAATGAAATGGGCCTGAAAGCTGAGCCTCTTTCAGCCTCCGTCCTAGCTTCTCTCCCCGCCCCATCCCTCGAACATGCTTTCCACAAATCCAAATCACATCTGCTGGTAGTGCTTTAAAGTTCAGTTTGCTGTTGTTTATCCTGCGCTTCTGGTGGCCTGCAGTATATCCTGGTCTCAGCCCTAAGGCCATTGGCTTAAACATTTTTATGAGTTTGCAGAATTTTTGAAACATTCTTAAATTCAACCTTAATCTGGAAGGTTTCCAAATTTAAAACTGAATTTAAGAATTTTTCAAAATTCACTTGAATCTTACATTTTGAGGCTGTGACCAGGAGAACTTCAGCCTCTCATGTCTAAATCTGCTCTTTTATTATAATAATAATAATAATATTTGTTGTGCTACTGATACTGTGCCTATAACCTCTGTATCTCAAAGTGCATTAAAGTAATTGCTGTTAAATGTAGTGACTTTATATTTGTTGATGAATGGGATAGTCAATTTGCACGCAACACTCTCCCACAAACAGCCTGAAAGCGAATAACTAGTTTATTTTGGAGGATTTGGGCCAGTACACTAAGAAAAGCTACCTTCCATCTTCAAATCATGTCTTGGCATCCTTCTGTGCGCACCTGAACAGGCAGACAGCAACTTGATTTGTGTCATCTGAAAGACGGCACCTCTGACAATGCAGTGTTTCCTCCAGCGCTGTACTGGAGTGTCAGCCGAGACTGTGAGCTCAGCTCAGAGTCCCATATGGTGCTTGAATCTACAACCTCTCTCTCAGAGGTGAGAGAGCTACCAATTCTCATTGAGGTGTTGGCAACCTGGCTGATGTGCATTGCCTTGATCTGTTCTCTGACTTCATTATTGCTCTGTCAAATACAAGTTCAACACTATATTTAAATATCCTTGTAGTCCATATTGGCAGATTACATTTGGCAGGAAAAGACTTCTTGTGAAATCTCACACTGGATCCGTTTCCTCCCAAAGGATAAAATTCAACGTTTTGTTTTGGAACTTCATGTTTGAGAACATCTGGGTACCTAACTGGGCTTATATAATTCAACAATTTTTATTTTTTATGAAAACAATCAGAGTTTTCTCTCTCATACTGTGCGTGAGCGGATGAAAGCCAAACAGACAGGAAGACTATAGCTTTGAATCCAACTCCATCCTGTGAATTGCCACAAAAAAACCCAACTATTTCTGTATCCGGAGATCTGAAATTTCATCTGATCTTCGTCTCATAAAAACATTACCTTAAATTGTAAGATTATGTGGAATTTAACCCCTAGTTGCCTGTTTAGGTGAGCATTGGAAGATCCTGCAGTACCTTTCAGAAAGTAGTCTCTCCTTTGAACCATAGAAACAGATTTTGTGTCAGTATTTGTTCCTTCAACAAGGCATCCATTCTAATCTCAGTTCTTTCCTCATGCCCTCTAATGTACTTCCTCTGCATTCTATTGTCCAATTCTTTTTTAAATGCTCCCTATGTCTTGGCCACCAATTCTCCAGATAAAATAAACTGCTAATTCATGGCTGTTTCTGAGACCTTGGTGAGTGCAAATTTGATTGCCATGTTTGCTTACAAAATACACAGTTACTACGCTTGATGGGATTGTTCTAAGTAGTTTTTTGCTATGGTTTGCTGTACTGATCAAAATTGCAAGGATTATTTTTGTATTGGAATTTTGGAAAATTATTGGGGATACGGTTTGAGAATTTTGCAAGATCTTGCTTATTTTTTATTAGAAAAAGGGGTCGGGGAGGGTGGAGGGCAGCGGGGGAAGCAGGGTGATGGAAAGCATGGTTGAAGAGGAGGGTCTTGAGATGGGTCTTGAGGGTGGTGAGGGAGGGGGCGAGGCGGAGGGACTGCGGGTTGGAGTTCCAGAGGATGGGGGCAGAGTGGCAGAAGGCCCGCCCGACAGTAGTGGGGCGAGCGAGGCGGGGGACGCGAACCAGGCCGAATCTGCTGAGCAGAGGGAGCGAGCAGGATGGTAGGGGATTAGGAGGTCGCAGAAGTAGTGGGGGGCAAGACCATAGAGGGCTTTGAAGGTGAGGACCAGAATCTTGAACTGTATCCTCTGTGTGTTGGGGAGCTAGCGGAGTTGGGCGAGGATGGGGGTGATAGGGTCGCGGAGCCTAGTGGGGGAGAGGACACGGGCTGCAGAGTTCTGGATGATCTGCAGCCTGTGGAGGGGGGAGTTGGGGAGGTCAACAAGCAATGAGTTTGCATAGTCGAGCCACGATGTAATGAAAGCACGTATGAGGGTTTCGGGGATCTGCGGTTTGAGACAGTGGTGGAGTCGGGCGATGTTGCGGGGGTGGGGGAAGGCAGAGCGGGTCATGGCGCAGATGTGGGGTAGATAGGGATGAGATTGAGACAAAGCTGCTCCACATCTGCAGTGACCCAGTTGCTTGGTGTATAAGTCAGTGAGAGAAGAAACAGCCTCAAGATAAATGCAACTAAAGTGAATTTCCTTCCACCGGCTGACAGTGGCCGTGTCCATTTTCCCCTGAGTTAAGATTGACCCAGTTTAGGATAAATTAATTCCACATGGCAGATGAGGCTGGGAGGCTGACCTGTGAGAGAGTTCAAACTTAATAATAGTAATAATCCTTGCTTTTAATGTAGCCTCTTATCACGTCAACATGGCTCAAAGCGCTTCAGAAATGTAGTGGGCAGCCGGTTGGCCCACAGCAGTGCCCCACAAACAGCCATGGAGTGAATGAGATGTTGCAATTTGGGATCACGTGATCAATTATTAATTTGCTTTAATTAATTTTATTCTGGGACAGTTCAATGGAGAATCTCCGTCATCCATCCACCGTGACTACTACAGCTCTGAAAAAGACACTGAGGTAAAGCTTGTGATCACATTTTTCATTGCATTGCATGTGTTCCGCCATACACTGGTTTTCCTGGTTGGGTTGAATCATCTGTTTCCGTGCCATATCGCTCTGTGTTCTCAAAAAAGGCTTATTTTAAAACTTTTTTTTCTTGGTGAGTTTTGTGTTTGTAAAGGCAATGCGAAATGGAGGAATTTCTCAATTTCTCAGTGACAGAATCCAAGTTTAATAATAATCTTTATATTTGAAATACTGCCTTTCACTTTAGGAGGACACCTCAAAGAGTTTCACAGGATATACTGTAAAGAGCAGTGACTGTATTTTGTAGACGAATGCAGCAGTCAATTTGCGTGCAGAGGTGAATGAATGAAATGAGTGACAATTTTGGGGGCATTCTTGGCCAGGACACCGAGAGAAACTTCCTTCTCTTTTTGAGCAGAGCCATTGGAGCTTTAATATCCACCTGAACAGGGAGACAGAATCTTGGTTTAACATCTCATCCGAAGGAAGGCACATCCAACAATGCAGCTCACTCCCAGCACTGCACTGGATTGCAAGCTTGGACTATGCAGGCGCGACGAAGGGCTTGAACCGACAGTCTTCTGACTCAGAGGCAAGAGTTCTACTAACTGAGTCAGTCTGACACAATTAGAGTAAACTTCCCTATTCTTTGCTCTGACTTTAAGCTTCAGCCCCGACATTTTGACCATTGATCAAATACAAGGATTATCGTTATTACGATGTTTCCAATGCAGCGATTTCAGGCAGTTTTGTTTTTCAGTCCTTGTTTGGAAAATACTATTTTGTTTAAACATTTTAGAAATTGAAGATAAATTGGGCTTTAATTTGTGATATTTAACAGGAATTACTTAATGAGGAGCCCAGCAAACGGATATTCCTTCCAGGAGCCATTCACTAACCTGTGAGAATTGTGTTCCGCCACCAAGTAATTCCAAAGTGGAATTACTGTGGGATCAACGGGAATTCTAACGGTTTTCCTTGTTAAGGAAAATTAAGAAATACCGCAAATTAAGCTCAATATGTGATGACGTTTTGCTATGATTTCTTCCTTAAATTCTCTTTGAGATATTGTTAAATTCTGGTGAACTCTCCGGGAAGTTGAGATGCAGCAGGAATTCTGGATTTGCTGAAATAACAGTCTTTAATTAAATGGCCAGCTCCCTGGAAATTAGCATCACTTTAATTGGGGTCCATCATCCAGAGCAAATGTCCTTCCCGTCTTTCAGTTTGCGTGGAGAATGGCAACTATATCAGCCCATTGTCCTGAATTTTCCTCACGTGGTTGAATAAGAAGAATACCAAATGAAATTTGTTTAGCTAAATTATAGCAATTTAATCTAAAGGAGACGCAGTTGCTATGAATTCGTTTGAAGCTGCTATCTAATTATAATATAACCCTCTCACAATCTGGAAAAGGTTGGATCAGTACCCTAATTAACATGGCATTTTGGTGTCCTGGTTTGAAATAACCCTGTGTCTAGGAATAGCAACACAATCCTGTTTCTTCGAGCATTTAAAACTCAAATCTGAAAGTAACTTTGTCCTGGCTGATTGTGTTTTTTTCCAAAATGAGCTGTTGTTCATTAAGGTGACCTATTAAAAAAAACTTCACAAACCTGTCCATTCCCTCTGCTCTTGGCCTGCTCCACGTCCCCCGCCTAGTCTGCTCTATTATTGGCTGTCAGGCCCTCAGTATATCTGGCCATCCCAGCATCTGGAACTCCATCTCGGAGTCACTCCACCTCGCCCCCTGCCTTGCCTCCTTCAAGCCCCATCTTGAGACCTTCCTTCTCGATCGTGCTTTCAATCATCTTCGCTCCTCCACCCCATTGCTCTACAGTCATCTCTAATCCTAACCCGCAGCTCAGATGCAAACCCCTCATGGCCCAACACTTTGGGATGTCCTCCTGATGTGAAAGGCACTATATAAATGCAATTTTTGTGGTTGTCGTGATGTTCTCTGACCTGGTGAATGTGTCCACCATTTGCTCTTTTTAGACCAGATTTCTCTCTATATCTCAGCTTCAGTGAGAGTATGACTTGTGGTGTAACCATTCAGCGGCCTTGTATCTGGCAATAAAGTGCCCATCACACGACACGGGAGAAATTCCACCCGAGTCTAGGTTTCCTCTACTTTCTTGGCATTTTTAACTGCATTGAGATTTTGTTAAGTTGTTGAATTCAGTCTGAACTTTGAAGATTTTTTTCACTGTAGTTCTTAAAAGTAAACCACAGTATTTCAGTGTTTGCTAAATTCTGGACATTCCAAAATGCTGAGAAAACACGGTAATAATAATAATAATGATCCTTGCATTTGGTATAACGCCTTATCACGTCTGAAGGACGGCTCAAAGCACTTCACAGGAATTACTGTGAAATGGAGTGACTGCGTATTTGTAGGCAAACACGGCAGCACGATTGGGCGCAGCACTGTCCCACAAACAGCCAAGAAACAAATGACCAATTTTATTTTTGAATGGAGTTTTTACCCCAAGATGTCATTTGAAGCTAAGGATTGCTGTCATGCCTTTTGCAGGCCTTATCTATAATACAATAGGAAGTAGAAAGCATTGGTTTACAAGGTTACCTATTGACATTAATACTATTCTAAGTTGGATCTTGCTTAAGGGCTTTCAACCGAGAATGCTCCATTAATATGCCGTGTTGGTGCTGTGAACAACAACAACAAGATTCCATTTATAGAGCGCTTTCATGTTGGGAGGACGTCCCAAGGCGCTGGACAGTTGGGTCAGGACCCGAGCATTGGGGGGAAATGGTGAGGGTGAGGGGAGGGAAGGGAGCGAGGAGGGGGTAGAGAGTCGAGAGGGGAGCTGAAGGCACGGTCAAAGAGAAAGGTCTTGAGACCGGCCTTGAAGGAGGAAAGGGAGGAAGTGGCGAAGGCACTGGGGGATGGGGTTCCAGAGCCTAGTGAAGATGTTCACGTTCACGCAAAATGCAAAGTGTTCATATTGGCACAATCCAATCAAGTGATGCAACAGCCTGGATGGGTTCAATGGTCACCTCGCTCTCCTACATTCTATCACCAGAGATTTTCAGATGATTAAGGCCGTTTGGCCCATCTGGTCTCATCCTTCCAGAATACCCACCTGAACGCCATCCCATTAAACCATCAAGCTGAGTCTTCAATGAGTGCAACCCCGCGACTGTGAAGCGAAGCACTCAGACATTATCCCTAGACGAAGGGCACAATATAAATGCAAGTTGTTGTTTGTTGGTGTTGAGTCTTGCAAGAACGAGACATAACAATTAAGGAAGCTCCTAGATTCTAGACAGCAGTTTGCGCTGAGCTGGCTTCCTACTTCCTATTGTATTATAGATAGGGGAGGGCAGAGGCTATATGTTTTCAATGCAGGATTAACTGCTATTTTGTGGAGTCTTCCTCTTCCAGTGTGCTTCATTCATTGTCCCACACCCCTCCCCACCCCTCCCCCCTTCCCCCCCTGCCTCCACCCCTCTTGACTCCAACCCCTAGCACAGGTACAACCCCTTCACTGTCCAGCACCTTGGATGTCCTTGTGATGAGAAAGGCGCTGTATAAATGCAATTTATGTGGTTGTTGTTGTTGTGTGATTTTGGGGGTACTTTCATTGATTTTTTTTCTGTGCGTGTGTATTGTCTGTTGGATTTCTACGCGCAGAAGAAACTGGGTGACGAAAGTGACCCTTTCCTTGAGAGCGGATTGAATTTAAGCCCCACGGCAGCCGAGGCCAAAGAGAAAGTGCAAGCAAAACGTCGCAACAAGAGGGCGCCCCCTATGGACTGGAACAAGAAGCACGAGATTTTCAGCAACTTTTAAGCCCAGTGGAAACCGTCTTGTGGAAGGAACTGTGTGTCTCCTTCACGCTGACTGTCAGAACAGGACAAACCCTGAGAGCGGGTGGCAAGATCTATTTGTTCTGTGACCAAAGCTTTACCATTCTTTTCGCCCACAAAATATACACTTTACAGAATATTCTGTGAAGGGCTTTGAGACGTCTCAAAGACACGATAAGGCGCTATATCAAATGCAAAGATTATTATTATTATTCTCATTACCCCTACTTGCCTTCCCTCCCTCCCTTCGACCAACTTATTTGCTTTGTATTTAAGGTATTAGCCGCAAAACAGCTACGTGGTGTGGGGTGACTTTACCCCAAAGTTGCTTAGTAAGTCAGTAAGTCAGCCAACCATTGTGATAACTCCATCTCCCACAAGCTTTTTCTCCGACCAACGTTGTCTCTAGTTGCAAGCAGAATAACTGGGTAGGTTCTGGGGGGGGGAAAGGAGGGGTGGTGGGGGAGGGGGCAGAATTCCTCTTGTCATGACCCCAGGACACTTCCTTGCAAAGGTGCCTGGAGAGCTGGGAATCTGAACCACCAAATTTAGTGCTTGAATTCTCAAGATGTTTCCGGTTGTCTCTGTGTGGAGCGCTGCATTTTGTAATCATCTCATCTGTTTGTGATGTTCCAGCTCAGCCTGTGCCCATGTGGCCCGCAATTACTTGTTTTTTTTAACTGTAGAAACTGGACCGAAGGAGGGAAAGGATGTTCTCACAACAACAACAACAAGATTCCATTTATAAAGCGCCTTTCACGTCAGGAGGACGTCCCAAGGCGCTGCACAGTTGGGTCATGACCCGAGCAGGGGGGAAATGGTCAGGGTGAGGGGAGGGAAGGGAGGGAGCGAGGAGGGGGTAGAGAGTCGAGAGAGATGTGTAGCACACTATACAGAGGAAGCCTTTTAATTGAACAAAATATATTAACTCTTTGTATGCTAACTGCTGTTTTAAGCAGCATTGAAAAATAGTTTTACTTTCTTCCCCTTTCTCTCTCTCCCTGCCTCTCCCTCTAGCAATACATTTATGTACACAGGGTGAAAAGTAGCTAACAGGCTTGACATGAGTTGTATTATGTAAAGCAATGGTTTTGCAATGAGCCTTTAGCACATGCTATGGATCTCTGTTATGGAGATGGTATACGTTTTCATCCTGTCAACTTGCAGACCGTTTACATCCATTGTGTTTTGCTACAGAAATTGGATTTTTTCAGACTCCCTTAATACTGCTCCAGAGAATAGAGGTGGTGCCAGTGTCTGAACCAAACCGAACAATGGGGATGTGCTGTAATTTGGTGTAAGGGTTCCAAAATGCTACTCAGCGTGAAGGGTGCTGTATAAATCCAACTTACTGTTATTGATGTCTTCTCTAATTGTGCGGGGTCGGGGGTTTCTTTTAATAAGGTTTCCCAAGTTATGCAAACAGAACGCTGCTCCCGGAAACCTGTCCCAATCTGACATCATCTACTTCTGGAGCGGAGTTCCACTGGGTCAGCGGGAAAGCTTGTTAAAAATGCCATTAACTATTGAGAGCCCGGTGCTGGTCATCCGCTTGTTGATTAATACAGAAGAGAAACAAATTTGTATCTCCCAGAGTCCTCCTTTCGCTCTTGTGCCTGCGTGCTTCTGGGAATGAAAACAGACCACAAACCGAATGTCTGGAAGATGTGATAAGGCACTATATCAAACATTAGGATTATTATTAATCACACCTGAAAGAGGATGGATCAGTTGATCATTAGTTGACGGTAGTTGAGCTTATGTGAGGATATTGCTGGGTATTGAGCGCCTCCCTTTTGACATTTTTCCAGGCCTTCATTCTCCGAGCTAAAGAACGACTTCAAAACTTGATCATCCCTTTTTGAACAAATAGAAAGAGCAGAAAAATATTTTGCAGCACTTTAAATTCGGGGTTAATCCCTTGTCGACGAAGCTACCTGCTAACTTAATGCTCAATACCCGATCCCTTATGCTAAATACGCTGTATCCATCTTAAAGCTGTTTATTATGTTCAATCTTTAGCTAGACAAGGTACCCCCAATTTTGAATAGCCTCCACACAGCAAGGTAGAGTGACTGGAAAGCTTGCACTGTAAGATGACAGAGAAACTTGCAGCACTGTTGGGATCATTTGTTTTTTTTTTGGATTCAACTTTTTAATTGTTTTTTTTAAAAACTAAAAACAAAAATTTGGGGAGGTGTGAGGGCTGCAGAAAGTTGTTAGCATTGCTGAATACAGAGATTGCTAAATGTGGATTATAACAGGGTGGATTTGCTCAAGTTGAGGGTCTTAGAATAGAAACATCCCATAATAAACGTGTTGCGGAATCTGTCCTTTTGATTTGCAGAAGGGGGGAGAGGAGAGGGGGTGATGGAAGACTGGCTCCGGCCTCCTGCTTGACCCTGGTGCTCTCCGTTCCACCATCAATGGCCGTGCTTTCAGCCACTACGCCCCGAAACTCGAACACTCTCCCTCTATCCCTCCGCTTTGTCCCCTCCATCCCCATCTTCAGATCGTGCCTGAAGACCTTCCTCTTTGACTTTGCCTATGGTCACACCCCCTCCCCACCCCCGGCTTGAAGTCATGCTCCCCAATTGTCAAGCGCTCTGGGATGCTACCATGGGTGGGAGTTGCTGTATAAATTTAAGTTGTTGTTGAGGTGGAGAGAGAAGGGGGAGGGGCATTGACCCACAAACTTGTAATCAGCATAACCATCCATGAGGTTAAGAACTGAAATAATCACTTTATTCTTATTGAATACTTTGCAGTTAATAATGTGAAATAAATAGTTATTCAAAGGAAAGTGCTTTCATCATTTATATGACATGCAGGTCTCTGGAGTACTGGTGATTTTTTTTGTGCAGTTCATCATGCCTTGCAACTCTGAGAATCCACCATTTGAAATTGGCACATTTCAGTTACTTGTAAGATAGTATGTGCTGTATGTATACTGTATATTGTTAATAAACTTATTTCAGCATGACAAAAACTGGCTTCTACCGCTTATTGAACTTGCCATTGAACCAGGTTCCCACCCTCGCAGGCCTTGTGGGGATGATGGTGAGTTGAGCCCACAGCCAATCCTGTCTAATGCTTTCTGTGCTCATCCTGGGGCCAGGTTCTGGGAGAAGGGGTAAATTGGCTGAGATGCAGTGCTTGCCAATGGAATATCAGAATCAACTCATTCCTCTGTTTCAGTCTTCAAAGTTTGGTTCATAAAACATCCAGGGAGGCACGGGTTGATGGCAGACCATTCAGCCTAACTCTTCAGCACGGCTTGGAGAGACAGGCCAGTAACTGGGGGTGGCTGGGATTCTTAATTGGCTTGTGTTAGCCCTGCAAGCCAAAGCCGTAATGGGTCCTGTGGTTCAAATGGACAGGCTTGTGTTTTCGCTGGTTATACTCCAGCAGTACCCAGTCACACACTCCGTGGCCTGCACGCCTTGGCTCTCTGCAACTAATATGGTCCAGGTTTATGTGACCTGGGTGTTTCCCTCCCTGAGGATGCACACTCCATTTCAGACATGCTGAAACTTCCATGGTTGGAAACTCTTAAGCACAGTGTGCGTCTCAAACAAAATTGCTGCAGTAAATTGCAGGTACAGACAGTCTGCTCTATAATTTTGTTGAGAATCGTTTCAAATGCAGGACTTTTTCTTTCCAATACTAGATTGTTCAGATGTATGTTGATAAATTATAGTGGATTTGAAACCTTCCAAACCTGTGAGATGAGCATACAAACCAACTGGTTCTAATTATAATGTTACCTAATTCAACAGTAAACATTCTAGCTGAAAAGACCCTCAATCTGTCCTTATGTATGTGTATATGTATATATACATACACATATATATATATATTATATGTATATTTTAAAGTTAAGTTGGACACAACAACTTTTGATGTGGATGCAAATACTACCTGGGATGTATTTACAGTGTTATTTATTCGATGAGAACGAACATGCCTGGGAAGTTTGAGAAAACGGTAGGAAATCGCTTACTTTGTTTTTCCCTCTAAAGAGAAGCACCAAAGTGATCCAGAGCAGGAAAAGAAATCCCTTATCTGCCATCCTGTTGATAATCAAAGCTCAACCTGTTTCCTTTCTACATGAACTAGATTTGTTCTCAAAATACACAGGATGAGCAAAAAATGGGTCATTTGGCAGATTCCGCCTTGATTTCTGTAGCAAGGAGTTCTTTAGATCAGTGGTTAGAGCACTCACATTGCAAACGAGACACCTGGGTTCAATTCCAGGCAGAGCGAAACCTTGGGCAAGTATCCTTATTCCACACAGAGCCTAATAATCCTCAAAAACAAAACAATAATAAATTGGTCATTTTCAATCCACGACTGTTTGTGGGACATTGCTGTGCCCAATTGGCTGCCGCGTTTTGCCCACAAATATAGTCAATTCACTTTACAGTATATTCTGTGAAGCGCTTTGGGACGTCTAGATGTGAAAAGTGCTATATCAAATGCAAGGATTATTATTATTTGTGTAATTCCATGTCTCTGAACGCAATGAGTGTTATGAGGAGCCTCTAAATGGGGCAATATTCATGAAAGTGAAAAGATATTCACAAGATCTTAAGAGGTTCAGATGAAGAAGACCCCTAGGCCCTCTTGATCTCGTCCGTCCAGAATCCCAATCCAACACTCCTCATACAACAGCATCAAAGTTGTTTCTTAAATGGAATCTATGGAGTGACCTCAACCACTCTTCCTGGTAATCTGTTCCATTTGTTAGTTATCTTCATGGAATTACCTTTTGCAGATCTGACCCTGCACCCTCAGTTCAGATGGCACATCTGAAATTATAATTTCAGGTGAAGAAAGTTATTTGACCCATTTGATCTCCTTCCAGAACACTAGGACAATGCAGCAGTGAGCCAAGTCTCCACCATCCACTTTCCTGGTAACCTATTCCAGCTGTTGATTACACTGTGTAAAGAAATGCCTCCTGGTTGAACCAACCTACCAGGTGAAGTCCAGACTCCCTGAATCTGCACCACATATAATCATAATAAATAATAATCCTTGCATTTGATATAGCACTTTCATGTCTTCTAGACATCTCAAAGTGCTTCCCAGAACTGGGTATAATTGTGGGCAAAACGCGACAGCCAATTGTACACTGCAGTGTCCCACAAGCACTCGTGGATTGAAGTGACCAATTTATTATTTTTTTCTTGAGGGATTATCAGGCGTGTAGAGTAAGGAAACTTGCCTAAGGTTTCGCCCTGCTGGGAATCGAACCCAGGTCTCTTGCTTGAGAGGTACTCTAACCACTGAGCTACTGGACTCCACTATAATCCTTGCGTAGGTTCACATCTAGATGTAGGGCCTTATATCATGTCATTGAGGCGTCTCAAAGTGCTCCACAGAATATATTGTAAAGTGGATTGGCTGTATTGTTTCACTTTTATTGAAAAAAGAATGGTTTCATTCCAATGCCCTACCTTATCCAGCTGCAAGTATAAATGCAGTTAGTGGAGCACTCAAAGTGACGGTTAGAATCACAGTAGGTCTGCTCAGCCCTTCTCCTATTTTGAGGTACGTGAGAATCACCCGTATAAAATAACTTTGATTGGGGAAACGGGGAAGTAAATGGATCATTTGACAAGCATTGATTTTGGGGACGTGCTTGTCTAGCTCATTCAGCGAGACATGAGAGGTGTAGATATTGTCTGCAACCCTGCACTGTAGCACCCTCCTAGATTGAGATTTCAACCTGACCAGGAGACGGGAGTGCTACCAACTGAGCTCGGTTGACCCACAGCAATGATGACATGTCCAGTGATACAATCATTATCATTGGATGAGCTCAATCAGATTTTCCTATTGTAATCTGTCAATAATTATAATCCTTGCATTTGATATAGCGCTTTTCACGTCGGGAGGACGTCCCAAAGCGCTTCACAGAACACACTGTAAAGTGAATTGACTGTATATTTGTGGGCGAACGCGGCAGCCAATTGCGCACAGCAATGTCCCACAAACAGTCGTAGATTGAAAATGACCAATTTATTATTGTTTTGTTTTGGAGGGATTATTATTAGGCTCTGTGTGGAGTAAGGAAACTTGCCCAAGGTTTCGCCCTCTGCCTGGAATTGAACTCAGGTCTCTCACTTACAAAGCGAGTGCTCTAACCACTGAGCTACATGACTCCGCAAGGTTAATACTGCCAAGTAGAGATTGGTTCCTTGTAAGAGATATTTGGATTTTTTTAACACGTCTTGAAATCTTCACTTTAAACTACTTTTCGTGGCATTACTTTACATGAACGATGCAATATATGTAACTTTATTAACCATTTAACCCAGAAACGAGGTCTCTAAATCCTTGCAATAAAGTATATTTTAGAAAAAATATTAAAGCCAGGCCACATTAATCATCAAAATTGTTTCTTGATGTACAGAATTTGGTGCTTTGAGAATATGGGCCACATTCTGCATTACATTTTATTGCAAATCACTTTGTTAACCCGTTCTGTGTCTTGTTAACCTCATCCTCTTCCAGAACAGGAATAAATGGCAAACTTGACCACCTGGCCAATGAACCTCTCCATGGCTGTTAGTAAACTGGAGGGATGAGTCAACCCTTTGAGACAACGACGCTGGTAATTTTCCATAAATTTGGTTAGAATAATCCTGACTAATCCTCAAATAGTGATTTGTAGGCCGCTAGCCAACATAGGCACCCACCTTTGCGATTTAAGGACAGGTTTATTGGATACTGGCTTTCACATGCCTCCCATTAACTGGAACTTTAGGTAATTGTAACCAACTCCTTGTGAGCTGGCTACACTAACACATACTGAAATGAGGAAATGAGTGGAATATTGTTAAACAAATATTGTATGGTATGTGATTTCCCAGCCAGCTGTAGAATGTGGACTATGGTTAGATGATGTTTGGGGTCCGGTTCTGGTACACTGTCTCCGTAAAGACTCCTTGTCTCAATCTCTACGTTCCCTCCAACTGAATGTTCAAATGCAGTTTTGCTTTGGTTTACGCTGAAACAAACAACCCACCCAGGCCTTCCATAATTTATACCACAAGCTAAACACAAGGATTTAATTATTGGCAGGCCCATCCGGAGAGTTTGAAGGAAGCCTGAGATTTGTTTTCCTAAGATTGTTCTTGGCTGCAGGGCAGATGTCTCTGTTGAGGCATTCATCACAGTGAGGCTTCACTGGCAAGCAGACCTGCTGACCAAAGCCCACCAGCAGCCAATTGGTCTCGCTCCACAGGTCCCTGAATTGAGAGAGAGAGAGAGAGAGAGAGAGAGAGAAAGATGGGTGGGATGGAAACGTTAACTTGCAGCAGAAAAGATTTTACACTTTTATTTTTACTTTCAACAACAACAACTTGCACTTATATAGCGCCCTCCATGCATCTCAGAGTGCTTAAACACAAGGATTTAATTATCAGCAGGCCCTTCCAGCCATCCCAAACAGTCACTGCGCTTTGAGACATCCTCCTGATGTGAAGGCGCTGTAACAAATTGCAAGGATTATAATTACTGTTTTTAAGCGGTTCAAAGCACTGTGCAGTAACTGCTGTCGATTGCAGTGACTATATAAAAGCAAAGCAGCTCCTTTGATTGTAATGAGCTCCCGCAAACAGTCATGTGAATGATGTAATTTATCTCGGGAATTGGTGGCCAGGACACCGGGAGAAACTCCCTTCTCTTTTTGAATATAGCCAAGAATAAAAATGGGAATAGCTCTCTATTCTGAACTGTATATGGAGATCCCCTCTCCCCAGTTACCTTGGCATCCATTCTTCCAGTGCTAATCTCGTCGCCTCTGATGTCTTGGTTTCTTTTCTAACCCACTTCAGCCGATTCGAGATCCGTTGCACGTGGGTGTCAACACCTAGAACAATAAAAAGAGGTGTTAACACAGGGCAGGTCTACAGATAGTCATAACGTGGCCATCTCCATCTGAAGCTCTTTGAGACGTCTTCATATTATAAGTGTTGTGTGTTATAGGATTATTGCTGTACATGTTATCTACTTTAGCCTGGCCCTTCATACTTTACTTTGTGCTGTAATTAAGAATAACCCAAGGACCGTGAGCTGCAGTCTCTCTGGAAAACTGCAAGTAATGGCATTACTAAGTCAGCAGGGGGGCAGCACACTTTGTGATTGACACTGACTGAGCAATGACTGTTACTCCACACTTGATGGTCCACACCATGCAGAGGCGGAGGTAGGTTTTGCAACTCGCATGAGTGGCTCCACCTTCTTCTCACAGAATATACTGTAAAGTGAATTCACTGTATTTTGTGAGTGAAAAGCGGCAGGTCAATTGCATCCAGCAGTGTCCCACAACCAGTCATGGATTAAGTGGCCAATTTTTTTTAAAAAAGGCTTATTACCCCCAGAAAAGCGATCTGCCAATCGATTGGCAACCGGGTTCTTACATATTGCTAGGTAAACAGAGGCATGTGGGGTAAGGAAACTTGCTCATTGTTTCACCTCTTCCTTTTTATTGCCTGGGCAGAGTAGAAATATCGGAGTGAGCTTTCACATAGGAGAATGTCTCGGAGCACTTTACCAAGACAGCTTGGGAGCACTGATCATGGTTTTGAAACATTCTGCTGGTTTTCTATTGTTTGGCAATGCAGACTGTGTTTTGAGAAGACCCACCGAACAGCACCTGTTGCCTCACCTGTTGTCTATGCCAGTCTGTTAAAGCGCTTGTTAAAGGATCTGTATGTGGAGATTCAGTTTTGCTCCAAAACATTCAAAGTGTAAATGCACTGAGTAAATACAATATTCAATACGCAGGCAGATTTAAACTTCACCTCTTAAATGGTTGAACTCAACTTGAATCACTGACTTTACTCAGATCAATGACCTGTCCTGAGACTTTTTCGTGAGCAACTGGCTGCTGCGATTTGCCCACAAAAATACAGTCAATTTACTTTACAAAGTGCTTTGAGATGTCTCAACGATGCTATATCAAATTAAGGATTATTATTATTATTTTAAGTGTACTTGCTGAAGAAATAGAGGGGTATACGTCATCCTGTGACAGGTCTGTGTTTGCATACACATGTTGAATGTCCCTCAACTATCCTTTCTACCCCACATCTGCACCATGACCTGCTCTGCCTTCCCCCACCTCCACAACGTCGCCCGGCTCCGCCACTGTCTCACACCACAGGCCACCGAAACCCTCACACACGTCTTCATTACATCGAGGCTCGACTACGCAAACTCACTGCTTGTCGGCCTCCCTCCACAGGCTGCAGATCATCCAGAACCAACTCTGCAGCCCATGTCCTCTCCCGCACCAGGCTCCGCAACCATATCCCCCCATCCTCGCCCGACTCCACCGGCTTCCCATCACACAGAGGATACAGTTCAAGATCCTGGTCCTCACCTTCAAAGCCCTCCATGTCTTGCTCCCCCTACCTCTCCGACCTCCTGACCCCCTACCATCCTGCTCACTCCCTCCGCTTAGCGGGCTCTGACCTGCTTCACGACCCCCACCTTGCTCGCCCCACTATTGGCGGGTGAGCCTTCCGCCACTCTGCCCCCACCCTCTGGAATTCCATCCCGCAATCCCTCCATCTCGCCCCCTCCCTTAGTGCTGTGTGTAGTTCGTATCAGCTGGTCACACTACAGCGATATAAAACCTTATAGCTCTTACCCACCATGTGTGTTATAATGGGGTCAGACTGTCTGGCTCTTTGGTCACACGGTCTCCTGGTCCAATACAGGCGGACTTGCTTTGACAAGAGTTCCATGTGTGGAATATACTTACTTATACCAGACACTCTGTTCCAGGCTATCTTCATGATCAGGTGAGCCATCTTAGGTCCGACCCCAGGCAGGTTCAGGAGCTCGGGGATAGTGTTGGGGATGTCCCCACTATACTGCTCCCTCAGTATCGCGCTGGTCTGCTTGATGTACTTCACCTTATTCTGCATAACAGAAACAATGGTGTAACCAGCCACACTAATCAAAGTACAGAGCAGGAAGGGTTGTAGGATGTAGGATTGCTTACTGATAATAATAATAATCATCCTTGCATTTGAAATAGAACCTTACACATTGTTGAAACGTCCTCAAAACCCTTCCCAGGATACACTGTAAAGTGAATGATGTGTATTTTGTGAGCGAAACGTAGCAGCCACTTGTCACAGCAACAACTGGACTGGAATAAGCCATTCACACCAGCTAGTTGACCACAAGGGATTGGCCCGGATGAGGTATTGTGTCCCTTGGGCAAATTTGCCAAGTCTTGAGTTCAGCTGAGCAAGAACAATAATTCTAAAACACATACACTCATCAGAGAAACACAACCATTAATCCAACAAGCTTCTCCAATACTGGCAGCATCAGGAATTGTGGTAAGTTCAATTTTTTTTACTGAACGTGTGCCCGGATATGGTTTACAAAATATGGTCACCCTTAAGTTACTAGGCCGTGCTGGTGTCCACCTCTCCCCTGCAAGAAGACATCCGTCCCTTGGCTTGAACCTCGAACCTCACCATTTGTGCCATAAAGACTAGTGCTCAGGATGTGTCAGAGGAATCCGAGGAAGGAGAGAGTGTGCTTGGGCAGCGTGCTCTGCATTCATTCCTCACAATGAGTCAAGCAGTTTCCAGTTATTGGTGCCAAAACAAATTTAACTATTAAAATATAATTGACATATAATAATTTTGTCATACCTATTCTTTCTTACAGAACTGAGACCTGGGATTATTGATTTGCCTGTATATAGGCACAGAGATATAGGCACTACTGTGGTTAATGGTACTTGATTATACACAGTAACCTACAGGAAACCGTTCTTGTATGTAAACATTAGCCCAGTTGGTAGCACTCTTGCCTCTGGGTCAGAGGCTGTGAGTTCAAGCCCCAGGTGCAAACTTGAGTGCATTCTTAAGGAAACTCTGCATGGTTGGTTGAGGTGCTATCCTTTGGATGATACAATAAACAGAGGTGCCTGACATTAAAGAGCCCGTGGCAATATTTGAAAAGAGAAGGGAGTTTCTCCTGGTGTCTTAGCCAACAATTCACCAGATGGATTAGCTTCATTTTGTTTCCACAAACGGCTTTTCCTCCGGCCCCCGCACTGTCTCGTGCGGTGTCCCTCAGGGCTCTGTCCTCGGTCCCCTCCTCTTCACCCTCTATATGCTCCCCCTGTGGTGACATCATCCGCAGACATGGAGTTAACTTCCACATGTATGCGGATGACACCCAACTCTACCTTTCCTCCTCTACCCTCAACTCCACGACCCCCGATGTCCTGACAGCTGTCTGTCCGACATCGAATCCTGGACGAGAGACAACATTCTTCAGCTCAACGTGCGCAAAACTGAGGCCCTCCTGATTGGCTCACGTCAGCGCCACCGCACCTCAGGCGCTGACAGCATCAGCATCCAAGGCCGCACTCTCCACCTCTCAAAGCCATCAGGAACCTCGGGGTTCTGTTCGACCCTGAGCTGTCCTTTCTCCCCCATATCCGCGCCACAACTGGCACCGCCTTCCATCACCTCCGGAATATCGCCAGACTACGACACTACCTCACCCCTCACGCGGCTGAAACTCTGGTCCACGCCTTTATCACCTCAAGGCTGGACTATGGGAACTCTCTCCTCGCCGGCCTTCCCGGCCCTCCCTCCACACTGCAGGTCATTCAGAACTCTGCAGCTCGTGTACTGTCCTCGCGCCCACATCACTCCCACCCTCACCCTCGCTCGCCTCCACTGGCTCCCCATCCCCCAGAGGATCAAATTCAAGATCCTCATCCTCACCTACAAGGCCATTCACGGCCTCGCTCCCTCCTACCTCTCTGACCTACTATCCCCCTATCTACCTGCCTGTACCCTCCGTTCCTCTGGCTCCGGTCTGCTCCACATCCCCCACCCCAACCGCCCTACCACCGGTGGCCGGGCCCTCAGCCTCTCAGCCCCGAGGCTCTGAAACTCTATCCCCCAGTGCCTTCGCCGCTTCCTCCCTTTCCTCCTTCCAAGGCCGGTCTCAAGACCTTTCTCTTTGACCGAGCCTTCAGCTCCCCTCTCGACTCTCTACCCCCTTCTCGCTCCCTCTCTTCCCTCCCCTCCCCCTGATCATTTCTCCCCACTGCTCGGGTCCTGACCCAACTGTCCAGCACCTTAGGATGTCCTCCCGACGTGAAAGGTGCTCTATAAATGAAATCTTGTTGTTGTTGTTGTAGCTGTGTTCAAATTGGTTCGAAGCAGTCAATTTATTTGACAGCAATTCCGGTGACATGTTGTTGATGTTATCGGTGCTGTATGAAATGTAGGGATTATTACTCTATCACATCATGTTCAGTTACACTCAAAGATATCTCTGTATGCCCAATTGGAGTGCATTGCATTGCTTTGGGTGCGAATCAAAACCTAATGCTCGCATAGTGAAACTTACCCTCCAGAATCCGACTGGGTAGATGAGTTCTCCCAATGTCTTATCGTCCATTTTTAGTACATTCTCCAGAGTCAAGCCATAATCTCGCAGTTTTTTCATTGATCTCTGGTCTGGCTGGACAGCATGAGTGACAGCAGAACCTGGTACCTCATGACCTGGGTTGTTGTGGACAGGACAGAACACATCTTACACTCATCGATTCAAAGATCCTTGTTCTAACTTTCCAATGCCTGTGCCCTTGCCCTGATCTCCTTCAGTCCTACTTCTCTGCCCAAGAGGAAGCAGCACCACACTGTGGCTCAAGGCGAGAACAGAGATCCAGATGGAATCTAGAAACATCCCAGTTTGTGTGGCTTTTGTTATTTTTGTTTTGCCAATTTTCTCCCCTCCTGAATTCAGACTCTGACTGAGGTTACACTTCCCTGCGCACTGGATGGTGTCCGTTAATTACCTCTACCAACGTCTCTCTTCACACACACAAGCCCAGGACAGTCCGTTCCCAAGCTGACTTCTGCTCCGGTGTGTGAAAGTCTCACCCAAAACACACTCGCACCCACCTCAGACCCTCGAAATATTCTGTACTATTTGAAAAGAGAAGGGAGTTCCTCCCTCGCGTTATCCTGGCCAAGAATTCCCCAAATAACATTTAGTCATTCACCCCACGGTTGCTTGTGGGTCACTGCTGTGCACAATGGGCGCCACGTTTTGTCCACAAAATACAGTAAATCCACTTTACAGATATAAACTGTGAAGCGCTTTGAGATCAGCTCAACAGTGTGAACAGGTGCTCTATCAAATGAAGGGATTATTATTTTATTTAGTGCGGTTTTCCTAAAAATACCAATGTCACCTCTCATTGGGAGGCAGTTACCGCTGGACTTTTAGTGTTTTATAATAACAATATTAATCCTTGGATTTCATACATAGCGTCTCACATCGGCGGCCGCGGCGGGTGAGGGGTGAGGGCCGCGGGGGGTGAGGGGTGAGGGCCGCGGGGGGTGAGGGGTGAGGGCCGCGGGGGGTGAGGGGTGAGGGCCATGTGAGTGGACCTCAGTATTTGCTCCACATGATGTGGAGTTACCTTTGGAGCAGCGGTTTGATCAAAGCATTGCGCGGCTCCCAACTGATCCACAGGGGCGGCCCTGCGCTTCCTCATCGCCCTGATGTTGGCCATCTGCTGTGACCACCTCGGGGGCTGCCAGTGCCGCTCCTCCCCGGCCCCGGCCCCCCCGGCTCCGGCTCCCCGGCCCCAGCTCCCCGGCCCCGGCCCCCCCGGCTCCAGCTCCCCGGCCCCAGCTCCCCGGCCCCCGGCTCCAGCTCCCCGGCCCCCCCGGCCCCAGCTCCCCGGCTCCGGCTCCCCGGCCCCAGCTCCCCGGCCCCGGCCCCCCCGGCCCCAGCTCCCCGGCCCCCGGCCCCGGCCCCCGGCCCCAGCTCCCCGGCCCCGGCCCCCCCGGCCCCAGCTCCCCGGCCCCGGCTCCAGCTCCCCGGCCCCCCCGGCCCCAGCTCCCCGGCTCCGGCTCCCCGGCCCCAGCTCCCCGGCCCCGGCCCCCCCGGCCCCAGCTCCCCGGCCCCCGGCCCCGGCCCCCGGCTCCGGCTCGGCGGTGTGGCCGTTGTCCGTGGCCCGGCCCGGCGTGTGTGTGAGACTGGGGGCCCGGGCGGGGGGGACACGCCCTCCGCCCCCCGCGTCCTGACGTTTCTCAGCCCGGAGAGACCGACTGGGTTTTGCTGCAGTGGCGGGTGCTGACCGGGGACCCGGACCCGGGGACAGGCGTCTCGGCGCCCAGTGACAGGAGGAAGCCATTGGCCGGGACTGAGCGGCTCCCGCTGTCACCGCAGCGCGTCCCCGCCGCCCGCTCCGCAGCAGCACCCCCCCCGGGCCCGAGCCCCCCCTCCCCCGGGCCCGAGCCCCCCCCCCCGGGCCCGAGCCCCCCCCCCGGGCCCGAGCCCCCGGGCCCGAGCCCCCCCCCCCGGGCCCGAGCCCCCCCCCCCCGGCCCGAGCCCCCCTCCCCCGGGCCCGAGCCCCCCCTCCCCGGGCCCGAGCCCCCCCTCCCCCGGGCCCGAGCCCCCCCCCCCCCGGGCCCGAGCCCCCGGGCCCGAGCCCCCGGGCCCGAGCCCCCCCCCCGGGCCCGAGCCCCCGGGCCCGAGCCCCCGGGCCCGAGCCCCCCCCCCCCGGGCCCGAGCCCCCCCTTCTGAGTTGGCGACGGGTTGTGTCAGACCCCACAGCGGGAGGCGTCCCGGGGCGCTGTCACTGACTGCTGAGCAGTGTTGTCGGTGTGTGTGGGGTTTCCGGTTGTGCGGTACAGTACACAGTGCGGATATAAACATATGGCTTTTTCAGTGGGTGACAAATGATTTACATTTTTAACTTAAAACTGCAAAACAGTTTGCGGCCCGAGGGGCGGCCCGAGGGGCGGCCTGTGACAGGCGGCCCGAGGGGCGGCCCGAGGGGCGGCCTGTGACAGGCGGCCCGAGGGGCGGCCCGAGGGGCGGCCTGTGACAGGCGGCCCGAGGGGCGGCCCGAGGGGCGGCCTGTGACGGGTCGGGGCCGCCCCTCGGGCCGCCCAGTCGCAGGCGCGGCCTCCCGTGGGCGGGTGCTCGGTTGACTTTGGGCCGATGTGCTCTCTGCACCGCAGGGCCTCCGCACGCGGTCACCAAAACACTGTCCCTTCGGCACTGCGAGTGGCCCAATTGCAGCAAAACTCCTCTCACCGCGTGTCAACTCTCTGCACCTTTTGTGGTTCTCTACGCAGCAGCGCTGACAAAATCAGCCAAACGTTAGCGGTGAGAATTGTAACAACAAATCAGGCGTCAGACAGAGAGTCATTGCAATCATCGAATTCTCGCATATTACACCTCAGAAATGGACCATTCAGTCCATCAACTCTAACTGTTGGAAAGGTTTATTTTTCACTTATCCAACAACATTTTCCACCATTGTCAGCTTCGCTCAGTTGGCAGCAACAACAACAACAAGATTCCATTTATTGAGCGCCTTTCACGTCGGGAGGACGTCCCAAGGCGCTGTACAGTTGGGTCAGGACCCGAGCATTGGGGGGAAATGGTCAGGGGGAGGGGAGGGAAGGCAGGGGGCGAGGAGGGGGTAGAGAGTCGAGAGCGGAGCTGAAGGTACGGTCAAAGAGAAAGGTCTTGAGACCGGCCTTGAAGGAGGAGAGGGAGGAAGCGGCGAAGGCACTGGGGATGGAGTTCCAGAGCCTCGGGGCTGAGAGGCTGAAGGCCCGGCCACCGATGGTAGGGCGGTTGGGGCGGGGGACGTGGAGCAGACCGGAGCCGGAGGAACGGAGGGTACGGGCAGGTAGGTAGGGGGATAGTAGGTCGGAGAGGTAGGAGGGAGCAAGGCCGTGAATGGCCTTGTAGGTGAGGATGAGGATCTTGAATTGGATCCTCTGGGGGATGGGGAGCCAGTGGAGGCGAGCGAGGGCGAGGGTGGGAGTGATGTGGTCGCGGTGTCTGGTGCGGGACAGTACACGAGCTGCAGAGTTCTGAATGACCTGCGGTCAGAAGGTTGGAGGTTCAAACCCCATCCTGTTACTAAGATGACACTCCAATACAGTGCGAGGGGGGAGGGTGGGGAGCATTATCAGAGGGAACGCTTACATGAAAGGCGCTATTATTATTTATTCAAAACAAATGTAAAGTCATTCTTATTTCAGTTTATTTTTGTTTTTGCGTTAGTGTGGATGTTGGTGTTAGTTTGGTGTTAGTTTTGTTTGTGTGAGTGTGGATGTTTACTGTTAGTGTGATTCTCAGTGGCGTTGTCCTTGATATTGGTGTTGTGGATATTAGTGCTACTAATGTTGGTGGTGTTGGTGTTGATGTGAGTGTTGCTGGTGTTGGTGTTGATGTGAGTGTTGCTGGTGTTGGTGTTGATGTGAGTGTTGCTGGTGTTGGTGTTGATGTGAGTGTTGCTGGTGTTGGTGTTGAAGTGACTGTTCCTGGTGTTGGTGTTGAAGTGACTGTTGCTGGGGTTGATGTGAGTGTTGCTGGTGTTGGTGTTGATGTGAGTGTTGCTGGTGTTGGTGTTAGTGTGAATGTTGCTGGTGTTGGTGTTGATGTGAATGTTGCTGGTGTTGATGTGAGTGCTGCTGGTGTTGGTGTTGATGTGAGTGTTGCTGGTGTTGATGTGACTGTTGGTGGTGAAGTGACTGTTGCTGGTGTTGGTGTTGATGTGAGTGTTGCTGGTGTTGGTGTTGATGTGAGTGTTGCTGGTGTTGGTGTTGATGTCAGTGTTGCTGGTGTTGATGTGAGTGTTGCTGGTGTTGATGTGACTGTTGGTGGTGAAGTGACTGTTGCTGGTGTTGGTGTTGAAGTGACTGTTGCTGGTGTTGGTGTTGATGTGAGTGTTGCTGGTGTTGGTGTTGATGTGAGTGTTGCTGCTGTTGATGTGAGTGTTGCTGCTGTTGATGTGTGTGTTGCTGGTGTCGGTGTTGATGTGAGTGTTGCTGGTGTTGGTGTTGATGTCAGTGTTGTTGGTGTTGATGTGAGTGTTGCTGGTGTTGGTGTTGATGTGAATGTTGCTGGTGTTGGTGTTGATGTGAGTGTTGCTGGTGTTGGTGTTGATGTGAATGTTGCTGGTGTTGATGTGAGTGCTGCTGGTGTTGGTGTGAGTGTTGCTGGTGTTGGTGTTGATGTGAGTGTTGCTGGTGTTGGTGTTGATGTGAGTGTTGCTGGTGTTGGTGTTGATGTGAGTTTTGCTGGTGTTGGTGTTGATGTGAGTGTTGCTGGTGTTGGTGTTGATGTGAGTGTTGCTGGTGTTGGTGTTGATGTGAATGTTGCTGGTGTTGATGTGAGTGCTGCTGGTGTTGGTGTGAGTGTTGCTGGTGTTGGTGTTGATGTGAGTGTTGCTGCTGTTGATGTGACTGTTGCTGGTGTTGGTGTTGATGTCAGTGTTGCTGGTGTTGATGTGAGTGTTGTTGGTGTTGATGTGAGTGTTGCTGGTGTTGGTGTTGAAGTGACTGTTGCTGGTGTTGGTGTTGATGTGAGTGTTGCTGCTGTTGATGTGAGTGTTGCTGGTGTTGGTGTTGATGTGAATGTTGCTGGTGTTGGTGTTGAAGTGACTGTTGCTGGTGTTGGTGTTGATGTGAGTGTTGCTGCTGTTGATGTGAGTGTTGCTGGTGTTGGTGTTGAAGTGACTGTTGCTGGTGTTGGTGTTGATGTGAGTGTTGCTGCTGTTGATGTGAGTGTTGCTGGTGTTGGTGTTGATGTGAGTGTTGCTGGTGTTGGTGTTGATGTGAATGTTGCTGGTGTTGATGTGAGTGCTGCTGGTGTTGGTGTTGAAGTGACTGTTGCTGGTGTTGGTGTTGATGTGAGTGTTGCTGCTGTTGATGTGAGTGTTGCTGATGTTGGTGTTGATGTGAGTGTTGCTGGTGTTGGTGTTGATGTGAGTGTTGCTGGTGTTGATGTGAGTGCTGCTGGTGTTGGTGTTGATGTCAGTGTTGCTGGTGTTGATGTGAGTGTTGTTGGTGTTGATGTGAGTGTTGCTGGTGTTGGTGTTGAAGTGACTGTTGCTGGTGTTGGTGTTGATGTGAGTGTTGCTGCTGTTGATGTGACTGTTGCTGGTGTTGGTGTTGATGTGAATGTTGCTGGTGTTGATGTGAGTGCTGCTGGTGTTGGTGTTGAAGTGACTGTTGCTGGTGTTGGTGTTGATGTGAGTGTTGCTGCTGTTGATGTGAGTGTTGCTGGTGTTGGTGTTGATGTGAGTGTTGCTGGTGTTGGTGTTGATGTGAGTGTTGCTGGTGTTGATGTGAGTGCTGCTGGTGTTGGTGTTGAAGTGACTGTTGCTGGTGTTGGTGTTGATGTGAGTGTTGCTGGTGTTGGTGTAAGTGTTGCTGGTGTTGGTGTGAATGTTGCTGGTGTTGATGTGAGTGTTGCTGGTGTTGATGTGAGTGTTGCTGGTGTTTGTGTAAGTGTTGCTGGTGTTGGTGTGAATGTTGCTGGTGTTGATGTGAGTGTTGCTGGTGTTGATGTGAGTGTTGCTGGTGTTGAAGTGAGTGTTGGTGGTGTTGGTGTTGAAGTGATTGTTGTTGGTGTTGATGTGAGTATTTTTGGTGTTGATGTGAGTGTTTTTGGTGTTGATGTGAGTGTTGCTGGTGTTGGTGTTGATGTGAGTGTTGCTGGTGTTGGTGTTGATGTGAATGTTGCTGGTGTTGATGTGAGTGCTGCTGGTGTTGGTGTTGAAGTGACTGTTGCTGGTGTTGGTGTTGAAGTGACTGTTGCTGGTGTTGGTGTTGATGTGAGTGTTGCTGGTGTTGATGTGAGTGTTGCTGGTGTTGGTGTTGATGTGAAAGTTGCTGGTGTTGGTGTTGATGTGAGTGTTGCTGGTGTTGATGTGAGTGTTGCTGGTGTTGGTGTTGATGTGAGTGTTGCTGGTGTTGGTGTTGGTGTGAGTGTTGCTGGTGTTGGTGTTGATGTGAGTGTTGCTGGTGTTGGTGTTGGTGTGAGTGTTGCTGGTGTTGGTGTTGATGTCAGTGTTGTTAGTGTTGATGTGAGTGCTGCTGGTGTTGGTGTTGAAGTGACTGTTGCTGATGTTGGTGTTGAAGTGACTATTGCTGGTGTTGGTGTTGATGTGAGTGTTGCTGGTGTTGGTGGTGATGTGAATGTTGCTGCTGTTGGTGTTGAAGTGACTGTTGCTGGTGTTGGTGTTGATGTGAGTGTTGCTGCTGTTGATGTGAGTGTTGCTGGTGTTGGTGTTGATGTGAATGTTGCTGGTGTTGATGTGAGTACTGCTGGTGTTGGTGTTGAAGTGACTGTTGCTGATGTTGGTGTTGAAGTGACTGTTGCTGGTGTTGGTGTTGATGTGAGTGTTGCTGGTGTTGGTGTTGAAGTGACTGTTGCTGGTGTTGGTGTTGATGTGAGTGTTGCTGGTGTTGGTGTAAGTGTTGCTGGTGTTGGTGTGAATGTTGCTGGTGTTGATGTGAGTGTTGCTGGTGTTGGTGTTGAAGTGACTGTTGCTGATGTTGGTGTTGAAGTGACTGTTGCTGGTGTTGGTGTTGATGTGAGTGTTGCTGGTGTTGGTGTTGAAGTGACTGTTGCTGGTGTTGGTGTTGATGTGAGTGTTGCTGGTGTTGGTGTAAGTGTTGCTGGTGTTGGTGTGAATGTTGCTGGTGTTGATGTGAGTGTTGCTGGTGTTGATGTGAGTGTTGCTGGTGTTTGTGTAAGTGTTGCTGGTGTTGGTGTGAATGTTGCTGGTGTTGATGTGAGTGTTGCTGGTGTTGAAGTGAGTGTTGGTGGTGTTGGTGTTGAAGTGATTGTTGTTGGTGTTGATGTGAGTATTTTTGGTGTTGATGTGAGTGTTTTTGGTGTTGATGTGAGTGTTGCTGCTGTTGATGTGAGTGTTGCTGGTGTTGGTGTTGGTGTGAGTGTTGCTGGTGTTGGTGTTGATGTGAATGTTGCTGGTGTTGATGTGAGTGCTGCTGGTGTTGGTGTTGAAGTGACTGTTGCTGGTGTTGGTGTTGATGTCAGTGTTGCTGGTGTTGATGTGAGTGCTGCTGGTGTTGGTGTTGAAGTGACTGTTGCTGGTATTGGTGTTGATGTGAGTGTTGCTGCTGTTGGTGTTGGTGTGAGTGTTGCTGGTGTTGGTGTTGATGTCAGTGTTGTTGGTGTTGATGTGAGTGCTGCTGGTGTTGGTGTTGATGTGAGTGTTGCTGGTGTTGGTGTTGATGTGAGTGTTGCTGGTGTTGGTGTTGATGTGAGTGTTGCTGCTGTTGATGTGAGTGTTGCTGGTGTTGGTGTTGAAGTGACCGTTGCTGGTGTTGGTGTTGAAGTGACTGTTGGTGGTGTTGGTGTTGATGTGAGTGTTGCTGCTGTTGATGTGAGTGTTGCTGGTGTTGGTGTTGATGTGAATGTTGCTGGTGTTGATGTTAGTGCTGCTGGTGTTGGTGTTGAAGTGACTGTTGCTGGTGTTGGTGTTGAAGTGACTGTTGCTGGTGTTGGTGTTGATGTCAGTGTTGCTGGTGTTGGTGTGAGTGTTGCTGGTGTTGATGTGAGTGTTGGTGGTGTTGGTGTTGTTGTGAATGTTGCTGGTGTTGATGTGAGTGTTGCTGGTGTTGATGTGAGTGTTTTTGGTGTTGATGTGAGTGTTGCTGGTGTTGGTGTTGATGTGAATGTTGCTGGTGTTGATGTGAGTGCTGCTGGTGTTGGTGTTGAAGTGACTGTTGCTGGTGTTGGTGTTGAAGTGACTGTTGCTGGTGTTTGTGTTGATGTGAGTGTTGCTGGTGTTGGTGTTGAAGTGACTGTTGCTGGTGTTGGTGTTGATGTCAGTGTTGCTGGTGTTGATGTGAGTGCTGCTGGTGTTGGTGTTGATGTGAGTGTTGCTGGTGTTGGTGTTGATGTGAATGTTGCTGGTGTTGATGTGACTGTTGCTGGTGTTGGTGTTGATGTGAGTGTTGCTGGTGTTGATGTGAGTGCTGCTGGTGTTGGTGTTGAAGTGACTGTTGCTGGTGTTGGTGTTGATGTGAGTGTTGCTGGTGTTGATGTGAATGTTGCTGGTGTTGGTGTTGATGTGAGTGTTGCTGGTGTTGGTGTGAGTGTTGCTGGTGTTGGTGTTGATGTGAGTGTTGCTGCTGTTGATGTGAGTGTTGCTGGTGTTGGTGTTGATTTCAGTGTTGCTGGTGTTGGTGTTGAAGTGACTGTTGCTGGTGTTGGTGTTGAAGTGACTGTTGCTGGTGTTGGTGTTGATGTGAGTGTTGCTTCTGTTGATGTGAGTGCTGCTGGTGTTGAAGTGACTGTTGCTGGTGTTGGTGTTGAAGTGACTGTTGCCGGTGTTGGTGTTGAAGTGACTGTTGTTGGTGTTGGTGTGAGTGTTGCTGGTGTTGGTGTGAGTGTTGCTGGTGTTGAAGTGAGTGTTGGTGGAGTTGGTGTTGAAGTGATTGTTGTTGGTGTTGATGTGAGTGTTTTTGGTGTTGATGTGAGTGTTTTTGGTGTTGATGTGAGTGTTGCTGGTGTTGGTGTTGATGTGAGTGTTGCTGGTGTTGGTGTTGATGTGAGTGTTGTTGGTGTTGATGTGAGTGTTGCTGGTGTTGGTGTTGATGTGAGTGTTGCTGGTGTTGGTGTTGATGTGAGTGTTGTTGGTGTTGATGTGAGTGTTGCTGGTGTTGCTGTCCCAGTACACTGTGAACTACAGCTCCCAGCAGGCCACACCCTGGCGCGCCTGCGCAGTACGAGACGGAAGCAGTTTTTCCTACGTCAATTCCGGTGAGGTGAGGTCAAGCGGGAGGAGAACGGAGGAGCTGAGAGGTCGGTGCGGTGAGGATGTGAGTGATTTGGCGGCCATCGAGCCTGGGCTGAGGGCAGGATCAGTGCGAGTGTCAGCCATTGAGGAGGGAGGTCACTGCAGTAACTGACACACCTGCCCGCGGGGGTGGGGCTGAACTGGGGGCCACTGGTCACCAGCCCCCCCATCCCCCGAGGACGCCACAGTCGCCCTCCCTGACTGACTGACTGACTGAGGGGGGTCGGGGGTTGCACTCAAATGCACAACCGGAGAAATATCCGGTCAACTCCGGAGTTTGTACATTTTTGTATATCTTCAGCCGAGGGCTGGTAATAATTAAAGAGAAAAACTATTCCCACTGGCGGGGGGTCGGTATCCCGAGGGCACTGATTTAAAATAGCTGTTAAAACAAACAGAGGGGAGGTGAGGAAAAATGTTTTCACACAACAACAACAACAACAAGATTACATTTGTATAACACTTTTCAAATTGGGAGGACGTCCCAAGGCGCTGGACAGTGACAGCATTTCAGACCCGAGCTGGGGTCAGGGGGGGAGAAGGGAGGGGAGGGGAACGGGGGTGACCGATGGAATGGTCGAAGAGGAGGGTTTTGAGGCGGGACTTGAAGGAGGCTAAGGAGGCGGTGAGGTGAAATGATTAGGGGATGGAGTTCCAGAGGTTGGGGCAGAGTGGCTGAAGGCTCTCCCACCAATGGTGGGGTGGATGGGTCGGGGGACGTGGAGCAGACGGAGCCGGCTGAGCGGAACAAACGGGCGGGTTGGTCGGGGGTTAGGAGGTCACAGAGGTAGGGTGGGGCGAGGCCATGGAGGGCTTTGTAGGTGAGGACCAGGATCTTGAACTGGATCCTCTGAAGGATAAGGAGCCAATGGAGTCGGGCGAGAGTGGGGGAGATGGGGTCACGGTGTTTGCTGGGGGTGAGAGTGGGGGAGATGGGGTCACGGAGTTTGGTGCAGGAGAGGACACGGACTGCAGAGTTCTGGATTATCTGCAGTCTGTGGAGGGAGGAGTTGGGAAGGCCGACAAGTAGGGCGTTTGCATAGTCGAGTCGAGGTGATGAAGGCATGAACAAGAGTTTCAGGGGCCTGAGAGGTGAGGTAGTGGTGGAGTCGAGCGATGTTACGGAGGTGAGGGAAGGCAGAGCGGGTCATGGGTTGGATGTGGGGCAGAAAAGAGAGTTGAGGGTCGAACAAGACACCTCGGTTCCTGACTGGCTGGTGAGTTGTAGTGTGCAACCGTGGAGGGTGATGTTGCCAGAGCCTGAGGTGCGGAGGCACTGGTGTGAGCCAATCAGGAGGGCCTCAGTCTTGTTCACATTCAACTGTAGGAAATTTTCCCTCATCCAGGACTTGATGTGCAACAGACAGTCTGTCAGGACAGCAGTGGGCCTGGAGTTGAGGGTGGAGGCAGAAAGATAGAGTTGGGTGTCATCCGCATACATATGGAAGTTGTTGGGATCTGGAATGCATTGCCTGAAAGCCGATTCGACAACAACTTTTAAGAGAGAATTAGAGAGGGCAGGGAGGGTGGAGAGCAGGGGTAGGAGGGTGGCTGAATGTGTCGTAGAAGAGGAGGGACTTGAGACTTATTTTATGAAATATAGCCTGGGAACCAACCAAATACCTGGTATAATGAGGAAACGCAGAAGCTGAGTGACCAATTAATACAGTATGCAATGACTATTGCTTTTCTGGTATGCAGAAGTGTTGCAGTAACTGCAATTTGCATGGTTGCTGTACTTGTGGCAGTCCCGCCCCCAAACTGGTTTCACCAAGCTTAGCTGAAGGAAATGGGTTGAAAGTGTCACAGCAAGAAAATTATAGGGGACAGACCAATTATAGGGTACTGTCTCACAACACTAAGACCTTTTTGTGATTTTCCCTAATATTAGTATGCTTCTCCTCTTCACTGACCTGATTATGAATCCTATTTTCATAAGTTGGATGACCTACTTCTTGATCAGACAACAAACACATTGAACATGATGGATAACGTATGAAACTTGGCACCCTGCGATGTGACAATGGATAATCATCACGTCCTGTAGCTGACTGGTTAAGTCATGTGTAGTGAAACAACCAGTGCATTGTAATCACTCACACATGTGGAATCATTGCTTTATTCCCAGTCATTTTCTATTTGTACACTTGTACATATACATTGAAAGTTTACTGCCATTTCAGATTGTAATGAAATTGCTATATTTCCCCCAGGCTGCATTACTTGTAAATTGCAGTGAGTAACTTTGCACTGTGGATTCTGCCTAAGGTGGTATTTTTTGAGGGGAGGAGATGTAGCTTAGAAGTCATCGGCACATTGACTGACAATCATTAGAGCTTTCTAGTAAAGTAGTAAAACTGTTCTCATTATAGTTTGACAATTTGAAGACTGACTGAATTGGTTGGTTGGTTAATTAGGTTTGGTTACAAAGTACTGTTTGAAATTGCATTGCACATCTTTATAAAGTGAGAGGAAAACTGTTCAAACCTTCACTAAAATTGGGGTCTATTTTAGACAGAATGAAACCAGCTGAGTCTGTATCTTGCCTGCGTTCTGCTGAGCTTTCTGGCAGGATTTGTCAATACATAATCCGAGTTCCAAATCGTGAATTCTGTTGGTATTTGAGATAGACCCACGGAAAATCTTTAATGGGTTCACCTAGGTTGATGTGCCCCACTTCCAGTTGGATTCTCTGCTGGGGTTTTGGAGTCTAAATTCATGAATTTAGTCGCTAAGAAATCGCTGCAAATTGAACTCTGTTCTCTTTAATCCAACAGTTATTGTTTTGATTAACACATGATGAAACATTGCTTTTATATAATGTATTTATAATTTTCAAGGATCCTTAAATGTGCTGCATTTTGTGAAAGACAAAAGGTCTTCAGAGTTGAAGTGAGTATTGCAAAATCGTGCTTGGCTAACGGGCCACACTTCAGGTGGCACTTGTGTCAGTCAGATAGCACCCAGGCGCATTTACAACCTACTAAATGCATGCCATTCCTTTTGGTTCAAAACAGGTGAACCCAAGCTACCATGTCGAAGGTACAAAACAAAGACTCCTCCTTACGCGAGCGGTTTAAAAACCTCTTAGGCATCGGTTCTCGGATCAATACCAAGCAAACCGAGTGCAAGCCGACAGAGTTCATCATCACAGCTGAAATCCTGAAGGTTGAGTATCCCGATTTTGCTTAACCGTTTGCAAAGCCATTCTTTCCCTGTTCTGTCTGCAATGAGAGTGCAATGTTGCTTGTCTTATTTCAGGATTTGAATGTAGAGTGTGGGCTTCACAGCAGAATAAAGACCATCAGCTATGTTTGTGAGCTAGCCAAAACCAAGAGATTTGAAGAGGTGAGTACTACATTCTTCACATTTAAACTCGCTGTAATGAGCCTCTGATACTGCTTCCAACTTCAGTTTATAAACTTAATGAATTGTCAGTCATTAAGATTGGATTTGTACTTTTAAATAGCTTTAGTGTAGCTTTTACTGTTTCGCTGCGGTATTATTTACAGTGCAATCCTTTACCAATTTCCATTACTTATCAACTGTTAATTCGCTCTAGATTGAACTATTACAAATATTTCTTGTGGCAGCTAAACAGCTATCGTTCTTCAAAAGTTTAAATGAGATTGCAAATTAAGTGATTGAGGAATACTAGGATTATGTTTTCTGTAGGTGTTTTATTTGGAACAGCGGGCTGATTTTGCTTTTAGAGAAGCTTTGCATGATTTCTTGTTCTTGAGTATGATTTCTTACATGATGAATAAGGAGCTGACTTAATTGTGTACATTTGGTAGCCTTGCATATCGACACAGACTGTACCCTGTAGCTTCACTGTAGATAACCTCACTCCAGATAACCTCTGCTTTTGCAGCATGCTGTGGAGGCATTGTGGCAGGCTGTTGATGACCTGATGTCTGATGAACAGCCTACAGAGGCCAGACATGCAGTACTTCAGCTGATGAAGGCTATTGTTCAAGGACAGGTGAGCAATAACAACAGCTACACATTTGCATTTGCAACTAGACGAGAAGCACTGATTATTCCTGATGTCGCGTTTTGCCCACAAAATACACAGTCATTCCATTTTGCAGTGAAACACTTTGAGACATTTCAAATGACATGATAAGGCGCTGTATCAAAATGTAAGGGTTATTATTATTGGAATTGAGTTGTGACTGTTTTCCGTCAGTTATTTTCTAGTTGTTACAGAAGTGCACAGCTGTGTTTAATCAGTGCAGGATTTGTGTATTTCCTTATACAGGGGGAGAGGCTTGGGCCCATTCGCGCACACTTCTTTCATGTGATCAAAGATTATCCAGTCTCTGGCGACCTGCACGAGAGACTCGAGGTGTTCAAAGCGCTAACAGAAAATGGAAAGGACATCATCTATTTGGAAGAAGACCTGTGTATGTTTCTTTAAAAAAGACACTTTTGAACACTGAAATACATTTTTAAGGTCTAAATCCGCTGATGTTCGCCACATTAATGGTGCTAATTTTGTCAACGCCTTTTTTGTAGCTATTGAGCGCTGTAAGGTGGTGTATAGATGTTTCCTTGCTGCTATTTTTTCTTCAGTTTTCTTCTCCTTTCTTAAGGACTTTGTTTTTTCCAGTGGTTCTGGCCACCTTCAGTACCTTGCTCAGTGCCGATTATTCACATATGAGCCTCAACACTGGATGGTGGCAACTATCTTAGCCCAATAACAATACACTTCTATATTTCAGTGGGGTGGGGGAGGAAGGGGAAGGGGGTGTCTAGATATCCAGACAAGAGGGCATGTTACTGTTGCTAGACTTCTGTCAATTCTGCTCTGAATCTGGTCACAGGAGGTGAGATGGATCTAACTGAGGTGTCCCTTTTCCTTCATCTTTCTGTAAAAGACAACTATTTCTTAGCTAGCACTGTTTCATAGTGATGCGGCTGAGATTGTGAGCTCAGGATGGGGAGAAACCAGGATACAAAGCTTTTCACTCCGCTGTATATCGCATTCCGAATCTTGACATGCCCTTACCCCGAGTTATGTTTCAGCGGTGTTTACGCTAATAGAATCCATCTTAACTAAATAAATTGGTGTGTGTCTTATACATTGATACCTGTCATCAGATTTATCTTACTTTGTGCCAGCGAATTATGTTATTCTCCATTGAAAATAGATTTTTTTATGTAAAAAGCTGATCATCATTTCATTGCTGTTCTAGCCCCCTTTGTCCTCAATTGGTTGGAAATTGGTTTGGAAATTGGACTGACTGCTGAGTTTCTGGAAGTTTTGGTCAATCTGGTCAAGTTCAACAGCTGCTACCTGGATCAGATTGTGGGTCAGATAGTTCAGTAAGTACAAAGTAGATCATTCAGTCAACGCTACCATGTTATTGTATATGAATGTTGGTAGTAACTTTAGCTTGACTGATTCACGAGGTTAGAATCTTCTCAATCAATGCTGGTTCATGTCTCTCTTCTTATGTATTATTCAAGTGTCAAGAGTGATAGATGAAGGAGCTCTACTCTCAGCAAAATTAAGTTATTGAAATTTTTTTTGAGCTCTGCTTTGTTTTAACATAATGCTGTTTGCACTTTTTTTNCTAAATCTTGTTATTTCTATTGCTGCTGAGAACGAATCCCTTCTTTTTGCAAGGGCTACGTTCCTTCCAGGTGTGTGGAATTGAATTGCATCTTGATTCATCATTTTGTTTTTTGCAGTAAAATCTGCATTCTTTGCAATCTGACCATCGTGTCAACAGATATAGAGGTCAGTGACTTGTATTTCACTTTGGCTTTTGACCCCAGTTTTATTTTGTGGTGTTTTGTGCGTGGCCACTTAATGGCTTCAAAATGTTTTGTGGAGTCTTTACAACCATTCAAAAGAAAATCCATGCGTCGTTTTGTGGCACCCAATATATTTTCGCCCACAAATATACAGTCAGTATATTTTACAGTATATTCTGTGAAACGCTTTGAGATGTCTAGAAGACACGAAAAGCGCTATATCAGATGCGAGGATTATTTATTAATTTTTCATACAATAAGTCAGATGTACAGGAATTTCAGAGGTAGCAGAGGGCATTTTGTTTCTCATGCCCTCTCGGCTGTACATCATAGAACTGTGTACTATATCACCTTTCCATCTATAGGGTGAGTGCAGAGTGCACTTTTTTTAGTTTTGTTTTAAAACTTTTCTCATAGAAGAAGTAAATCCGCTGTATGATTTGTTTGCAAATTTATTGTTCAAGTGCGTGTGTTTCAGGTGACTGAAGATGATATTTCTCTCTGACAACTTGTGTGACAAAAGTAATCTGACTTGTGTGCACTCTAGTGCATGTCTCAGGGGGAGTGGTGCAGTGTTGGATGTACCTTTAAGCATACCTTAGTTTGTTACTTTGGGGGGAAGGGGAGGGAATTCTCTCTCCATTTCATTACAAGTAGAGTTTCAGAAATATTCAAATTGGTTGATATTGTCCTTGCTGTTTTTTGTGAAAAAAAACAATGTTTCATTTGGAGCATCTATGTAAAACTGAAAATGCAATTGTTTAGAAGTGCTGCTTCAAACCCATGATTCTATTTTGCAGTATCAAAATGATAGAAGTATATTGTGATCTGAAATGCATGTTGCAGTTGCACAAGTTAACTACAGCAAATTAATGATATAATAGGAGAAAGTGCAAGACTTGTAATATTTGTGCTCATTCAGGTCTCTCTGCAAGTTCTGGATGCAGTTGTTTGCTACAATTCTTTGCCTTCAGAGTCTCTGCCAGGATTTATCATTACACTGTGCCGCACGGTTAATGTGAAGGAATTTTGTGAGTCTTGTTGGAAGGTAAGGTTTATAGTCTTGTGACCACACAAATGAATATATCAACCTAATCCCGACGCGAAGGGTGCTGTTTCAGATGTAAGGATATTTATTATTTTGTTTGTTTGGTCCCTGCGCCCGTAATCCGTATTTTATTATCTGGACTCATTGAGGCCAAATGGCCCAATGCTGTGCCATGCCATTCTATGTAATTCCCTGTTGTTCTCTGAACCTGTAGAACCTGGTGTTATTGAAATATCTGCATTAAAGCCTCACTGTTTATTCCTTTTCTAGCTGATGCGCAAAGTCTTAGGAACTCATCTAGGACACAGTGCGATCTACACAATGTGCCGCATTATGGAGGACAAGTATGGCTATATTGTCAGTTTTTAGTCACTTATTAATGGCTGGAAATTTACTTTGAGCATTTTGCAGTTGTTTGATAAATTGTGAACTATCATTCATAAAGTACCTGTGCTGATCCTTGTGTCATCCTCTGCTGTTAGGGTGCACACAGATGATGCTGCGCTGTTGAGGGGTGCAGTGTTCTTCGTTGGAATGGCTCTCTGGGGAGCCCATCGCCTCTTTTCTCTGAAGAATACTCCAACCTCGGTTTTGCCTTCTTTTTACAAGGTAAAAAAACAAAAGGTGGATTTCGGTTCATCATTTTAACCAAAGTACTTTGCATAGATGTAAAGTCACTGACTGATAAAATTCATCTATTCCATTAAAGTCTTAGATTGTCAGAGTAAGTTTAGACCCCACTTTCTTAAAGCATAGTATTCACTGTTTTTCCCTTCTTGTGCACAAGATCCTGGTCCTCACCTACAAAGCCCTACATGGCCTCGCCCCACCCTACCTCTGCGACCTCCTAACCCCCTACCAACCCGCCCATTCCCTCCGCTCAGCCGGCTCCGGCCTGCTCCACGTCCCCCGACCCACCCGCCCCACCATTGGTGGGAGAGCTTTCAGCCACTCTGCCCCCAACCTCTGGAATTCCATCCCCCAATCACGCCGCCTCGCCGCCTCCTTAGCCTCCTTCAAGTCCGCCTCAAAACCCTCCTCTTTGTCCATTCCATCGGTCACCCCACTTCCCCTCCCCTCCCTTCTCCACCCCTGACCCCAGCTCGGGTCTAAAATGCTGTCACTGTCCAGCACCTTGGGTCGTCCTCCCAACGTGAAAGCCACTAAACAAATGTAATCTTGTTGTTGTTGTAGTAGTACTCGTGTAGGAACGCTTACATTTTAATCTCAAAATTTGCTCGTGGCAGCCTTTGTAACGTTTCATAAATGGAAATAGTGTTTTTTTTCTTTTAGAATTCACGTTACAGGCACTGTGCAAATGCTTGTTTGTTTCAGGCTATGTCCAGTGCCAATGCAGTCGTGTCCTATGAAATTGTCCTGTCTGTCACTCGCTTGATCAAAAAGTATGGAAAGGAACTGCAGGTGGCAACTTGGGAACTGCTACTGGGTATCATCGAGCGATTGCTTCAGCAAATCCAGGTAAGTTTCAGCTTAGGTCCAGTCAGACCCATAATAATAATAATAATAATCCTTGCATTTGATATAGCGCTTTTCACGTCGGGAGGACATCCCAAAGCGCATCACAGAACACATTGTAAAGTGAATTGACTGTATATTTGTGGGCGAACACAGCAGCCAATTGCGCACAGCAATGTTGCACAAACAGTCGTAGATTGAAAATGACCAATTTATTATTGTTTTGGTTTTTGGAGGGATTATTATTAGGTCTCTCACTTGCAAAGCCAGTGCTCTAACCACTGAGCTACAGGACTCCACGATATCATGTCACCTACAAGGCCATTCACGGCCTTGCTCCCTCCTACCTCTCCAACCTACTATCCCCCTACCTACCTGCCCGTACCCTCCGTTCCTCTGGCTCCGGTCTGCTCCACGTCCCCCGCCCCAACCGCCCTACTATCGGTGGTCGGGCCTTCAGCCTCTCAGCCCCCAGGCTCTGGAACTCCATCCCCCAGTGCCTTCGCCTTGCTTCCTCCCTTTCCTCCTTCAAGGCCGGTCTCAAGGCCTTTCTCTTTGACCGTGCCTTCAGCTCCCCTCTCGACTCTCTTCCTCCTCCTCGCTCCCTCCCTTCCCTCCCCTCACCCTGACCATTTCCCCCCTCCTCTCTCCCTCCCTTCCCTCCCCTCACCCTGACCATTTCCCCCCTGCTCGGGTCATGACCCAACTGTGCAGCGCCTTGGGACGTCCTCCTGACGTGAAAGGCGCTCTATAAGTGGAATCTTGTTGTTGTTGTTGTTGTTGTCATCTGGGTGTTCTTAATCGGTCGCATTATAAAAATGGCTGGGCCACTTGTGCACATATTGTGCTGAAGCTCAAATATTTCTCATTCACATGTGAACATGAGTTTGTCATCCTCAGTCATGTTGGTTGGAGATCCCCTTTAATTCACTCGTTGCTTTTCTGGCTTTGTTTTGTCTCAGATGCTGGGTAGCCAAGAGCTATCAATTATTGTACATGAGTTGCTAACTACTATGGAGGAGTTGTATGAACAGAATGGATACCATGGTCCTCATGAGAGGCTCTTCATGCTGATTGAAAAGTGCTCTGACAGAAGACCGGTAAGCCATAGTCCGATCTGTGAGGGGTATTCTTGTTAGAAGGACTTCATTTGCTCTGCACATTATTTTACTTTAGGGACTACTTTACTTTAGAGTGTCTACGGTCGAACACTCCCAGGGCATAAACGTAGAATCCTCCACTAGTAACTAACTTACTGCATATGAAAATGAGACGTGGATTAGTTAGAAAGGTGTTCTTTTATTTTTATGAAATCAAAGGGCAATCCAGGCTGAGAGCTCAGTGGAGCCATTGCCTTGTAGACTAAGATGATGAAGTTGTGTTATAGCACCTTTTAAATGGTTTATTCTTTCACTGTTACAATTGGGGTGGGGGGAGGAATTCCTTGTGCCGATGAGATTTTGCGCTGCTGGATGTCCACAATATTGCTGCACTCAGCACAAGAAATTTCATAGCAAAATGTACTTTTTTATATATATATATATATGTATATATAACTCGCCTTTTCAGTTGTGTTCATGTCATGCAAATTTGCTAAGTTCACTAGTGAATTATCTTTAGCTCCGTTTTTACAGAAGACAAAAACACAGAGGATTTTTCTAATGTGAAATCGATGCCAGCCTTTCTGGCAAGGTCTTATGGTTTTTTTAATTGATTCCGTTTATCAAGGAGAGCTCAGTCCTCACGCTTGTGTCGTACCGAGCTCAGAGCATTCATCCTGCTCAACACTGCTGGCTTCAGAATCTCCAGAAACTGATGGAGAAGTTCTTCAGGTAGGAAATGATTTCTTTAATTAAACCTGAAATTAATTCATTGACTGTGTTTATTCCTTGCATTTGTTTGACAGTTTTAACATTACCCAGTTTCAGTTTCACTGATAGACATGGTTGTATATCATTGCAATGCTGTAATGTATTACAGGTGTCTTTATTGTACAGCTGAGAAACGTTATCCTGCATCAAGGGCTCTATATAAGTGACTGGAGAAATATTAATGTGTGCTGCTGTTCATTCCTCCTCATGTCTGTAGGAATGAGAATCGTAACACCATTCGGAAGAAGGCACTTGATGTCTTGTCATTTGTTTTGAGCATAAATCGACAGCTGTATGAAGTAAGTGTAATAACCTTAAAAAAAAGGAGGAACAATGGGTGAAGGGAGTTGAAAAGTAATGCTGGCTTTATAGCATATTAAAAATCTTGAAAGATGCACTTTGTACAGCTAATCCTCTCCTCTGCGTCTCAACCAAATCTAAGCGCAGGCAAGATATTTCCCCATTTGGGAGAGCAAAGAGGAGATCTAACAATAAGTTATGCTCCTGGCAGAGTGAGAATGCAGCCTTGCTGCAATCACTGTCCTTTGGTGCTGAAGATGGCATATAAATCAAAGAGATATTAAAAAGGGTAAAGAAAGAAAGTAATCATCATGATTAAAATTCAGCCACTTATTAGTCAGGATGGGGTCTGAAACTGCTTCACAGGAATTACTGTAAATTATAATCGCTGTGTATTTTTGTAGACAAACATGGCAGGCAATTCTGTGCATAACAGTGTCCCACAAAGCCATGAAGTGAATGATCAGTTTGAGTTCAAAGTCCTGAGCTGGGGCTTGGACCCCCGACCTTTCGATTCAGAGATGAGAAGTTTCCTGGATTCGTTGGTGCCTTATTTAAAGGTGATTAATTGTCCCCTTCTATAGGAAGAGCTGATCGAGTCCATCGTGATTCCCCAGCTTGGTCACACTGCAGAGGATAAAGATCACATGGTGCGGAAATTGGCCACCCAGCTCCTGGTGGACTTAGCTGAAGACTGCAACACCCCTCACTTCAACAATCTCTTGGACATCATAGAAAAGGTATGATGGAGTGATTAACCTCAGGACCTAGAAATGTGGATCACATTAACGTAAAGAGAATATTTCATTGTTCTGCTTAAACAATCTCTCTGTGTCTGGGTGAAATAAGGATTGATGCTGGTGGCCATTTGCAATGTTAAACATGTCTCAGGTTAAATATTAAGATATATACAATGTAAAACACTGCTCAATCTAATAATAATAATCCTTGCATTTGATATAGCACCTTATGTCATCAAATATTTAAAATGCCCAAAGGCACTTCATACCTTTCCAGAAATTTGCAATGTGAACAAAGAGATTCAAGGCTTGAAGAACAAATTCTAAAGTCATTCAATCATTACTGAAATTATTAAATCTGTCCAGTAAAACTAATGTCCTTCCTGCAGGTTGTTAACCGGACTCTTGTTGATTCTGTTGTTGTGGAGGCAGTAGAAAGTGATTTATCATCTGAAGCTCCGCTGGAAGATGTGAAGACGGCTGTCCTGGGTCTTCTGGAGATTCTGCAGGTTTATAAATCTTTCTTTAGGTCAGCCTTGTTCCAGAGGTTAGGAGCTTAGTTGCTGAATGCTCAGCTACTGAAAGTATTATGAAGTAATTGAACAATGGGAGCTGGGTGTTGCTGGCTGGACTCCTTTGCTGCAGTATGTTTAGAGGCTAGCCTTCTCTCGGTGCTGTAACATTCAATGTATGAATAGAGACGAGACGTTCATGTTATTAACCCAAATTGGCTTCAGGCGCATGTCTTTGAGATGACAAACAATATACTTAACCCGCTGCAAAACCCAACTGTCATCTTTACTCTCACCTACATTTCCCTCGACTTTCCAGTCTGTGGCTTGTTTTGTGCAGGTTGCGTAAACTTTTACAGGGAAAAGAGTTATAATAATGATGATGATAATCCTTGCATTTGATATAGCTCTTTTCACGTCTTCTAGACGTCTCAAAGTGCTTCACAGAATATACGGTAAAGTGAATTGACTGTATATTTGAGGGTGAAAAGCAGCTGTCAATTGTGCACAGCAGCGTCCCCACAAACAGTCGTGCATTGAAGTGACCCAATTTATTTTTTTCTCTGCGGGATTATTATTAGGAGTGTGGAGTAAGGAAACTTGCCCCAGATTTTGCCCTGCCAGGAATCGAACCCAGGTCGCTCGCTTGCAAGGTGAGCGCTCTTAGCACTGAGCTCCAGGACTCCAAATTGTATGTAGCTGTGAGTTCCAATGGAAAGAAAATGAGCACGAGATTCCTAAAGGTGAATGGGTGTGGAATCGGACTGTAGGGGGCATGGCTATTCAAGAAAAATTGATGGCAGCAGATGCATTGAAGTGTTTTTATTTGTTTTTGTTTCTAGACCAAATTGTACAGCTTACCTGCCAGTCATGCTAGTCGGGTTTATGAGCTTCTGATAAGACATATACAGTCACACGACAAGCAGAGGTACACATCTCCCATTGCAAGCAGTATTCGAATAAAGGTAGGTAGGTAATGCAGCTCATAAAAATGCACAACTACCCAGTACTGAAATTCTAAGCCAAATGTTACCCTTTCTATAACTGGATGTCCTGTTTCTGAATGCAAATAATATTTATATATATATGAATATATATTATACACATATGTGTGTTTATTATACATAAACACTAACCTCAAGCAGGGCTCTACATTGTGTTATGTAATGCTTCATGTTGCCAAAATTCATGAGATTGTGTGTAGCAGTGATAACCTGCGAATACTGCATGGCAGTCATTTGGTTAAATAGCCTAAACTATAGTGAAACTCTGATAACTCCTCACCCTACCGGAAATAGCTTAATGACTACTTAACAGAGTTGACTAGTTATCCAAAGTGCAGGATCTCGAAGCTAAAAAGTACCCCAATAGCCGGGATATTGAATGAGCGACTAGTGTGTGGGTTGACTATTTTATCTCAGGGTGCTAGTAATCAAAGTTTCACTGTACATCTCGCTATAGGTGTTTGATTTCCTTCTCCATCTTCGAGTGGACTCACTATATCGTATCGGCGTGCCAAACAAGGATGGAGTTGTAAGATTTAGTCCATATTGTCTCTGTGGAAGCAGGTAAGCAGTGACGTGTTGCAGCCAGCAGGGTTTTGTAACACTGATCAAACAACCTACTTGGTGCTGACAATCAATCCTCTGAGACGCTGCCTTGCGTGAAAGGTGTTATTTGACTACAAATTATTGTACTTCTTAATGACCCTCAGCAGATGACCTATTTGTGTGTTGGGCGCTAAATGTCTGACAGTTTCTAGTGGGATTTCACAATAGGGAAATGCAAGTTTATTCAACCGGCATCGAGGAATTCCAGAGATCCCATGTCAATTCAACTTGATTTTTGGAGTGGCGTCCCCATGAATTGATTACTGAAACGAGTGATTCCCCTTTCAGATGCCTTATTAAGATTGAAGATCCCATGGCACCATTCACAGTGTCCTGGCTAACAGTCCTCAGGATAACAAAAATTGGTAATTTTCCTCATGTCTATTTATGGGACATTGCCGTGTGCAAATTGGCTGCTGTGTTCGCCTGCAAATACTCATTCACTGCACTTCACTATAAAAATCCTGTGAAGCGCTATGAGACATTTTAACAATGTGACCATATCAAATGCAAGGATTGTTTACTGATTATAATCCCATTAGAAATCTGCGTATGAACTCTATTGTTTGTGATGCAATTGAAGCTTGGACGGTCTTTTAAGTTGTTTGCAAAATATGTAGTCACTGCACTTTACAGTAAATGCAATTAAGTGCTTTGTACAGTAAATGCAATTAAGTGCTTTGAGACATTGACGTGAAAGATGCGAGATCAAATGTATTGATTATTGTTATTTATCACTGTGCTAAGGTTGTACATCAAGCTTGGTTGTAATGCATTAGTGTATCTATGTTGGTTACCCTGGAAGATTGAAGCACAATTTGTGTGAATGCATGGTTTCAACTATGCATTTTGTTTCTTCTTCCATTTTCAACACCTGCCTGAATTTCTTTATTTAGTGAACCTGAGAAGAGAGGATCAGAGAAAAAGGGACCAGGTACAGTTTCTCCACCAGTGGGAAGTCCTGCCTCATTGCAGAGTACTACAATCCGCATGGGTTACCTGCCTTTCTCTCTGGCGTTCAGTGCTATCCTGCAATGCCTTAAAAACGTAAGTGAAAGGGTTTATTTCCCATACAAAATACCAAAGCATACCAAAAATTACACTGTATTTCTTTGTTTCGCCCACAAAATATATAGTCAATTCACTTTACAATACATGATAAGGCCTTATATCAAATGCAAGAATTCTTTATGATTATTATTTATTTACCAAGTTCTGTCACTCTGTCAGTAAAGTAGTAAAAGGTGCTACTAAGAGTTTTAAGAAAAATAGGTTGTGGAGTACCATTACCATTGCTTTGGTAATTTATATAGCTAGTGTCTTGATGCACAGTCCTGCAAATTAATTGGTCATTTGCCTCATGCCTATTGTTTGTTTGTGGGGCATTGCTGTGTACAAAATGACTGTCACATTTGCCTAGAGGTAAGTCACTGAATGTGACTAATTGCTATGAAGCACTTTGAGACGTTTCAACAGTATAGACACTACAAAAAATGCATTCAATTGATTCAAGTGACACTCTTCTGCCTATCGGCTCTTGCTATTGTGCAATTGCTGTAGCTAGTCAAGATGTGAGACTGATTCAGTGCAGAAGCTACTTATTGTGCTCTTCTATCAAATTAAAGGATTATTACTTATTACTTTTTGTGCTGTTGTGAACTCCATAGGAACCCCCAGAATAACATGCATTACACAATTCGTAGATGGATCTGGGTCAAATACATGAACCAACCTTTGTGGTTGGTGCAATTGCTCATTCGAGGACAAAATATTTCCCTAATTCTGACTGCTGTAAACAGAAAACATTATAGCCCTGTCTCAGTGCAACATATTCAACAAAGGGTTTGATTTTCTTTTCTTACAAGTGACTTTTGTTATGCAGTCAATGTCAGTGGTACAAGGCCAGATTATTGAAACGTGCTCTTTTATAACCCCCACCAAGCAGGCAAATATGCCTCTTCTGAAAGTATTTTGTGGTGCCACTTAACAACAACAACAACAACAAGTTTCCATTTATAGAGCGCCTTTCATGTCGGGAGGACGTCCCAAGGCGCTGTACAGTTGGGTCAGGACCCGAGCATTGGGGGGAAATGGTCAGGGTGAGGGGAGGGAGCGAGGAGGGGGTAGAGAGTCGAGAGGGGAGCTGAAGGCTCGGTCAAAGAGAAAGGTCTTGAGACCGGCCTTGAAGGAGGAAAGGGAGGAAGCGGCGAAGGCACTGGGGTTCCAGAGTTCCAGAGCCTCGGGGCTGAGAGGCTGAAGGCCCGGCCACCGGTGGTAGGGCGGTTGGGGCGGGGGATGTGGAGCAGACCGGAGCCAGAGGAACGGAGGGTACGGGCAGGTAGGTAGGGGGATAGTAGGTCGGAGAGGTAGGAGGGAGCGAGGCCGTCAATGGCCTTGTAGGTGAGGATGAGGATCTTGAATTCGATCCTCTGGGGGATGGGGAGCCAGTGGAGGCGAGCGAGGGCGAGGGCGAGAGTGATGTGGTCGCGGTGTCTGGTGCGGGACAGTACACGAGCTGCAGAGTTCTGAATGACCTGCAGTGTGGAGGGAGGGCCGGGAAGGCCGACGAGGAGAGAGTTCCCATAGTCCAGCCTTGAGGTGACAAAGGCGTGGACCAGAGTTTCAGCTGCGTGAGGGGTGAGGTAGTGCCGTAGTCTGGCGACATTCCGGAGGTGATGGAAGGCGGTGCCAGTTGTGCGGATATGAGGGAGTAAGGACAGCTCAGGGTTGAACAGAACCCCGAGGTTCCTGATGGCTTTGAGAGGTAGAGAGTGCGGCCTTGGATGCTGATGCTGTCAGCGCCTGAGGTGCGGAGGCGCTGACGTGAGCCAATCAGGAGGGCCTCAGTTTTGCGCACGTTGAGCTGAAGAAAGTTATCTCTCGTCCAGGACTCGATGTCGGACAGACAGCTGTCAGGACATCGGGGGTCGTGGAGTTGAGGGTAGAGGAGGAAAGGTAGAGTTGGGTGTCATCCGCATACATGTGGAAGTTAACGCATTATTGCAATTCAGATCGCTTCAGTAATGTACGTGATTCAGTTCTGTTCAATTCCATTTCCTACTGAGCTAAGTTGTAAACCTCCTTGAATTGATAGAAGTGAGGAAAGCCTGGGTGAAATGTACTTGGGACCATTGAACATTTTTGTGTGCCTGATATAAATTATCTCTGCAATAATCGACTTCCTGCTTTCACTGTGAACTGTTGCCTTCATGTGCAGGAGACTGACTGGAAAGTGCTGAAGCTTGTGCTGGATAAACTTCCTGAATTACTGAAATACAAAGCACTCATACTGACTTCTCCGTGCAGCATGGATCGACTCTGCACTGCCCTCTGCAGCATGGTAATCAGTACATCACAGAACACAGCACACAGCACGACACATCATTTCGAAATAGGATCATAATGTTTTGCCCACAAAATATACAGTTGATTCACTTTACAGTATATTCTGTGAAGAGTTTTGAGATGTCTCAATGATGTGATGAAGCGCAATATCAAATTCAAGGATTATTATTTTTACTAATTTAATAGCGTTAAGGATGACACCAAATCCAGTGTTTGAGAGATTTGTTTTATAGCTCTTGTGTAATTGATATCAGAGATGAGATTGTTGCTCTTTAAGTAACTTGTGTTTGATTATAGTGAGCTCACTATAGTGAGCAGGGATTCCTCCCACTCAGTGTATTTATGTTTCTGATGTTTTATTTTCTCCCCAGGTTACAGACCGTCACCTGCCAGAGAGGTTACATCATACCCCAGATGGTTTCTCTCGCACAGATGTGCAGTTGGCTGCTGTCCCTGTACTGACAGCTATCACATCTTACCATGGTTATCTGGATCAAGCAAGACAGGTAACACTGAGCACAATGACAGAGGCATAGGAAGGCTCCAAATTACACCTAGTCTTAAAAGTCCAATAATGCATTGGATAGAGCTGCAGCGTACGGACCAGGAGCTCGCTGGTTTTAGTCCTGGACCGTGGTGCAAGTTCCGTATTTAGGGTCTAGTGATAATATTATCTTTATTCTTTCTCAGCGTGAGCTGATTCACTGCCTCGATACTGGACTCATCTACCGGTGTGCCAAACAGTGTGTGGTAACGCTGACAATGTGCATCATTGAAATGCCGGATATCATGGTGAAGCTCCTTCCTGGCATTATTCTCAAGCTGACCCATATCTCTGCCACACTCACCATGGCTATCCCCATGCTGGAATTCCTATCAAGTAAGATTATTCTGTTACGCTATCTTACAGGAAAGGTGGTTATAAATGCACAGTGTTATAGATTACTAGCGGCACCCATTGCAGCTGTGCTTGCAACCAAAGGATCCAATATGGAATGTAGATTGACACACAGACATTTAATCTTTATCTATACTTATCTCGGAGGACTCCTGTGGGAGGACTCATTTTGCCCAAGTTGTTCTTTGAGTGGGCAACTCATTTTAGCGTGCTGTTGCAGCCCTTTCAGCACTGAAGTGCAGCTGTGCTGTTCTTTGTTCTTCAGTTTCATTTGATGGGCCGTCTCTCTTTTGTCTAGTATTTTTACTTATCCTTCAAAGGTTTGATTTTCGCTTCGGCATCTTTATAATGATGAATATAAATGTATAAATTATAATCACTGGGACGTCCTCCTGACGTGAAAGGTGCTTTAAAAATGTAATTTCACTGTTGTTGCCACGGCTTAGCTTTGTCTTGTGTTCTTTATTTTGTTCCTGCCGCCACTTGACTATAACGCAGGATGCCACAGCGCCACGGTCAGCCGATGTGGCAACCAGGTGTAACTGGAGCGAAAAATTCAAAACCAAAATACATTTTAGGTCATAACTCATGAATTATAGGAGATACCCAAAAACAGATATGCCCATGTCATTCCCAGATGCAAGACCGTTCCGATGAGGTATAAATCATGTCTACCTCAATCATTTATTACGGTATTGGCAGACACACATTTGGACTTTATTAGTATAGATGTATCTCTGGAAAGGTGTGTGATTTCCTCTGTCGCTACTTTGTTGCAGAATACCATGCATCTTATACTAATAAAAATTAATTGTCTGTCTGTGTGTCCGCCAATAACACAATAACGATTGCCGTAAGAGACTTATTTATATCTCATCGGAAAGGTTTTGCATGGGGGAGTGTCATAGGCATTTTTTTGGGGGGTATCTCCTATCGTTGTATAACGTATCTATAACGCCAGACATCGCCAGACTACGTCATTACCTCACCCCTCACGCTGCTGAAACCCTGGTTCACGCCTTTGTCACCTCAAGGCTGGACTATGGGAACTCTCTCCTCGCCGGCCTTCCCGCCACCTCCCTCCACACTGCAGGTCATTCAGAACTCTGCAGCTCGTGTACTGTCCCGCACCAGACACCGCGACCACACCACACCCACCCTCGCTCGCCTCCACTGGCTCCCCATCCCCCAGAGGATTGATTCAAGATCCTCATCCTCACCTACAAGGCCATTCATGGCCTCGCTCCCTCCTACCTCTCCAACCTACTATCCCCCTACCTACCTGCCCGTACCCTCCGTTCCTCCGGCACCGGTCTGCTCCACATCCCCCGCCCCAACCGCCCTACCATCGGTGGTCGGGCCTTCAGCCCCGAGGCTCTGGAACTCCATCCCCCAGTGCCTTCGCCGCTTCCTCCCTCTCCTCCTTCAAGGCCGGTCTCAAAACCTTTCTCTTTGACCGAGCCTTCAGCTCCCCTCTCGACTCTCTTCCCCCTCCTCGCTCCCTCCCTTCCCTCCCCTCACTCCCTCCCCTCACCATTTCCCCCCACCTCGCTCCCTCCCTTCCCTCCCCTCACCCTGACCATTTCCCCCCCCCAATGCTCGGGTCATGACCCAACTGTGCAGCGCCTTGGGACGTCCTCCTGACGTGAAAGGCGCTTTATAAATGGAATCTTGTTGTTGTTGTTGTATCTATAACGTATCTATACTAATAAAACTACAATGTCGGCAAGTATTTTGCAACAAAGTAGGGATGGAGGAAATCACACAACCTTCTAGAGAGAGACATCTATACTAATAAAGCCAAATGTGTGGGTCCGCCAATAACGTAGTGACCAATTGACGTAGAGTATTGGATCCTTTGGTTGTAAGCATAGCTGCAACGGGTACATTTAGTTCTGCATATTTTGGGGCTTAATTAAAGCATTTTTTAAATATAGCTCACCAACGACAGGAGACCATATGCCCATGTTACTCCCCCCGGTAAGACCTTTATGGTGAGGTATAAATCATGTCGGTTATTGCCGGGAGCAGAAAGCCCAGGAGCGTGAGGAGGGAACGGAGTGAGGAGAAACAGAGTGAGAATTCTGTTTGGGAATTAGGTGAGCATGGGAACTCTTCAGCAAGAGAGCTACCAGAGAGCAAGAGAGCTACCAGAGGAGCTGCAAAAGAGAACTTTCATTCAGCCAAAGAGCAGAAAATTTTTGCTGAGGGAGGGGCAACCTTATATGGAAGCAGGTAAACAAGTCAATTCGCAATTAATCATAGACCAGGTGTCGGGGATTAATTCAGTTGCTGACCAGTGGAGACTGAGTGCTTTTGAGTCCTATATAAAGGGGAAGACTTGCGAGAGCCTCACTTGAGCGAGAATTCTGTTTGGGAATTAGGTGAGAATGAGAATTGGTTGCAGAGGGGGAATTCGGTGCAGGTGAGAACTTGTAAAGGAGAAACAAAACCCCCAAGAGCCTGCACAAAAGGTCACATTCCTGTGGCGGTAGGTGTTGAGTATATAAGAAGTGTGAGCAAGGGAATAAAAGGGGTAAAATAACTTGTTTTTACCTATTTACCCCAAAATGGTGGGGAAAAATATTGCAAAATATGTCTGAAAACCTGGCAGGGCAGCTGAGACCCATTCCATGCACACTGTGTGCAATGTGGGGACTCTAGGGTGGTTCATGTGTTCTGGACAAACGTGTGTAGGAAGTGCTTCCGGCTGCTTGAGCTCAGGGTCGCTGAGCTTGAGGAGAGGCTACAGTCACTACATAGGATATGGGAGGCTGAAGAATTTATGGATCGAACTTTTCAGGAGGTGGTCACCCCAGCTACACAGAGGGCTCAGAAGAAGGGTGACTCTCCGAAATGGAGCAAATAAAGAACAGGCAGTACAGAAATCCCCTGAGTGTGGCACTCAGAAACCGGTCTCAGTATTAGATACCGATGAGGACGTCTCTAGCGAGAAGAGTCAGAAGGTAATAGATGTTCAGGGGAACAAAGGGAAAAAGGCCAACGCTGTTGTTATCGGGGATACAACAGTTAAAGGGATAGACAGGCGTTTCTGCCATAAAAGACAGGACTCGCACCAGGTATGCTGCCTCCCTGGGGCCAGGGTGCATGACTTCACGGAATGGGTACAAAATATCCTACAAGGGGTAGGGAAAAATCCGGAAGTTGTGGTCCATGTCGGGATCCATGATGTAGATGATAAAAGGGCTGAGGCCTTATAGGGAGAATATCAGACGAAGCTAAAGAGCAGGACCTCAATGGTGGTGATTTCGGGATTACTCCCAATGCCTTATGCAAGTGAACACCAAACTGGGAGCATCAAACGCATGAATATCTGGTTGAGAAATGGTGCAGGAAGGAGGGCTTCAGGTTTCTAAACCACTGGGACCACTTCTGGGGCAGATGGGACCTGTTCATGAGGGATGGGTTACACCTGAGCAGGGCTGGGGCCAATGTCATTGTAATAAGGATAACAAATGCTGTGGGGAAACGATTTCAAGGGGGGATGGGGATCAGAATGTAGCATCAGGGAGGGGGAACGAGTTACATAGTGGATGAGGAGAGACAAATAGAAATGAAACAAGGAATAATCCAGCAAAAAGTGGAAAGAGACAGGGGAGAAATACAACAACAACAACAACAAGATTCCATTTATAAAGCGCCTTTCACGTCAGGAGGACGTCCCAAGGCGCTGCACAGTTGGGTCATGATCCGAGCAGGGGGAAATGGTCAGGGTGAGGGGAGGGAAGGGAGGGAGCGAGGAGGGGGGAAATGGTCAGGGTGAGGGGAGGGAAGGGAGGGAGCGAGGAGGGGGAAGAGAGTCGAGAGGGGAGCTGAAGGCTCGGTCAAAGAGAAAGGTTTTGAGACCGGCCTTGAAGGAGGAGAGGGAGGAAGCAAGGCGAAGGGACTGGGGGATGGAGTTCCAGAGCCTCGGGGCTGAGAGGCTGAAGGCCCGACCACCGATGGTAGCGCGATTGGGGCGGGGGACGTGGAGCCGGAGGAACGGAGGGTACGGGCAGGTAGGTAGGGGGATAGTAGGTCAGAGAGGTAGGAGGGAGCGAGGCCGTGAATGGCCTTGTAGGTGAGGATGAGGATCTTGAATTCGATCCTCTGGGGGATGGGGAGCCAGTGGGGGCGAGCGAGGGTGAGGGTGGGAGTGATGTGGTCCCGAAGCCTGGTGCGGGACAGTACACGAGCTGCAGAGTTCTGAATGACCTGCAGTGTGGAGGGAGGGCCGGGAAGGCCGGCGAGGAGAGAGTTCCCATAGTCCAGCCTTGAGGTGACAAAGGCATGGACCAGGGTTTCAGCCGCGTGGGGTGAGGGAGTGCCGTAGTCTGGCGATGTTCCGGAGGTGATGGAAGGCGGTGCCAGTTGTGGTGCGGATGTGAGGGAGAAAGGACAGCTCAGGGTCGAACAGAACACCGAGGTTCCTGACTGGCTTTGAGAGGTGGAGAGTGCAGCCTTGGATGCTGATGGTGTCGGCGCCTGAGGTGCGGAGGCGCTGACGTGAGCCAATCAGGAGGGCCTCGGTTTTTCGCACGTTGAGCTGAAGAAAGTTGTCTCTCGTCCAGGACTCGATGTCGGACAGGCAGCTGTCAGGACATCGGTGGTCGTGGAGTTGAGAGTAGAGGAGGAAAGGTAGAGTTGGGTGTCATCCGCATACATGTGGAAGTTAACTCCATGTCTGCGGATGATGTCACCAAGGGGGAGCATATAGAGGGTGAAGAGGAGGGGACCGAGGACAGAGCCCTGAGGGACACCACATGAGACAGTGCGGGGGGTGGAGGAGAAGCCATTCGTCGAGACAAAGTGAAGACGGTGAGAAAGGTACGACCTAAACCACTCAAGGACAGTGCCTTGAAGGTTGAGGTGGGAGGACAAGCGGTGGAGGAGGATAGCGTGGTCGACCGTATCGAATGCTGCCGATAGGTCGAGGAGGACGAGGAGGCAGAGGGAGCCCTGGTCACAGATGGTCAGGATATCATTGGTGACCTTGACCAGGGCAGTTTCTGTGCTATGGGCAGCACGGAAACCTGACTGAAGGGGTTCGAAAAGAGAATGGGTGGAAAGGAAAGAGCGCAGTTGGGAGGCGACAACTCTTTCCAGGACCTTGGAGAGAAAGGGGAGGTTGGAGATGGGCCGGTAGCTTGATAGCTGCGACGCATCAAGGGAGGGTTTTTTCAGGGTGGGCGTGATGGTGGCAGTTTTTAAGGGAATGGGGACAGAGCCAGAGGAGAGGGACAGGTTGACGATGTCGGTGATATGTGGGGCAAGAAAGTGGAGCTGGGAGATAAGGAGTGGAGTGGGGATGGGGTCAAGGGAGCAGGTGGTTGGTTTCAGGGATAGGATGAGTTTGGTGACAGAGGGTGGGGAAACGGGTACAAAAGTGAGTAGGGGAGGATGGGTAGCAGTCGGAGTGTGGGAGTGAGGGGGTGGGGGGTTGGTGGATGTTGGAGGGGAAGTGACTGCGGAGCGAATTCCCTTGATCTTGGATTCAAGGAAATCCAGCATCTCCTCGCAGTGAAGGTTGGAGGAGATGACCTTGCCGGGGTGGCGGGGGGGACGGAGGAGTCGGGTTGTGGTGGAAAACAGTAGCCTGGGGTTGTTCTTCGCCTCCAGGATTATCCTGGATGTAGAGTGGATTAAGCCGGTCTTGGAGTGAATGTGTGTAAATGCACGGAGCGTGACCAATAAGCTTGGTGAGCTGCGGCTCAAGTTGCCACATGAAGACTTGACTCAAGCAAGGACAGGAATGGGAGCTGAATATTCCTGGCTACAACTTATTCAGGAGAGATAGGGAAGCGAAAAAAGGAGGAGGGGTAGCAATACTCATTAGGGATATGGTCACAGTCCGGGAAAAGGACAATGTGTTAGAGGGACCAAAAACTGGATCTTTTTTGGTTAGAGTTACGGAGCAGAAAAGGAGCTGTTACTCTGTCAGGTATTTACTATAGACCTCCAAATAGTGGGAAGGAGATAGATGAGCAAATCTGCAGCAGATTTCAGAGAGATGCAAAACCAATAGAGTAGTGATAATGGGGGACCTCAATTATCCTAATATAGACTGGGAAACACGCAGTGTAAAGGGCAAGGAAGGGGAGGAAATCCTGAAATGTGTGCAGGAGAACTTTCTGGATCACCATATTTCCAGCCCAATGAGGAAGGAAGCAGTGCTAGATTTGTTTCCGGGAAATGAAGTGGGGCAAGCAGAGCAGGTTTCAGTAGGAGAGCATCTGGACAACCGTGATCACAATATCTTTAGGTTTAGAATAGTTATGGAAAAGGACAACAATCAATCAAAGGTAAAGACCCTCAACTGGAAGCGGGCTAATTTCAGTGAGCTAAAAGGGGACCTGGCCAAGCTAGATTGGAAAGAATGATTGGCAGCTAAGAATTCGGGGACAGAGCAAATACATTCTCACAAAGGGGAAAGGTAGGACAGTCAAACCTCCCTGGATGACTAAGGAAATTGGGATTAAAATAAAAGAGAGAAAGGAGGCTTATGACAAATGTCAGGTCCAAAACACACAGGATAGTCAAATAGAATATAGAAAGTAAAAAGGAAATAAGAAAGGCGAAGAGATTGTACGAGAAAAGATTAGCAGGAAACATAAAAGGGAACCCTAAGCTATTTTATAAGCATATCAAGAGTAAAAGGTTAGTCAAAGGTAGGGTGGGTCCAATTAGGGACCCAAGTGGAAATGTTCTTGCTGAGGCAGAGGGCATGGCTGATGTATTAAATAAGTACTTTGCAACTGTCTTCACAAAAGAAGATGATGCAAAAAATGCCACAATATCGCAGACCAGAAATTGGATATGATAAAAATCAACAGAGAGGAGGTACTAAAAAGGCTGTCAGTGCTCAACATAGATAAGTCACCTGGTCCGGACGGGATGCATCCTGGGTTACTGAGGGAAGCAAGGGTGGAAATAACGAAGGCTCTGGCCACAATCTTTCAATCCTCTTTAAAAACGCAGTGGACGGGTATTTGAGGAGGACGGGTTTGCAGGGTTATGGGGAAAGGGCTGGGGAGTGGGATTGACATTGCTCTATTCAAAGAGCCGGCACAAACTCGATGGGCCGAATGGCCTCTTTTTGTGCTGTACGATTCTGTGATTTGATGATTCTTTGGACACTGGGTGCTGCCAGAGGACTGGAAGGTTGCAAATATTACACCTCTGTACAAAAGGGGGCAGAAGGATAAACCTGAGAACTACAGGCCAGTCAGCCTAACACCAGTAGTAAGAAACTTCTGGAGACTATAATTTGGGACAGTATAAATTCTCACTTAGAAAAATATGGGTTAATAAAGGACAGTCAACACGGATTTGTTAAAGGCAGATCGTGTCTGACAAACCTGATAGAGTTTTTTGATGAAGTGACTGAGAGGGTGGATGAAGGTAGTGCAGTAGATGTAGTTTATCTAGATTTTCAAAAGGCATTTGACAAAGTGCCACATAAGAGACTTATCAACAAAATAGGAGCCCACAGTATTAAAGGGACTGTGGCAACATGGATCCAGAACTGGCGAGGAGACAGAAAGCAGAGCGCCTTGGGACGTCCTCCCGACGTGAAAGGCGCTCAATAAATGGAATTTTGTTGTTGTTGTAAACGGTTGCAATGCAAAGTGTTGCGTTTTGGTAGGAAGAATGAGGAGAGGCAGTGTAAGCTGATGGTACAATCTTGAAGGGGAGAACAGAGAGATCTGGGGGTCCACATCAGCAAATCTCTGAAGGTGGCCGGACAGGTAGATACAGCTGTTAAAAAGGCATCCGGGATACTAGGCTTTATAAATAGGGGCATAGAATACAAAAGTCAGGAGGTTATGTTGAATATAAAATGCTGGTTAGGCCTCAGTCGGAGACTGCGTTCAGTTCTGGGCACCGCACTTTAGGAAAGATGTTAGGACATTGGGGAGGGTGCAAAGGAGGTTTACCAGGATGGTACCAGGAATGAAGGACCTTAGTTATGAGGAGAGGTGAGTGAAACTAGGATTATTCTCCCTGGAGCAGAGAAGATTAAGAGGGGATTTAATAGAGGTTTTCAAGATCATGAGAGGATTTGATAGATTGAACCGGGAAAAACTGTTTCCACTGGTCAGTAACCCGAGGACACCGATTTAAGAGAGCTGTTAAAAGAAGCAGAGCGGAAGTTAGGAAAAAAATTTCACCCGGCGAGCTTTTGGGATCTGGAATGCACTACCTGAAAGGGTAGTGGAAGCCGATTCAATAACAACTTTTAAAAGTGAAGTAGATGGGTATTTGGGGAGAACAGGATTGCAGGGCTATGGAGAGAAAGCGGGCCAGTGGGATTGAGTTGGAAGCTCTTTTCGCAGCCGGTGCAGACACGTGGGCTGAATGACCTCTTTCTGTGCTGTATGATTCTATGATTGTGTTATTGGTGACCAGGCAGATGGACACACAGACATTTTGTCTTTATTAATATAGAAGATTATGCAGATAATTTAATTCTTACTGTTCGGGGGTGGGGGTGGGGTGGGTGGAGGGGGTGAAGATAAAAGGAGTTTCTTTGGGGTTGGCCTGGCTTCAAGGTGACGTGCGCAGCAATCAATGCCAGAATTGAGTCAATCCTCTGGCGGTCTCGTGCCCTAATTTGGGAAAATGCTAGATAGAAAATCTTGCATAATTGTTGATTGCACAGAGATAGATTATTGATTTCAAGATCTTCATCCTCACCTACAAGGCCATTCACAGCCTCGCTCACTCCTACCTCTCCGACCTACTATCCCCCTACTTACCTGCCCATACCCTCCGTTCCTCTGGCTCCGGTCTGCTCCACATCCCCCGCCCCAACCGCCCTACCATTGGTGGCCAGGCCTTCAGCCTCTCAGCCCCGAGGCTCTGGAACTCTATCCCCAGTGCCTTCGCCGCTTCCTCCCTTTCCTCGTTCAAGGCCGGTCTCAAGACCTTTCTCTTTGACCGTGCCTTCAGCTCCCCTCTCGCCTCTCTACCCCCTCCTCGCTCCCTCCCTTCCCTCCCCCTGACCATTTCCCCCCAATGCTCGGGTCCTGACCCAACTGTCCAGCGCCTTGGGACGTCCTCCCGACGTGAAAGGGGCTCTATAAATGGAATCTTGTTGTTGTTGTTGATCTATCGTAGATGTTCTAAATCATTGTTGTTTATTAACTGGGCAGTAAGCCTAAAGTGGTGACTTCTCATTGTCTTGCTATCAAGAACAGAACAGGAGGCCATTCAAGTAATAATGCCTGGTGCCAGCTCTCTGATAAAGCTATACAGATAGTTGCACTCATGTGTCCTTTTTCCATACTCTATACATTTATATGTTTCTTCCTCAAATATTTGTCTGTTCTCCCAGTCAAAACTTATGGATTTTACCATAAAATGTATTAACTAGTCATCTCATTGGAGTGAATAATGTTGGAACAATGTTGCTTGTCTTCATTAACCAGGAGATGTTTTCCTTTTTGTTGCAAATATGGTGAACGGAGGTTAGGTAACAATTTAATGGTTGCAATATTGTCTTTCAATTTATTTCAAACAATGTTTGTGGGAGAAGTGGTTTGAAAGTTTTTGCCTAAAAGTTTCTGCTTCTAATCACTATCAGGTGAAACTTCCAGTGGTCGGAAATGGGAACTTTTTAATGTGTTTGTAGGGCTGTCAGGTTGCTGGATTGGACTCAGTTCAGCCCATCTGGGTGAATCGCCTGTGGACACTCACTGTCAACTCTGGTCTTCCACAGCCTTGGTGAGACTCCCACCCCTTTACGCAAACTTTGTGGCAGAGCAGTACGTGAGCGTGTTCGCTATCTCACTGCCGTACACTAACCCTTTCAAGTAAGTCGCTGTTTTACTCTCTAGCAAAAGACCTTTATCGAAATGAGGAAAGTGAAGAAATCTGCAATGTTGTAGAATGAAGCTTTGCAATACAATCGTGAATATTAACATATTTCATTTGTTAATAAAATATATATAAGTTTTGTGCTCCTGGATGGTTCAGCGAGTTTATCCAACAAGCAGTTGCGCCATGTTGATTGGAAAAGTGCTGCATTTGATCTCTGCTGAGTTAGCTGATCTCAGCTGGGTGGGCGGGTGTACAATTGTCCTCAGTGCCTTCACTTAAGAAAGAGGCACTATATCAAATGCAAGGATTATTATTATGATATAATCTAGGTTTTCACTCACGATCACAAGTGAGGGAGGGAGGTCACATATGGAATCTTTTGTTTTGAAAAAAAATGTTGAATTGTTTTAAGCTTTCTGGCTTGTTCTTTTTCACAGGTTCAACCAGTATATTGTGTCTCTGGCACATCATGTTATAGCTATGTGGTTCATCCGATGTCGACTTGTATTTCGCAAGGATTTTGTACGTTACATTACAAAGGTAAGAGCTAAAATTGTTGATGGCTCATGCTTCATTTAATACATTAAGTCAACAATTAACAATATTGTGAGGTGTCCAGAGCAACAGTCTTCCAGATAAAATTGTTTGTTCACATCATGGCTGTTTTGTGGGAGATTGTTGTGTGCAAAATGTCTGTTGCATTTGCTGACAAGATACAGTGACTACATTCTACAATAAATCCTGTGAAGCAATTCGAGATGATCTCCAGATGTGAAAGGTTGTATGTCAAATGCAAGAATTATTATGTCCCGTGCCAATGTGTTTTTACTAAGCTGAAGTTAGCATATTAAAGAGCGTTCATATTTTGAACCTGAGGCTTTAAAATTCAGGTTTTGCCAATTTTGCATCAATCTTTAATTCAGTCTCTCTCTGGAAGTCAGTTATCCATATTTATTGTATTGGTTGCTAACTTTTGGTTGGCAGGATTAAAGTTGGCCTAGTCCAGAAAATTTTTCCAAAGCATTTCTCTTGCCTTCCAGTGGAGAAAGAATTGTGTTGATTCCCAGCTTATCCAGCTAGGCAGATGACCTGCCAGATGAATAGAAAACAGCAATCAAGTAAATTGCTTGCAGACTGTATAACAAATACCTGTGTATTGTTTAAAGGGTCAGACTTTTTTCTTGGTTTGTTTTAATAAACTAGGGATTGAGGTCTAACGCGCTGTTACCATTTGAGGATACACATGAGCCCAGTAGCTTTCGGGCACGAAGCACTAGCTTGAACGAGAGACCTCTCAAAAGGTAAGCAACCTCCAAACAATATGCTGTCTGACATAGTGAACCATCAGGTATCAGTAAACACTATGTAAATATAAGCCAAAGCTTCCATTCTAACTGGGTTATTCATTGGTGTGCAATAGAGGTGCAGTGCTTTAGCATGCTATGAGGTGGCTCAGATAATTGGGGAAACTATATTTTCTGATGTACGGGTCAGGCTGATCTGTTTTAAGACTTAGTTACGATTGTGCTAATCTATTAGTCTCATACAATCACTTCATTGAAGTGCGTATGCAGGTTTTCTTTCAACTTCAGGGAACATCCTTTTAACTTTTTCAAACAAGGAAATACTGATACAAACTGATATTATGCTCTTCACACTCTGGAGATGCAAACTCTTTTCCAGTATTGCCCTCAAGTGCCTGAAATCCTCTAACACCATGTGTGCCTTATTGCCAGGGTCGAGAAGCAGCAGCACTGACTGCCTCATTGTAAATGTCCCTCTCCCAAACCAGCTATAACTAAGAGTGTGATTGGTGTTTAGAATTATTACTTGGCAATTTTGTACTGAGGACTCCTGCACGATTGTTACTGGGTTTTGACTGACCACTCCGATTCATTTCACGTGTGACCTTTGGAGCTAACAGGCAGAGGAATTGTTCACCCCTCCCCCCCGCCCCCCCGATTCCCCTGGGTTCTTGCTCAGGTCTCTTGATGTAAAAGAATGATGTGCTGCATTCACTGCCTGCATTTAATGTAACCGCTGTGGTACGTGAGCTGCAGAATAACCTTGATTGTTCAGTGTTGCAATGTTACAGAAGCTGTTTAAGGGGAGCGCGCATCTCATGAGGTTGACTTGATAATCTGTGGGTTCACTAGGCTTCTGTGGGATTGCTACTTTAGAAAGAAATAACCAGAACAAACCAACCTACGCTTCGCTGCTTAACTTTTCTGATTATAGCTTTCCATCATGCCATTTCAGTTTAATATTCAGCATTTACACATTGTAGCGGATCAAAATTGTGCTTTTTTACTTCCTCCACCCCCTTTGTTTTATAGCTTTTTGACATGTATATTGCACTTTGTATTTGATTTTGTTTTAAATGTACAGGTGTTTAATGTTGGAATATGAGCCTCTGATGCTTAGGGAATATGATTTGATTACAAAAATATGGTTAAAATACACTTAATGACAATTTTTTCTAAATGTGTTGCCAAAAAATTTAATTGCTGTTTTTTAAAAGTGCAAACAATTTAAGAAGTAATTCCCCTTAACTGGTCCCTTCCATCCAGAGATTTGAGTCAAACTTACTGTCTAATTAATGTGTTAATTAAATAATGCTATTTATTTTGTGCTTCAAATTTTAATTTGCACAACCTCTTCAAGTTGACAATAGAACCAAATGAAATTTATCCCAGTTATTGCCATTAATTAAGTGTTGGTATCTTTAACCAGATCAACATGTGCACAATCATGAAATGCCATTCCATTTTCCAACCTTAAATTGATGTTTGATGCTTGTCCTATCGATTGATAATCAATTATTTCTTTCTAGCAGGCGTTTGCATTTCTTTGTAATGTTTAAAATTGTGTTTGATCTAATTTGCCATTTTGTCATGTTTCAGATTTTTTTTTAATGCTTTCAAGCTTTATTTCTTCCTTTTCTTTGTTTTCCCCCCTACCCCACCCCAATCCTTGCCCCTTTGTTGGCGTGTTTCATTTTCTGGGATCCCCATTTTCTGACCTGTAACTTATGACCTTCATTCCCCCTCCCCACCTCAATCCCCTCCTCTCCCCTCCTCCCCTCATGGTTGCTGTCCCGCCTCCCTGTCTTGGGTTGGTGGTGCTGGTAGTTCACGAACCACAAAGTCCCTAAAACCAGGCTTGAATAATTCCCAAATTAAAGATATGAAAGAACTCTCAGCAGTGGAGGCTTTCCGGTCCCGCAGCATCAGTGTCTCAGAACATGCAGCCCGCAGGTAGAGGCATTACTGGAGCTGACGCTCGGTGGAGTTTTATTCTGGGGTTTCTGCATGTTTGGGAGGCTTGCATGGCTTTGTGATAGTCCTTGGAAACTTTCCTCTTGGATGTTTCAGGAAATAATTAATTGTTAATGGCGGCGAGGGAAAGAATGGGCGGGCAGGGGCTGAAGTGATCTGAGTTTATATTGTTTGGGAAATGTGTAATCTTAGTTGGTCAGTGGTTGTTCATCAGTGACTTCTGGTTATTCCAGTAAAACTTTTCAGACTTCATCTGGAAAATTTCAAGGCCGTTGCTGGTCGATAGAGCTGATTTCACCCACAAAATATACAGTCACTACACTTTACAGTATATCATGTGAAGTGCTTTGATACGTCAAGGTGTGATAAGGCGCTATATCAAATTCAATGATTTATGATGTATTCTAATTGCTAGGTGCATAATTGAACCTTCATTGGTTGCCAAACCATTCATTGCACTATTAATAAACATTGCCCAAAAGCTGGTAAACTTAATGAATTGATAGAATTGAGAAAGTCCTTTCTGAAAAACACACACACACATTCACTTAAATATATTCTTCAAATGCAGATAGATAGATGCAAATTTCAGTTAGATGGAATTCTCTGCCTTTTTCCCCCTCTCTCTTACTCTCTCATACACACCCTCTCACCCTCCTCTCTCTATCCCTCCTTCTACCTCTCCTATTACTCCCCAAAAGCTGGTAAACTTAGTGAATTGATAGAATTGAGAACGTCCTTTCTGAAATTGTTTTTCTGAGGAACGAAAACTGTATAAACATCAAACTACCCTTGTCTGTGCTGAGAAACAGCCACTGACCACAGGTCTGAATACTTAACATAAATATGCCAATTGATAACCCTCTGCCGTCCACATTCCTCTGATGTGACGTGTCAAATCAGTGTTTTATCTTAGCTTTGAAAAGGATTCACTGTTTGGTACTGGCATGATCCCTGTACTTGAAACAGTACTCTTGCCTATTCTTAATGTTGTGACGTCTGGTTACATCAGTCTTATGAATCCTATTTTAGTTCTTATATTGACTTTTTACACTGTTTCAGGCAGGTCCCGTTGCAGAGATTAGCCTTCAAAAGAGACCAGCGGAAATGAATTTTAGTTCATCTAACAATTGTTATTGCTCTCATAAGCAGAGTATCATTTGCCTTGCAGGAGGGATTGGATTGGCAGATAAATCATGGGAGAGCACGGTTCCCTGAGAAAAAGGAAATTTATAAAACACTAAAGTTGTGCACTCAGTTCATTTTGATGCAAGAGATGTTGAAGCACTTATGCAAATGCTAAAATTTTACACTGATCAGAGGTTAATTTTGAAAATACTTATAGGTCCTTTCCAAATGCATGTCCAAACTATTTGCAGAAAAAAGCAATGCAATTTATTCAAAAGGAACAAGCTAAAACCTTTCATACAGTAAATCCTCTGTTTGTGGTCTTTATGCCTGGTGTCGACCTGGTCCCTTTCATTCCAGCAGGATGCAGACATCCATTACAAGCTCTAGTTTGGGATCTGCAGATGAGAACGCAGTGGCAGAGGCTGAAGACAGCCTAAAAACTGTGCACCTGGAGCTCACAGAAACCTGCTTGGACATGATGGCTCGATATGTTTTTTCCAACTTCTCTGCTCTGCCCAAAAGGTTTGTGTAACTTTTTTTTATAAACGTGCCGCTTAGGCCCCCAAGACAAATTGTGTTATGTGCATTACCAGTGAGGTTAAGGCAACGCTCTCTCATTTTTTAGCTGTGGCATTTTTGTAATTATTTTTGATCAGCCGGGTGGGTGTCTGACGCACACGGAAAACCCTTCACTGTGTTTAAAGTTTATCCAAGCCAGACTGAGAGTCCCATGTATATGCTAACTACACATTAAAATTTCACTGTTTCTGGAATGGAATGCATACTCTCTCCAGAGGGACACACTCTGCTTACCCAGCTCTGGAAATAATTAGGTGCAGTTAGTGAGAACCAAGACTTCAGGAGCCCAGAGTGTGCTTTGGGGTACTGCTAGAATATAACCGCAGAGGTCGGCATTGCAAACATTTGCAATGTTTGTCCAGCTAAGATCACCCTACACATTGGGGCTTCACATTTCCTTACATTCTGTGTTTAGGTCGCCAGTTGCAGAGTTTCTGCTTGGATCAGGAAGAAGTAACACGTGGTTGGTCGGTAACAAGCTTGTAACAGTAACAACAAGCAGTGGAGTTGGAACAAGAGCACTACTGGGGCTTGATTCCCTTCAGAAAACAGATGAAGCATCAAGGTATGCTTAAACCCACTAGCATGCAGAACTTCAGAGATATCTTCAGTGTTCATGGAGTAATACATAATTGGGATGGGTGGGCGATTCCAGTGGTTTCCTTCTTCAAAGGTGCTGATATTTTTTTTTCTGTGTGTACTGCATGCAAGAAAAAAACTCTTGGAAAGTATTTTGCATGGCACGTGGCTGACCAGGGGTCAAAAAGGATGGTCTGTGTTCAAATTGCACCACATCATCTGTGTCTTGGGTTTAAAAAGCCTCTTGTGTTCACGTCAATGCTTTTTAAGACAAGAATCGTCTCAACAAGTCAAGATGACCCAGGAGGCGCCCGCGAAACTGGAATCGCAAACCAGCCAGCAGATTGGGAAAGCTGCCCGCCTGCGAGTCAGATCCATATCAGGTAAAGACGAGACTGATCAGCTTTTTCCACCAAGTGAGTGATTTCCTGTTACCCCTTGTAAGGGGTTGAACAGCACTGCAGAAGTTTTCTGATACATTCACCCTGACATGGTTTTGTGCCTTTGCGTCTCAATTCTGCTGGGCTGTAATGGGAGTGTTGTGCAAACCACACCTGTGATTAATGAGTCATTTTTTGTGCGCAGAGGGAACTACAGAATCTCTCAATTGTTATTAATCAATGAAAGCGATTGTATCCGTTTCAGTGGGGATAATAATAATTCCTTCAGTTCACATGCGGCTTAACACAGGGAACAATATTAGGGGCACAGCACATGGTTTGCACAACTTGCATAATAGACCCCAGGGAAAATACCCGAGATGTAAAACTATAAAATGATTCATGCAACTGAATAGACTCTAGTGAATAAACAGGGCAAAATGGACAAAAAATCCTTCTTTTGCTCTCACAAACTGAGGAAATATCCCAGTTTTGAGCAACATTTGTAAAGTGTCTTAATTTATTGGTTTTCCAGGTGGGCACCCGCTCCGTGCTGACTCCGTCCAGACGTTGAGCCCCCTGGTCTCCCCTTCAGACAGTGAATTCTGTGGCCCTACATCTCCAGCTCTGAAAGCACTGGACAATCCATCAGGGTTCCAGCGAGACACAGCTACCTCTGTGGCGCAACCTCCCACCCAGAAAGAAAAAGCCAACCTAGCCGAATACGCACCAGTTCTGACTCAAGGATGGGCAGAAGTATACATTCGCCGACCCTCTGGTAGGAACATTTCATCAGAGAATGACCAGATAAAATCAGTCTTTCACCTCATGGTTGTTTGTAGGACGCTGCTGTGCACAATTGGCTGCTGCATTTGCCTCCTCTCAGGCGCTGACAGCATCAGCATCCAAGGCTGCACTCTCCACTTCTCAAAGCCATCAGGAACCTCGGTGTTCGGTTCGACCCTGAGCTGTCCTTTCTCCCTCTCTCCTCGCCGGCCTTCCCGGCACCTCCCTCCACAAGCTGCAGGTCATTCAGAACTCTGCAGCTCGTGTACTGTCCCGCACCAGGCTTCGCGACCACATCACTCCCACCCTCTCCCTCACCCTCGCCCTCGCTCGCCTCCACTGGCTCCCCATCCCCCAGAGGATCGAATTCAAGATCCTCATCCTCACCTACAAGGCCATTCACGGCCTTGCTCCCTCCTGCCTCTCTGACCTACTATCCCCCTACCTACCCGCCCGTACCCTCCGTTCCTCTGGCTCCGGTCGGCTCCACATCCCCCGCCCCAACCGTCCTACCATCGGTGGCTGGGCCTTCAGCATCTCAGCCCCGAGGCTCTGGAACTCTATCCCCCAGTGCCTTCGCCGCTTCCTCCCTTTCCTCCTTCAAGGCCGGTCTCAAGACCTTTCTCTTTGACCGTGCCTTCAGCTCCCCTCTCGACTCTCTACCCCCTCCTCACTCCCTCCCTTCCCTCCCCTCACCCTGACCATTTCCCCCTCCTCGCTCCCTCCCTTCCCTCCCCTCACCCTGACCATTTCCCCCCTGCTTGGGTCCTGACCCAACTGTACAGCGTCTTGGGACGTCCTCCCGACGTGAAAGGCGCTCTATAAATGGAATGTTGTTGTTGTTAGGGTGTTTTACCAAAATGCCGGCAAGACCTTTGCCTGTCCTCCAACTTTCTCCTCTTTAGAAACAGCCTACATTGCTGGTGGCACTTCCCTGATCTCTGAAATCCTTGCCTCTGCACCAGAGGCAGCCAAGCAATCACTGTTTCAGCATTCCAACACAGGTTGGTGAAAGCTTACCATTAACGGTAAGCTTCACGGTTCAAATGCCCCCCCTCACTGGTCTCCCTACATCCTTACCTACATGAACTTTCACCTGACTGTAACTGCTCTACAGCCATTTTGCCACTACACTCTGGAACTCCCTCAACCCCCCCATCTCACTCACTCTGTATCCTACTTCAAAGCTTTGTTAAAACTTACTTCTTTGATTGTGCCTATATATGATTAACTATCTCCTTCCCCCATCTTGGTGTCCACTAAAATGCTCCGAGGCATTACTCTCTGTGAAGAGTGCAATATAAATGCAAGTTGTTCTGATTTTATGGAATAAACTGCATCAGCAGTCAAGTAGATTTGTTTGTTACCATTTTGAGGCGAGGTAGGAACACAGATATTGAGCATTTTGTTGCTTTGACACTATGTTAATAATATAATGTTGGGTACCCTATAGGTAATGCGAGTTGGCTACTGTGTCTGGAGAACCCACCAAGCCCATTCTCCTCAGAGATAAACAACATGCCCTTACAGGAGTTGTCCACTATGCTGCTGGTGGTTGAGAGAATGACAGACCCACACCTGCCTGGTCCTTCCCGATCTGAGTCTATGCCGTGCCCCACCCCGGCACCAGAGGCAGCCAAGCAATCACTGTTTCAGCGTTCCAACACAGGTTGGTGAAAGCTTACCATTAAGCTCCAGTAGCTAATGTTTAGGATTGGTGGAAATCAACTTTTATCTTCATCTTACTGTTGATGAAATCTCGGTATTTTTAATTAATACATTTAGCTTTTCATTGATGTTCTTAAATTATACGAAAGGACTGACTGGGTTATTGGGTTGTTATGGATGTCACTTCCCGTGCCTATCCGCAGGGTACAGGAAGGGATATCAGTGGCAGCCTGACAACCTCCAATTTTTGACATTTTTGTGAAATTTCAATGAAATTTTGTGTATTTGTTGAAACATTGCAAAAAAGAGGCATGTCGATGTTTGTATATTTTTATTGATTTCCAGCAACCTTGTCAAATGTTGCACAAGACTGGTTTCAATACAAGTACTGTTTAGGAATTTTATGTATTCAAGCCGAAACCTAGCTTGAATATTGTTGCACTTTAGACTGAAGGTTGCAATGTTAAATTCTAATCTTTCCCATGCAAAGTTATTATCATTTACTAGGTAATTAATTAAAGATTTACAGGCTATCAAATGCCTTGCCACTCATTTTCTCAGTAAAACAATATTGATTTTACTTTTAATGTATGCATTTTACGGTTTTGAGCTATTAACGTAGCAACATGATATTTAAAGCATAATCCATTGTAAAATTAAATGTATTCTGCAGTATATGTTATTTTAATATATTATCAAAACCTAATGAGAATTCTATGATTGAAGCAATCCACTGATCGTTCGCGATTCGTATCTGGGCAAAATTGCAATGTTGTGATTGTGATTTGCTGTTGTATTACATAGGCTACAGATAAGTTTCCATCTGAACATGTGCTGTTACTTTACATTTTGCACTATATCCTCGTGACACAGAACTTGAAAGATCAGATCTTCACACCTTTGGAAAAAGGGCTTGCGTGACATAGTATGTTTACAATCTTATTCAGTTATTATGTGCTGCAGGATTAATAAATGTCGCCTCTTGCCTTCTTTTGCTTGCTATTTAAAAGGTAGGTAAATTACTATCTATTTCATCCATTTTGCCCACAAAATATACAGTCACTGCACTTTACAGTGTATCTGTGAAATGCTTTTGAGACGCCTCGAAGACTTGAAAAGGCGTTATATCAAATACAAGGATTGTTATGTTATCTGGATTCCATCATGTTTTCCATATCAAATAATAACTGCACCACTCACCTATTCTGGATGCACCACTCACCTATTTCATTTCTTGAAAAGGGTGCTTTTTAAAAAAAAGTTTAACAAAAAAAATCAACTTGGAATGGTTTGACATCATGTCACATTTCATTTCTGTCTCTGAGGAAAATAAGAACTTTTACGAAGATACGAGAAGTGCCTTGTTCTTTACTGGATTGTCAGTTTTCATGGCTACAGCTGGATAGAAGTAAAGTCAGAGGAATGAGGTACAATTGGATAGAGATTCAACCCCCTATCTATTCCATTTCTACTAAAGATGTACTATAAACCAAAACTGCAAACTTTGCATTGTTACTAAAATCACCTCATACTTTTTAAAGTAAAATCTAGGATTTAAAATGCTTTATTTCAAATGATCTCTTACCTCATTCCTCTAACCATTTAGGAAGCATTGTGAAAGAATTTTAGGCCATTGCTGGACACAGGCCACAAAACTGTTCCACTCTAGTTTGGTTTGTGAGTTTTATTAGTGTGATCTTTATGTTCTGACTTTTTACTCCCGTTCATGTGTGTGCATTGTGAAGCCACTGATTTGATTTCCCTTCGCAGTGGGTTCTTTCTCTTCCAATTGCCTGACAAGCTCTCGAGGGAAGTTGCACAGGAGCATTTCCTGGGCAGGTACACAATGGAACCCTAGAGACACCCATAATTCATAGTACCTGTCCATTCCGTGCCTTGGTTCATAATCATGTGCCGTATGTAATAAGATGAAGCTCGCAAATGATCTGAACATAAACTGTCGCATGAAACATCCGAACCGGAACGAGATTTTGCACAGCGCCAGCATTCTGAGAAACCTCAGATATTGCCATTGCTTATTAACTAAAGACCTAATTATTGCCTCACTAGCATCCAGTGGGTTGTGAAACTAATCAAGCATGCATTGTTAATTGAACCTGCTTGTTTGGATCTGCTTGAGTGAATCATTGCTTGATGTTGAGTTTAACGTTGATATTGGTATCATACTGTGGTTTGAAAAGTTCTGTGATTTTTTAAAATGAGTACAGTATTATACAATATATAGAGCGACCCTGTTATAATAAGTAGTTTGGGTCCATAAATTCAGTTCTGGCGTTATAATGAGGATTTAAAAAATGGCTGCTGCAGGAAACGCCACCAAGTCACTTCCTTTATGAAATTGGCCAGTCATTGCCAGAAGGCAGAAGTATGCTTCGTTTCCGATATAGGGTGGGTCCACGTGGTCTGTAAGTGGTCTCCTGCGATAAACGGGCGTATTCTAACAGGGTCAACCTGTTCTTTGTTTCTCTTCACACATTGAGACGGCCTGATGGAATCACATTTGCTGTTCTATTGTACTGTTTCTGTTGAAGAAATCCCTTGTATTATTCAAAGTGTTATTTCAAAGTGAATCTTATCCCCACTGTCTCCCAAATCACTTTTGCTTTGCTGTGGATGGGAGAAAAGCAATTGTTTTCAAAACAAAAAATATTTATGGTGTTTTCAATCAAACGGAAATGTGCACGTAACCTTTTTGCCTATGAAAGCATTCCTTGGACTGAGCATAATAAAGTCTTATGTTTATTATCTTGAAGGATGTAAACTTTGCACTTATTGGGGAGAGAAGGGAGAGAAATGCAGATCAAGATTAATCTTGTTAACATTTCTTGAGATCTTTCTCATGGTATCTCACACTTCATAAATAATGTTTCATCAGTTTGGTGGGTTTTGCTGTCTACCAGATTGAGCTATGGTTAGAAGAAGTTTTCTTATGAAGAAGAATGAGACATGAAATAATTGGCTTGCACAGTAACTTTCCTTTGTGTCCCTAGATTCAGTTGCAGTTGTAGAGGAAGACGATGGGCCTGGAATGCAGTTGAAAGTTTGTGACTCTCCAGTGGAATCCCATGACCTTGACTTTGAGTCCATCATTTCTGGGCCAATGTTCATGCCAGCAGAGAATTACGACAAAATACAAACAACGTACAGCAGAGTAAGGCTTAACATTATCCTGTCCGTCTCCAGTAGAGATTCATAGCTTCCTTTGTATATTCATAGAATCGTACAGCACAAAAAGAGGTCATTCGGTCCATCAAGTCTGTGCGGCTCTTTGAATAGAGCAATTAATGTCAATCCCACTCCCCGGCCCTTTATCCATAATCTGCAAACCCGTCCTCCTCAAATACCCGTCCACCGCGTTTTTAAAAGTATCGAATCGGCCTCGACCGCCCTTTCAGGCAATGCGTTCCAGATTCGAACAACTCGCTGTGTGAAGAAATGTCTTCTCAGCTTCTTTTAGAGACTATTTTGAATCTGTGACCTCGAGTCACCGACACACCTCATGATTTTGAAGACCTCTATCAGGTTCTCCTCGTAACCTTCTCTGCTCCAATGAGAATAATCCCGGCCTCTCTCGCCTTTCCTCATAATCAAGGTCCCTCATTCCTGGTACCATCCTCGTAAATCTCCTTTGCAGCCTTTCCATTGCCTTAACATCCTTCCTATAGTGTGGTGCCCACAACTGGGAGCAGTATTCTAACTGAGGCCCAACCAGGGTTTTATATGGGTTAATCATAACCTCCTGACTCTTGTACTCTATGCCCCTATTTATAAAGCCTAGAATCCCATATGCCCTTTTTACAGCTGTATCTACCTGTCCTGCCACCTTCGAGGATTCATTTACCTGCACCCCCAGGTCTCTCTGTTCCTTCACCCTCCCTTAAGATTGTATTACCGCCTATATTGCCTCCTCTCATTCTTTCTACCAAAATGCAATACCTCGCATTTCTCCACATTGATACTCGTCTGCCACGTGTCGCCCATTTTACCATTCTGTCTATGTCTTCCTGCAGTTGGCTCCTATCCTTCTCACTGTTTACCCACTCCCTAACTTTGTGTCGTCTGCATGGAAATGGTACTTGCTATACCCAAGTCCAGATCATTTATGTATATTAAGAAGAGCAGTGGTCCTAATACCGATCCCTGGGGGACACCACTGTACACTTCCCTCCAGTCAGAAAAGCAGCCGTTCACCACAACTCTCTGCTTTCTGTCTCCCAGTGAGTTCTGGATCCGCTGCCACTGTCCCTTTTATTCCATGGGCTTCTATCTTTCTTACAAGTCTTTCATGTGGCACTTTGTCAAATGCCTTTTGAAAGTCCATATAAACGACATCAACTGCACTGCCTTTATCCACCTTTATCTTCTATGAGATTTGTTAGACAAGATTTACCTTTAACAAATCCATGTTGGCTGTCCCTAATTAACCCATATTCTTCTAAGTGAAGATTTATTCTGTCCCGGATATTGTTTGAAGTTTGCCAGTCTCTGCTTCTCATTGATTGTTAGAACCCTTGCATTTGATACAACGCCTTATCATTTCTTCGAGACATCTTAAAGCGCTTCACAGAATATACGGTAAAGTTAATTGACTGTATATTTTGTGGGCGAAACGCGGAAGCCAATTGTTCACAGCAGTGTCACTTAATGATTAGTGTAGCTAATAGCACACATTGATAACTGCATTTGTGTTATACAGCTCTGCTCCGACACAGTGTGGAATTTACTTATAATGTTCATCACACTCCAAGTGGGTTAATTTTTCTCCTCTGACTTCAAGGCTCTTTAAAGCCTTCTGTATCTTTTTTCCACAACGTTGTGACAAAATGTGCTTCTGATCATGATGTTTGACTCAATCTGTATGAATTGACATCCCCTTCCTGTTTCAGGTTGATTTGCTCAAATGTACCTTTCAAATGTGTTGCTGGGTAGCAGTTAGGAGCTTTCAAATATATATTGGGCTACTTTTATTTAAAAAGAGAAGAATTCGTAGAATTTTTGCTAATAATTAGGGGATTTGGGAATGTAGAATCCTGCTATTTTTTGCTTAAAGATAAATTGTGAAAATATTTGCAATCTTACAACAACAACTTGAATTTATACCATGCCCTTCACCCGGGGCAGTCTTGGAGGTTGCAGAATGCTTAATGAATATTGAATGCATGAGGTGTTTTCGTTTGAGCAGTGTTCGCTATCTTCACTTTCCCCCCCGCTCCAGTCATCTTCAACTTCCAGCCAAGAGGAAGACAAATCCGCCCAGCCTGAGGACAGTGGGATAATGGGAATTCCAGGTGAGAGAGGCTTGCCACTTTCTGCAGCTGTGGATCCTTTGGAGGAAGAATTCAGCTTTGAGCACACTCAGGTTCTCAACAAGTCCAGCTCCTCCCCTGAGCTGCAGAACCTGCAGGAAGCCACGGAAATGCATGGCAAAGAGGGAGTCTCTGGCAAATCTACAGCTGAAGGGAAGCCAAGCAGACGCTCGGGGAGTATTGAAGAAGAAGGTTCTTCGAGCAGTAAATTGGAAGTGAATGATAACAACATGGGGAGCAAGCCAGACATTTTGCCACCATCTGAGAAAAAAGAACCACCTCAATCACCGAACCGCTACAGACCCAGGGGGCACACCATCTCTGATTCCGCTCCATCGAGGAGGGGGCGGAAGATAGAGAGGGATACTTTTCATAACCGCTCAGCAGCTTCAAATTCAGAGAAAATTAGTGGAATAAGCCCAAGGTAAGCTTGATGGCAATGTTTTTTTTATCCTAATGGGACGAGGTGTGTGTGTGTGTGTGTGTGTGGTGGGGGGGTGAATAGTAACCATTTTGTTGCAGAAAAATGACCTTCAATGACTTTTTGATGGAAGAAATCCACGTTTCTGTTTTGCAGTTTTGTTTTTCTGCAGCTGTATCATTCCCCTTTCTTTGGCAGTGAAGCGAACAAGCCTCTCCTTGTACCCAAGACTGAGGTGAATAAACTTTCAACAACTTGTGTTTACAAAGTACCTCTTGTGTAAAATAGTGCTTCAAAGTGCTGACTGGTGCACGGAGCAGGGTAATAATCTGCTAATAATTAAGCTGCTGACCAAAACACGATTGCAGTGATGTTTTTAGGCTGATTTGAGTTGATTTGATGGGTGGGGGGGGGGAGGTAGCAAAGAAAAGTGGTTTGGGAAGAGAATTCGGGACATGAGCTTGGTGGCTGATGCTCGGTGGTTTGGTGGAGACAGAAGCTCACAATGGAGCCAAGGTTCTAAGCTGCTGAAGCAAATTAAGAGCACTTTTGCTTTTTGTGTATTTTAACTTGGGGTGTTACTTTTAACGAGCATAACCATAGATGTGACGAGGATATACTTCATCCCTCCCTGCCAAATTTGAGCAGTGTGTTTGTTTGGTAAAGGCTTCAGTAGTCTGCTTTGTCTTGCTTTGCCTCCTCAAGGTTAAAACTGAGCAAGCCGCCTAGAGTTGGGGGGAGGGGGGGGGGTCGACTGTGCATTTTTGTGAATCAGTGTCATCTTGTACTAGAAAAGTAATGTTCAGTCTCTGTAAAGTAAGATCAGTGTTCATGTGTAAAAATTCTAATTCATATTTAGAATATATATTTATATTGTCTCTCCTGCATTCCAAAACAGGAATTCTTCTTTCTTGGGTAATTAATGAGTGTCCTTTTATTGTAGATCACAGAACGCGCCATTAAAGTCTTGGATCAGATGCCACCTTATGATACACATAAGATTGGTGTTGTGTATGTTGGTGAAGGACAGGTAAGGCTTTTCCCACAAGCCATTCTAGTTAAAGATCCTGTGGCATTATTTGAAAAGAAAGGGGGCTTTCTCCAGGTGTCCTGGCCAACAATTACCCAAATATAATTGGTCATTAACTTCATGGCAGTTTGTGGGACATTGCAATAACCTACAAATACACAGTCACTCCATTTCACAGGAAATCTTGTGAAGAGCTTCAAGGCATCCTTCCTCTATACCAAATGCAAGATTTTTACTATTGCCATTTGTGCATAGAGAATCCCGGTCTTTTTTGTTTTCCCTCTCTTTATTAAATGCTGTTTGTTTACTCTTCAGTGTGTCTTGGCCCAATTGGTAAACCCTTAGCTTGATTGCTTTTCTACCGTCCTGTGTTTCAGACAAATAACGAAGTTGAAATTCTGTCCAATGCCTACGGCTCGTCCAGGTATGCGCAGTTCCTGACGGGCCTGGGGAAGCTGATCCATCTACAGGATTGTAACCCAGAGCAGATTTTTCTCGGCGGCCTCGACACGTACGGTGATGATGGGCAATTCACCTACTGCTGGCACGACGACATCATGCAAGGTAAATGCATGCTAACTGGTGAACTGCATTCTTAATGGACTTCAGCATCTTGCTCCTGCAAAACCTTAGGAAGGTAGTGTTCGAACAGAACTTCCTGGAGTAATGGGTGAATAAACATGATACAGAAAGATGCTAACTGTGCTGCTTTCAATTTGAAGTTTACTGTATTTTCACCTCTTTAGAAATTTGATAGATGTACTGTATCTGGAAATTGTATTTGCTCTTTGTTTACAGTGTGCAGGTAAGCAGGAATGTGTTCTAATGAGCCAAAGCTCTCCAGTGGCCCAGTGGGTAAAGGCTAGTGACAGCCCACAGGATAGTACATGTGTGTGGATGTTGAGCACCAAAAGATACATCAACAACAACTTGCATTTACATAGCGCCCTTCACGCAGGGTAGCGTCCTGGAGTGCTTCATGTGGCGGAGTCTGACAAGCCAAAGGGAGGGGAAGGTGACCGTAAGCATGATCAAAAAGAAAGGTCTTTAGGTGGGATTTGAAGGTAGGGAGGGATTGGGCAAGGAAGAGGGATTGATGGAGAGAGTTCCAGAGTTTCAGTGCGTAGTGGCAGTAGGTTTGGCTAGCAAGTTTAGCAAATATCCAAATGGCAAGGATTGATGGACACGTGGATTTGAAAAACAGTCCGCCTCCATTACGCTTCTGCTCTGACCTTGCAATTTTTTGTTTCAAGCAATTTTTCACATTGCAACACTGATGCCAAATAAAGAGTCGGATAAAGCATGCTGCAACAAGAAGCGGCACATAGGAAATGACTATGTAGTTATCGTCTACAAGGACACCGAGGAAGAATACAAGCTGGGAACAATAAAGGTACAGCAGTGTTGCTGTGTGAATGAATGAGTTTCAATAAATCTCCTTTTATCGTTAGAAAGATGGAGAATTTGTTTGAAGTTTAACAAACATTGGCATCGACTTGCAAGTTGACGTGTCCCATTCTTATCGCGTGTTCCCATCCCGACCCCATGAGGACATCAAGGTGGCAGTAAAGAGCTGTTGTGAAACTTGTTTTCAGTAAGATGTTCAGTCAAATATTTCAGTCAGACAGCTTGTGATTTTATTTGCTTGAAAGCCAAGTGTTTTGTTTATTTTTGTAACTGTTACAGGGTCAGTTCAATTTTGTGGAAATAATTATCAAAGCTCTGGATTTCGAGAGCAATCTGGTAACACTACAAGCTCGGAAGGGTAAGTCACGTCAAAGATTCCATCTTATATAAGCTGATGGTATTGATCTTAAAGAGGGTGAAGGAATAGAGAGACCTGGGGGTTCATATAAGTAAATCTTTGAAGGTGGCAGGACAGGTAGATAAAGCTGCTAAAAAAACATACGTGATACTGGGCTATATAAATAGGGGGATAGAATAAAAAAGTCAGGAAGTTATGATGAACCTTTATATAAAACACTGGTGAGGCCTCAGCTCGAGACTGTTCAGTTCTGGGCCTCACACTTTAGGAAGGATGTCAAGGCATTGGAGAGGGTGTGAAGGAGATTGACCAGAATGGTACCAAGAATGAGGGGCTTCAGTTATCAGGAGAGACTGGAGAAGCTGGGATTGTTCTCCTTGGAGCAGAGAAGGTTTAGAGGAGACTTAATAGAAGTTCTCGAAATTATGAGGGGATTTGATAGGGTGAACAAGGAGAAACTATTCCCTCTGGCGGGAGGGTCGGTAACCCGAGGGCACCGATTTAAAATATAATAATAATTCTTGCATTTGATATAGCGCTTTTCACGTCTTCTAGACATCTCAAAGCGCTTCATAGAATATACTGTAAAGTGAATTCACTGTATATTTATGAGCAAAATATTGTTAAATGAAACATTTAGGAGGGGAGTTGAAATTTTTTTTCACACAGCAAGTTGTTCAGATCTGGAATGTATTTCCTCAACAGGTGGTGGAAGCCAATTCAATAACAACTTTTAAGAGAGTGTTGGGTTACTTCTCAAACCGTCTTTATGCGTGTAAAATAATCTTCAGACTTCAGGGAGATTTCAAAAGTTTTGCTTTATTACCGCACCGCAAACAGGTTACAGTCCAGGCACACTCTTGTGGTCGAACAAAGAATACTTGGCACACATTCCATATATAGATATAATGCTCCAATCACAATGATGTGATTAAGTTTTGTGTCTACCACTCTAATACCACCCCCTTCTAGCTGTCTCTCATATCCCTAACTCCGTCTCTTTAACTGTCCTAATATGAATTTGTTATTCAGTTACTCTTTCCTGTCTTTGTTCTCCATCCTTGGGCAGCTATCTGGTCCATTCCAGGTTAACCTACTCTATGCTGATTATAAGACCACTAGCCTGAGCAGTTTTTGTACAGGGTCACTATCAGTCATTCAGGCCAGAACTCCTGTTCTCCTTCAGAGAGGTAGATAATTATTTGGGGAGGACAAGTTTGCAGGGCTATGGGGAAAGCGCGGGGGAGTGGGGTTGATTTGGAAGCTCTTTTCAAAGAACAAGCACAGGCACGATGGGCCGAATGGCCTCCTTCTGTGCTGTATAATTCTATGATTCTTGTAAACAAAAGTCAAAGCAAAAACAAATCACGCTCAGCTAGCAAAATCTGGCATTACGAAGGACAGTATCTAATAATAATAATCCTTGCATATGATGTAGCACCTTACCACATGGTCAAAACGTCTCAAAGCTCTCAACAGGATATACTGTAAAGTGAAGTGACTGTATTTTGAGTGCAAAACATGGCAGCTAATTGCATACAGCATTTATTTATCTAAATTACACGCTCCTAAATTCACATTTGGTTACTTTGTTTTTTTAAAAAAAAGAGCGTGTTGCATTTTTGTAATATATTCTCTTCGTTGGCACATGCCTCTCTCTGTTCCTGATCCCCAGCCACCCCACTGCAGTTCCATGGGGGCTGGTTTCTCTTTGGTACCCTTTGGTGACCTTTGGCAGTGAGTATTTTACTTTTGGGGAATGGGGGTCGTGCGAGAGATGTCTTGGTTTATGTAATAAATATGATGAATAGCTAATATAGCTGTCTTTATCTTGTAGTCATGGAGGGCCTAGTAGACACAAGTGTGGCTAGAATTGTGTCTGATACAAATCTCCCTCAGCTAGTCCGACAAATGGCGTTGCATGCAAATGTAAGTACAAGGAGCATATTGCTTCAGTTTTTACACTTGAGTTCAGCTTCATTGTAGTAGGGTTTCTGCTAAGCGCATTCACTTTGCTTATTGAATGCTCTTTGTTACCCAAGCTCACAAGCACAATGTTGTATCTGTTTAGTTTTTCCACATTTCATGTATTCATAAATTCTGGTAACTTTCTGTGTTACAGCCTTAATAAGTTATTTATCCCCCCCACCCCCATCTGCCAATTTCAAAATACTGTTCATTATTTTCCTCCAGGTTTCTGAGTTGAGTTACACAGATTCTCTGCTTTAAGTACCCCATGTTGGTCCTTTCCTCTATACATAATGATCCTCGCATTTGATATGATGTGATACACATAACAATCCTTGAATTTGATATAAGAACAAATATTCCTTGCATTTGATATGATGCCTTTCATGTTGGGAGGACATCTCAAAGCGGTTCACAGGATTTACCGTGAAGTGCAGTGATTGTATTTGCAAATGAACATCTGGGCTTCCTACCCGACCACATTTTAAAACGAATTCTATCAATTTTTTGGACATGTCCAGAATATTTTCTTCTCCCACCCCCTGTTCTTTGGATAGTTTGAATATTTATAGGCGTGATCTCCTGAAACCAATCTTTTTTGGAAAATTAAATTGAGCCCCTGTTTGAGCGAAGTCTGATTGCAGAGTACAATTACCATCGCCAACCGCTGTGTTACAAAACCGTAATCTGACAGTGTTAGGTTTGGGAATGTTCAATTCTCGTGTTTTCTGCTCACCAGATGGCTTCAGTCGTGCACCACAACAGTGCCGTGCCTTCAGAAGCTTATGCGTCAAAGTGGTTAGCAAGACTGCGACAGATTAAGCGGATCCGATCCAAGGTACCCACATTGTAGATCAGTTTTCACCGAGCTTTTATGTTTGTTTTTCATGGGGAGGAAGAGGGGAATGTTGTGCTCAATGAGGTGTCAGGGCTGAACAGTGCAGCACTCCCCCACCCCCGCACCCAACCTATGGTCTCCATTGTTTACTTATTAGATCATGGCTGATCGAAACCAAATAGAGTCATGATCTAATAGAATGGCGGAAGAGGCTTGTGAGGCTGAATGGCCTTCTCCTGTTTGCTTCTATGACCAGCACCCTCAGGCCAGCCTCAGAGTCTCCTCAGCCCCAAGAAATGTGCTTCAGCTCCAATCACGCACTTCAACAATTGGCAGTATTTTTTATCCCCACTTTCCACTCCAGTATTGTGGCATTTCTGAATGCTATTATGCCAAACCAGTGGTGGCTGGGAGTCAATTGAGGTGCATTTATACAGCAGTAGGAGTGAACTCCGTCGTTACTTAACTCCCACTCTCCAGGTTATGTAGAGGGCAGGCATCCAGCGCAATTCACAGCCACCCATCCATGTGATTTGAGCGGTATAAAACAGTGAATAGGAAAGCAATTGCACTTGCTAATCAAATGCACTGAATAATTTCAACTAAATTTTATCCCTAGTAAAGATGATCCCAGACTCTTTTCCATGTTTCCATGTTCCCTTTTAAACCCCTCTGGGCATCAGCCTCTTTCTATCTCTTTCCCCTTCCGCTGTTCTGCGCTATGGAAATCAAACCCACCCACACTTGCATTCAGAAATCACTGTTTATAGAAAATGCATAGCCACTGAGGTCTGTATCCATGTACAGTCCAGAGAGTCTACTTCTTGAAGTCTTGACCTGAGTGTTTACTTGCTCAAACACTTTAGAAAAATAGTTATAGAAACAGAAGGAAAACTTCTCATTCGGGAACACTGGACATGAAATCAAAGCATTTGCTGCATTGGACTAGTAACTACCCAAGTACAGTGAATGAAGGTCAGTGAATGTTTCTTTTCCCTCATTCACTAGCACCTTATTCCGTTCTTGAGACGAGGCTTGTGAGCTTCATTGAAGTGCTTGTCCACACTCCAGCTTGTTAACCGTGAACATGCTGCAGTGGCTTCTTTTGTAGATAAGTTATTTTTTTCCCTCTTTTGCACAAGGTGTACGAAGACATGCAGTACCGGCAGAACTCTGGAATCTCCTTGATTCAGATGCACTCCACTGGTCAGAGTAAAGCTTCTCACCATCACCCCCACCATCACCACCCACACCCCCACTATCAACAGCAGCACCCTCCTCATCACCATTACCCAGCACAGCAGTCAGCTCCCAGTGCAGAAACTGGACAGAGGAAGAGGCTGATGTCCACAGTGGATGATTTCACAGACTTTGTTTAACCCGATTGCATGTGCATCTTCCTTTCAAAGTGTGAAATCACTACATACTGAAGCCAAACCCTATTTTGGGTGTGCGGAAATTTTTATTTTCTGTCTCTTCCTCTCTTTCTCTCTCTCTCTGTTACTGCTTGTGAAGAAAAAAAAGTGCTGCTTTCTACTGGCGTCAACAAAGAGAAAAAAATAACTGCTAGTTTTAACAACGTAGCGTTGCGTGAGGAAGATGCCGAGAGCTTGCTAGAAGCCACTGTTAATTATGCTGTAAGGAAGCCAGGGTGGGGGGGGGGGAGTAGGGTCGTCAAGCTGTGACATGGACCAAGTGTCCCGAGCAAACCTCCTCCAGGTTCGATGTTGACAGAGAGCAATGAAGATAAATGGATAGAAACGAGGCCTGAAATCTCAGTTCCTTTTCTGAATTGGAAAATTGTTTTTGTGACAACTGACTTTGTGCAATTACCTGGCGGAAAATGAATGAATGTCATTCCCCGAACATTTCAAAACGCAGTCGTCAGTGTTTGTATGATTCTAATTAAGACTAAAAATGAATAAATCAAATTTTAAAAACAATTTGATGAGGCTTGTACCGTTTCGTTTTTAGACTCTGTGATATTATTTCCAGATTATGAAGCACAGCATGTACCCAGCACTGGGAGACGAAAGTCCTAGTTGGTAGAACAATCACAGCTGGACAAGTTATCTGAGTAAATCAGTAAGGAAACTTGCTATTGAGGGAAATCAATTGCTCTTATTAGTGAGTTTAGAATTTCTGTCAGATTTGAAAAGGTCCTCGTTTCTGAGGTGGTTGTTTCTGAATTGGCTTGTTTACTGTTAGGTTCGCTCACAGTGCGACACAGTTCGCTCACAGTTCTCTGGGACGTTACCCTGCATGAGATGCACTATATAAATGCAAGTTGTTCGCCATTGATGAAAGATGGTGTTCAATGATTGAATCCTCAAAGCGAATACTCCTTGCTGTGCAGAAATGAACTAACGGTGAATTGATTCACAAATTTTGAGAAAAAGCGAAAAATTATACCAAATGTAAGCAACTTCAGATCTTTAGCAAATTTGACAAGTAAAAAATAAAGTTGTAAGATGTTTGAAAGCTTTCTTTTTTTTAAAGCTATTTATCACTGAAACATTTATAGGACTCTCCAGCACAGTAATTTCTGTCAAATGTACCGACTGTATTTGTAGGCAAGTAGGCAGCCGGATTGTGCAAAATAATGTCTCACAAACAATTATGAGGTAGGTGAATGACCAATTTATCTGGAGGACTTGCTGTATTTTATAACTGTTAGAAATATTTGATAGAAGGTAAAAGTCTCTTGGCTGAAATTACCATATGTAATGTGTGTTTATTATTAATGTAATTATGTCCAGTTCAGTGCACAAGGATTCAGCTCACATTTGATCCGTCAAAACTTTATTTGACTTTGTCCTTCAGTGCATCAGTAATGTTTTTGACATAAAGATTACAAATGTTTACACATTTTTCTTGAATTAACACTGCACTGGCAGGGTTGTGGGGAACAGAGAGTGGGGGGTGAGGGAGGAAGAGAATGAAATACTTCCTGGAGTTTGCGTCTGAATTGAACATTTCAACTTTCCCTAGAAAAATTGTCAATTATTAAAAGAAAATTGGAATCTCAGCCAAGAGGGGCCTTGAGCAAGCTATGTTACACAGACATAAAGAGAACCGAAAACTTCACTGAAATGCATAGAAAAAACTTTCAATTTTAAGTGTTTTGTTAAATGCACACCGCTGACAAAAATGAATTTCAGTCCAGCTAAAGCTCTTTGCAGTTTGATATGTTGGATCATTTTTTTACAGTTGCTTCACTGGTCCATGTTGTAACAAGCCTACGATTAGAGTTGAAATAAAGAGCCCTTTTGGTACTTATCAGAAATGATGTTCTAAAGCAATTTACTCTGCAATACTATACCACTTTAAACAGGCTAGTTCTGGGCTGGTGTGCCAATACGTAGCTGCACAGTATTCACCTTCTGTAAGCTACCTTGTGGAATGGGCAGAATTGGTTATCGTAATGCTTGATGTAACAGTTTTGAGAATATATTAGAATTTGTGAGATTTTAAATCTTGGTTTAATATCGGCAGATGCCCACTTACTTGTAATGCTAATAATAATCCTTATATTTGATACAGTGCTTTGACACTTCTCAAAGCACTTCACAGAATGTACTGTAGAGTGAATTGACTATGTTTTGTGGGCAACTGCACACAGCAGTGTTTCACAAACAGTTGTGGATGACCAAATTATTATTTTATTTTTGAAGGAATTATAACCCCTGGAAAATCCACCAGTCAACTAACAATTGGTTTCCTACTCCTGCTTGGTAAACAGAGATGTGTGGAGTAAAGAAATTTGCCAAAGGTTTCACCCCACCCTAGAATTGAAGCCTGGTCCTCTCGCTTGTGAGGCGAGTGCTACAGAATTCCACTTATCGCTTTTCTGTGTACATTTGAGAGTTCTCCCGTTCACAAAAGAGAGTGTAATGAATGTTGTCAAATTTCACCTGTCAGGTCCATGGAGATATTAGTCTCCTGATGTGGACTAGGTTTGCACATATTCAATTGTGGTGACAAAAAGAGGGGAAAAAAATATTATCAGGAATGGCTTTATTACTTGTCATAACCTTAACAAACTAAAATAAATACAAAAAACAAGTTAAATAAAAAATAAAGCATTATAAAATCTTTGCCTGTACTCCCATCTTTTACAACCCTATTCGTCTGCCCCTTTTATTTCAACATTTTAAAAATGATGATCCACGTCTACATTTTTTCTTTCCTTTACATGTTTCTAACCTTGCCCTCAGCATTTCCAAGTATTAAAAATAAGTTTGTGCTTTACATTGTTCTGTTAACTTAATTATCATCTGATTCAGTGAATAAAACACATACTTTTCTTCATATCAGAATGCCAAACGGTTACCTTTTTGTAATGCCTCAAGGTTACTGCTCAGTCACTGTACTGTAATAATAATAATCCTTGCATTTGATATAGCGCTTCTCACGTTGGGAGGACGTCCCAAAGCGCTTCACAGAACATACTGTAAAGTGAATTGACTGTATATTTGTGGGCGAACGCGGCAGCCAATTGCGCACAGCAATGTCCCACAAACAGTCGTAGATTGAAAATGACCAATTTATTATTATTTTGGAGGGATTATTATTAGGCTCTGTGTGGAGTAAGGAAACTTGCCCAAGGTTTCGCCCTCTGCCTGGAATTGAACTCAGGTCTCTCACTTGCAAAGCGAGTGTTCTAACCACTGAGCTACAGGACTGTAATATGTACTGATAATAGAGTTGCAAGTGCATTTACAAAGCCGCAAAGGTTATTCAGCAAGTCTGCAGAATGCAGGAAGTAAGATAACTATTCAGACTGCCAAGCATCCCCCTTCTTGCCAAAAAAATAAAAATTCTACCATGAGATACTCCCATCCCGTATATTTGATAGGATAAATCACCACAAAGTGATGAACTTTTTTTGTGAAATATTTTCCAACTTCCAGAAGGTACTTGGGTAATACATGGAGCACAATGAATCTTTCACCTAGTTTACACTATTTTGTCCCTCTTCCATTGGTGACATTGTTCCGATCAGGATTGCACCACTGTGGTGTTTGATTTGACACCAGACATGGCAATGTTGCCGTAAGTGTTTTTTTAATTATACTGGGCTCAAACGACGACACTGAGCCATTGAGACCAGCAAGACCCCAGGATCAGTCTCTGGTCAGTACTATTAACAATTCTCAGGAGGAGTGGCTGCAATGGAGAGGAAGGAACAAGGGGAAGAGTTCATCTCCTCTAATCACCATCCAGTGAACCCAATTGCAAAGTATATATCTGGACACTGTGAGAGAATAGGGCTGAGGATGGCAGGTATTCTGGAAGGATGAGATCAAATGAGTTCAAAAGTTGCTTCATCCATATCTTTGATGCTCAGGTCCTCCACATATTATGCTCTAAATCTACTATGCTTATTCATTGTCATTTAATACCGTATTCCTCCTGATGCTGTAAAGATATCAATTGCAGTTAATCGTATTACTTGGGAGAAAAGATAGAAAGATCTCAGATAAAGTGTTTTTACACCTACTTATGGAACAGTAAAGGGTAAATAATAATGATCCTTGCATTTGGTATAGCGCCTTATGTCGGTGAGATGGCTCAAAGCGCTTTGCAGGATATACTGTAAAGTAGATTGTGTATTTATAAATACAGCATTTATTTTTCTTCCTCCTAGAAAGCAATAAAAACTGAATCCAAGGCAGTTACACATGTTTCAGGTTAGTTTATATTGTCACGAGGGTGAAATTATAGCAGCTGAATCCCTCAATTAGACACCTGCCATACGATTTGCCTGTTTCCACTCCTGTGTGGATGTGAATTCATGTTTTTTTGTTACTAAGAAATAAAGGGAGTGTTAGATCATGAGTTAATGATTTTAAGAAGTTTGTATAGTCAAAAAAACTTTGCCGTCATTGCCTTTAATTCTGCGTTGCTATTTATAGATATAAGAATAATATATCACATTTCGAATAATATAATCATTGCATTTGATTGAATGTAAAAGATAGTTACGTTCTATCTGAGAGGGCGTTTCTCTGATTAGTCATTTTACTGCAGGTTAGATGCTTGTTAAAGGATGCCACAGAGAGCTGGCAAAATGTAGAGATGTAAATCTTTCCCTCCACTCAGTGATCCCCTTTCTTACCTGTGGGGTGCCAGCTATCCTCTGGAGTGCACAGCCGTTTCCAATTATAGAGAACATCTTTCTGTTTAATTACTAATGACTGAGCCTCATTCCTCTGGCCACAATCCCTTCCCTCTCCGTTGACTGATGTAAGGATTGGCTTGTGTTGTTTCTCTGCTAAGGGTGGAGCGAATGATCTCACTCGAGTGTCTGCTCTCGTGCCATCTGCTTATGTTCTATTGTCTAAATATAGATACTGATGATAAATCACAATAAAAAGCCACAATGGGCTCCGAGATGTGTCGACAGGGAGGAAAGAAACTCCAGTTTTTATACATTGAAGTTGTTCGCCACTTTCCCATTAAATGCTCATGTGGTCAGATGTCAGCAAATCAGACAAAATGGAGGACAACGCATGCTTGAGGATGGTTAATATGGAGAATGACCTCCCCCTTCCGCAGTTTCATGGTCAATTGGAGTTACTGTTTAATGGTTAATTGAAGAACTTACAATTCTAGACTGATTCTTCACACCTTCAGGTGGCAAAGATAATCAGGAACCCGTTTGGAAAAAAATTATATTTATAATAATAATAATCCTTGCATTTGATATAGCACCTTATCATGTCATTGAGGTGTCTCAAAGCGCTTCACAGAATATACTGTCAAGTGAATTGACTGTATATTTTGTTGGTGAAAAATATTTAGTTTATCTTTTATATATATGTATGTGTATGTTCTCTCTCTCTCTATATATATATATAATGCACATGTTTGAGTGCCTGGCACTGAGAGGGAGGTGATCAATTGCACACAGTTCAAAATAGACTGCACCATATCATTAGTCTCAGTTTCGTTTCTTAGCCAGTCCCATGACGTCACCTGCACTTGCCTCACAAACATCTGCAGAAATTGGCAAACTAACTACAGGACCTGAAGTTTACCAGTGCTCCTTTGGGAATGGGTTGGTGAGGTTTGCTCTGATTCTCACTGGTTAAAGTAAAAGTGAATAACCAAGTAATCTGCGCAGAGAAGGGAAAAGCACATTAAATATGGTCTAGAGATCTACAAAAAGGATATCTGGTGATGTGATGGCTCTGTACAAAAACTATATTTCAGCAACATGAGTGCTTGTGTATGATTTCTGGCTTTTTATGGTCATGTTGTAATACTGTTAGTCGTGATCCTGGGACAATGTCTTTATCACAAAAATATTACAGATTTAAAACAATATGGTTATTTTACATTTGTTTACAAATGTGGTCTGGGATTAAGTCCTGAAAGTGAACAAATTCATAGCAAACATCAACTTGCTGAACTGTCAGTGAGAGATTTAGAATGCTAATTTGAAACGTCACATTTCAACTCACTTATCAGTTAGTTGGTTAGACTTACTGTCCTGGCAGAGTCTATTACCAGTGCAAAGTGAAGTGTGCTAACAACGTGAAACCATCATGGAGATGGAGGGACCTTTGGCATTTTACTTCTGTTCTCTCTTTACCCAATGGAGCTACTCATGACTGAATATCAATTACAGTATCATGCTTTCTGACTAGTTACAACACGAGTACTTGTGTATGATTTCTGGACATGTTGTAATACTGTTAGTCGTGATCCTGGAACAATGTCTTTATCACAAAAAAATTACAGATTTAAATCAGCTAAAACAATATGGTTACTTTACATTTGTTTGCAAATAAAGGTGCAGCGTAACTTAACCAAAAAAATACTGTCTTGTAAATTAATTTTGTGCTCTGACTTTTCCCTCTCTCAATAATCAACCTGAAGCAATTAAAACAACAGTATTTTTTTTAAAAAAGTGCACCTTTCAGCACATAGCTAAGAAAGCAAATTTGTATTATCTTTCCTTCCAAACGGTCCTTGAAATAAAGTGCTCAGTATAAAGTAAACCATACGCTTCATGTCTTTTTTCAAACATCTTCATACTTTGGACGTGATCCCAAAACATTTGGAATCTATTTTTGAAGTGGAATATTGTGTTTTGTTGTCTGAGATCGCCTGCACCAGAGTTAAGTTGCTCTACAATGCTACATCTATGTATTTCCTTCTGTTTGTGGTCCCTGAAGTAAATTTCTGTGTCTTGCTTCATTGGTTGCAGAAGTGGGGCTCTGTATTACCCTGGTGTCAGCTTAGACTGGATCTGATTGCATCCAACCCATCTCACTCTGTATTTGTGTGTGTTCCGTCTTGCATTGTGGTGTTTGGCCCTTGCTTCTCGGGGACCTTGGCATGTCTTTGTGGGTCCTTGGTGCCCTGCGTTCCTTGGGTTTTCACTGCAACGTCCTCGCCTAATGGGATGCTGTTGAATGGCCACCTCTCCTCAGTGCCTCTGGTGTTATTTACCTTCGCGATGCTTCTCAATGTCCGCAACGATAGCCCGATATTATCATTCTCAGGCTTCTTGGTCACCCCAACCTTCTTGTGTCCCCATGGCTGCTGATTCTGACAATACACCGTGACTGGTTCTTCAGTCTTTCTCTCCCTCTTCCTCATTCGTATCCTACCCTGGAGGTCCTGCAGCTTGCACTCTAGCTGATAGATGTCTTCTGTAATCTGGTTCACTCGGTCAAACTGCTCCAGCAGGCTCTCAAAGATGGGCACCAGGCGGAGGATGTTTGATTCTATCTCCGCTGCTTCATTTGGCCTGGCCAGATGGAAGGTGTCCACCGGGATGGAGATGGTGGAGGTGGAGGACATGGAGATGTCTGAGACGGTGCTGGCAGTATGGAGACAGCTGGATTTGGAGTCTCTGGAAGAGCGAGAGGGTAAGGGAACCATTCCTTCAAATCTCACTTTATGACGGAACTGTAGGGAAATGGATTCAAATAAAAATTGGTTCAAATCTCAAAATAAACCAATAAATTAAAACCATAACCTGAGACTAGTTCAAATGTAAGCAATTGGTAAATAGCGCTTCAGCTACCTTAGGTGTTGTAGCAGTAGCTGGCTGGGTTTATTTGTGACTTTTAGCTCTAGGCAAATTCACTGAAACTCTTACTATTTCTCAACCAAGCTCTGAGAAGGAATTAAATGTCTTCAGGAAAGATCACAAGATCAGTTTGGATGGAGAAAGCCTTTGGCCCATTTCATCTCATTCCTGCTGCCACCCCCTACCCCCCCCAAGCTGTTTCTTAAATTAATCCACATCCTGGTTTCAACCACCCTTCAGAGTATCCTGTTCCATGGGCAGGATCCCATGGAGGGTATGATTGGAAGCTTCTGTGGAGTGGAGCAGTGGGTCCATCTTGACAGAGGAGAGGATTGTCTTGAAGACAATACGACAATCAACAGCACAGGGAATGGGCAGAATAATACTCTGGGCAGCAGCCACATAGAGTTACATGAGAGTGATGCAGCACAGAAACCAGTCATTCGATCCAATTAGGTTGTGCTGGTATTTATACTCATCTCTCCTATTCCCTTCACCTATACATCTCTATTCCCTGATCCAATGATGATTCCCTCCTGTTTCCCTCCTTTATTTACTAAACTACTTTTCAAGTGTATTTGTAACTTGACACTGTGTACCTACTTCTTTCACTTTGCTCATACCAATCCATATTTTCAGTCTTCTGAGAAATAAATCCACCATCTCGTAGTCTTGTGGTTCGAAGGCCGGCCTATGCATCTCCAACCGCAAGCTTCTATAATTCTGAATGAGGACAGCAGCAAACAGACGCAGGACAACCCAGATCTCGATGACCATGTAGCTGATGTAGTAGATGTAGCAGGTTCTCGGGCACTCGATGAGGCTCTGTCTGAGACTGACCCCTCTGTGAATCACGGCAAGCAGCGACAGCATGCTGCTTCCAAATGTCTTGAAGTTCTCCAGACCAGCAGAAAAAGACTGGAATGTAAATCAGGCAGTTGGTGAAATGTTCTAGCTATTTGTGGTAAGTGGTCAAATGATGCAAGTGCTCACTGACAAGTAACCCACTGGATGGGTAAGGGCAGCAGTAAAGTGTATGAAAAGGTTCCATGTCGGGGACAGGGCTCCGAGACTCCACCCTGCATGAGGGGCGCTATATAAATGCATGTTATTGTTGTCGGGATCTGTGCTGTGTGAGCTCAGCTGGGGGCAGATGTGTGGCTATAACTGGCTTCAATGCTCCTTTGGGTTATGGAGGTAAAAGTGAGCCATGGTTCTCTGCTTCTGAGAGGCATCTGGAGTTCACTCAGGGAGGTGTGTGTGTGCACATACAACAACAACAACAACTTGCACTTATATAGCATCCTCCACACAGGGCAGTGTCTCAGAGCACTTAACAGTGGCAGAGCCTGACTCCGAGCCGGGGGTGGGGGGAGAGGTGGCTGTAAGTACGGTCAGACAAGCTGATAGAACATAAGGACCTGGAGTCGATGCTGGAGGAGGCAAACTAGATTTGTGTGTCATCCGCAAACATGTGGAAGTTTATCCCAAGTCTGCAGATGACATCACCCAGAGAGAGCATATAGATAAAGAAAAGAAGAGGCCAAGGATGGAGCCCTGGGGTACCCGACAGGTGACCGGGCGGGGATGGGAGGAGAAACCATTTGCTGAGATGAAGTGGAGGCGGTTAGTAGGACTCGAACCATGCGAGTGCGGTCCCACTAAGGTGGATGAGGGAGGAGAGCCGATAGAGGAGGATGGAGTGGTCGACTGTGTCGAACGCAGCAGAGAGATCCAGGAGGACGAGGAGGCAGAGGGAGCCCTGGTCACAGATAGAGAGAATGTCGTTTGTGACTTTGACATGCGCTGTCTCTGTGCTGTGGGCAGTCGGAGAAAACCAGACTGCAGGGGTTTGAGGAGGGAGAAGTGTGACCGAAGCTGACCTGCAACAATGCGTTCCAGGACTTTAGCAAGGAAGGGTAGGTTGGAAATGGGACGGTAGTGTGAGAGATTAGAGGGATTGAGGGTGGTTTTTTTGAGGAGGGGGGTTGATGACACTGGTTTTCAGGGAGAGTGGAACAGAGCCTGAGGAGAGAGACTGGTTGACCATATTGGCCAGAAGGTGGGAGAGAAGGGGATCAAGGTAGCAGGTGGTGAACTTCATCCAGGTGATTGTGGGTGAGAGGGAGGGAGAAATGGGGGCAAAGGAGTGGGGAGTGGCAGGAACCCTGGCGGAGGGAGAAGACGGTGTGGATGATCTGGATGGGGTGGAAGGGGACATGGGGTGGGGAGGATGATGCAGCCAAGCGGATATTTTCAATTTTTGAGGCGAAGAAGTCTAGAATCTCTTCGCACTGGGCGTTTGATGTGAGGATAGAGGGAGCTTGAGGTGGTGCATGGAGAAGGTGATGGACAGTGGAAAACAGCGTCTTTGGATTGTCGTTGGCCCCCAGGTGACTCTGGAGTAAAAGTCAGTTTTGGACTGTGAAAGGGAGAGGTGGTGGGTGTGGAGGAGCTCGAGCCACAGCTGGGTGAGGCTGGATTTCTGCCATCTGCACTCGAGTGTATGGGTTTGTGTTTTGAGTGAGCGGAGATAACTGTTGTACCAGGGGAGCGGGGTGGGGGGTTGGGTTTGTAAACAACCCTGGATTTCAGGGAGGCAGGGAATTGATGGTTGTGGAGAGATGGTCATTCAGCAGCTTGATGGCTGCATCAGGATCACTGTGGGTGGAGGGCCAGAGGGAGAGGAGGACCGAGGAAGAGAGGGCATTTGTGAGGGACTCAGGGGAAGCTTTTTCCAGGGGCAGAAAAAAATTATGGATGGCTTGGAAAAGGGGAGAGGGATGCAGGTGGAGAGGGAGATGAGGAAGTGGTCCGAGATGACCTTGTCCGTTGGACAGGTCGGAAATTCAAGGCCATGTATGATGTGCTATGTGTGCTCATATGTCTGTATTGTGGTGTGTGTACGTTTGAACATTGAGTCAGTACAGGACTGTGCTTGGCTGTGACCTCTTCCCCTCCCTCCTCCCTCAAATGATAGAATAGCTCATTAGACTCCAACAGTAGTCCAAAGCACACTCTGGGGCCCCAAATCTTGGCTCTTGCCAACCTGCACCTAAAACTTTCCAGAATTAGGTTAGCAGGATAATCAGGGAGAGAGTAAACAATCTATCTCTGGAATTTCCATGTGTAGGTGGGATGCATGGAATTCCCAATTTGGTTTGGATACCCTTAAGCATGGTGATGGGTTTCTGCATGTGTCAGACACCCGGCTGACCAAATGAAAATGATAAGAGTAGCCTGCCGACACTCACTCGGAAAGCTTACACGTGAGTAATTTGTATTCTTTATTGTAATACAAATGAAAGGTTTATTATATGGCTGATTAGAAGTGGAATCATCCTCCAGTGGATGGAAAAAGATGTCAAACTCTTTCAGGAAAGGAGGGGAAGAGGCAAAAGAATTGGGGGACAAGCATAAAAAACAACTGATGATTCCACAATACAAACACCTACCAAATAGCCCAGCTGTGTATAGGCAAGAAGGAAGAAAATGAATGTTACGACCATCGCCCGGAGCTCCTTTCCAGAGTTGTTCAAGGTCTTCCCAAAGATGGACCACTGTCTGATGAAGCGGACTTGACGAGCAGTCTGTTCCCCATCAAAACAGAGGCAAATTGTAATAAGCAATAACCCATTAAGCTTCCATGTAAATGTAAATATATAATACCGCCCACAGTCTACCAAAATGCAGTACACTTCCAACACTAAAATGGAATTTCAAGTGCGATGATTCATTTCAAATGTAATTGGTGACGTACAATGCTGGAGTGCTGAACGGCCCCCATTATAATAGAATAACGGGGCATCAGTCCTTCAGATGACACGTTAAACCGAGGTCCTGTCTACCTTTTCAGGTGGACGTTAAAGATCCCGTGGGACTATTCAAAAAGAGAAGGGAGTTTCTTTCTCCCGGTGTCCTGGCCAACAATTCCCCAGACAAAATTAGTCATTTGTTTCATGGCTGTTTGTGGGATGTTGCTGTGCCCAATTGTGCTGCTGCAATTGCCTACAAAATACACAGTCACTCCATTTCATAGTAATTCCTGGTCAGCTCGGGATATGGGTTGGGAGGAGGGGAGGGGATTTTATAATAACATAATAATCCTTGCATTTGATATAGCGCCTTATTATGTCTTGGAGACGTCTCAAAGCCCTTCACAGGATACACTGTAAAGTGAATTGACCGGATATTTTGTGGGCGAAATGTGGCACAAATTTTTAGATTGTAATTTACATTAAATCGATGCTACTTTGCAGCTAATATTCCAGATAAAGCTCTGCGACTGCTGTACCTTAATTGTCAGAAGGAAAAGCAGGAGGGCGGCCAGGCTGGTGAACAAGTAGCTGAGGGAGGCCACATGGTAAAAGTTGGGGAAGCCATCTGGGTGGGCGCGGTATGTCAGCCACTGCCTATCAGCAAGCTTCGCCCGCCACAGGTGCACTGCCACACAACAGGCGCTCAGGACGATGACAGCCCACTGCATGTAGCTCCAGAACCGCTTCAGGTAAGGCGCTCCTTCGCGGCTCATCGAGAGAAATTCGGTGATGATGAAATAGAGAACGAAAATCATCAGGAAAACCTGAACACAAAATACGCACATCGTTTATTTTTAATGCTGCTGTTAAAAACGAGACTTTGATAACTTCTGGTTCTTTCAAACTCTTCGGATCCCCACCCCCCTCCCCCCACCCAAAAGTTGTTTTATTGCATTAAAGCAAAGCTACTAACCCTGCTGTAGCGATGCCAGCTCTGTGTGTCAGTGCAGTTAGTGCCAAAAGAGTAGTGTAACTACGGAGTGAACTTACCATCATGACAAGCAGGAGATCTGCTCCAGCACTCAGCTGCAGCAGTGGGAATCGGCTGACGTCAAAAGTGGTGAACACTCCCCCTGAGACAGGGAACTCTATCAGAAGAGTCCCAACAGCGTACAGATCCACGTTTGGGTAAAACTGAGTAAATTCAATGAAGACAGCCCTGGTCCTGCCAAGACAAAAGGTGCAAAGCCATCTATTTGAAATTGAAATTGTGGCGTGTGATTTTGCAGACTGCCATTGTTGTAGAATACAGTGAATTATTAGGTGCAGTTTTTGGAAGGTGTTTTTCCTGATATATAATAATGGTGCAAGGATTCCAAAGAAAATCTAAAGTAGCAATTCCTCTCTCCCCTCCCCCATACATAACATGGGCTGCAGCTTGTTGTATAAAGGCCTTTAATGAGGAGGATTCTGTTTTCAAAGCAGAAAGTAAGAGGAACCTTGATGAGAGAAAGGGAATAGAGGAGAGAGAATGAGGAAGGGTGGGCTGCTTGTGTGGAACACCATGGGGAGAATGATTCGCTTCTGTGCTGTAACGTTCTGTTTAATTCAACAAACGAGAGCCCGAAAAGCAAAATTCTGTTCTATGCCCGAACCTCTGGTTGAGACCAACCTCAAAGGGGAATGGGATTCCGTCACCATCGCCAACAGAAGCAAGCGTGAGGGAACCTTAGCCTCTCTTGCGGCTTCCTGACATACTCTGAGGCAAGTGTAATGTGGGCAGAGGTTCAGAAGCACAACTGGAGTGAGAGATTTTCATATGAAGTGAATCTGGTCTTTATCTGACATAGCACACAGGGCAGGGTGTAAATGACAGTGTATAGATTCCAATGGTCTTCAACCAGCCCCAACCCCCATCCTCCAAAGTTAAAACTCTGCCTTGTTTTGGGGTAGAGATCTATAAGATGAAACTTACTTTCCATCCAGCCAGTTATTTTTCTGCAAATCCCAGAGAAAGCTGCTGCTCTCTTCTTTGGTCCTGGCCAGTTTCTGTGTGTAGCCACCGCTGTCGTACACCGCAATCTGCCCCCAGTACCATACTCTAAAGAGGATACAAGATTCAGAACCCACTTTTATATATTGCTTTTATTACAAATTATTATTATTATTTGAAATACTGCGATTTTTTAAAATAAAATTCACTTTAAATATTGCACGCAACACATTAAGACAGATTTGATTCAGGTTGAATGCAATTGCTGTTATGATTCCTAAACTGGCTAAAGCACTGTGCAGCTTTAAATTATTTCAGTGCTCATGAACTGAAATGAGTTTGGCAATGTAGCGTAGTGTCCAATTTGCTTTGTTTATTGAACGTTTTTTGCCTCTGTCCAATCTGAACTTCACTTGGGCAAACTCTACACTGCAGGTGGATCCCAGACTGATCTACTGGTTGCTTTGGGGTCTTAACTCTAAGCTCATGAGGTCTTAGTACAATGTTCTCCTGTGCTCCGGCACAGAAAGTGTTAATCCCGAAACACAAGAAGAAACAAAGCTCTGAAAGGGCTGATTTTGATTTTTGGTTTTAGTAAATTAGCTCATGAATCAGCTGACCAGATTTTCATTGCTTTCTGTCCCAGGTATCAATCATTGCAGGGTATTTGCCGTTTTCAGACAGTAGCTTTGCATCTTCTTAAGCACTTAGAGATGATACAAACCATTCAGTGATTGTTCAGAATGATTCTTTCGGATCATTGTTCCAGGACATCTCACTTACCCGGCCGGATCGGGCTCTGAATATGGCCACATTGTACTCCGGTTTACAACTGCCCTTTTCCAGCTCATTTCGTAATTGTTGGTGTCTACCATGGTGAGGGATTGCTGGCAGCCTGCTTCGCCGAGAGACAGAGAGGCCTGGTGGAGACAGTTAACTGGAGGGGAAGAGGAAAGCAATGAGGAGAGAGAGGGAATTAGCTGGTATTGGTTTCATTGGAATTAGAAACAGCTAGCACACAAAGCAATACATGCTTGAAATTAATATAAACAATAATAATGCTTGCAATTTGATGTAGCACCTATAATGCTGAAATGTCTCAGCAAATTGTGGGAAGATATTTTGAGAAAACATTTTGAAAGAACTTTAGCAAATGGATTCGAATGTGGAGTTTGGGGAGAGTCATAAACATTTAATATGACACCTTTTATGTGGAAGTACTTCTAAGCACTCAACTAAAAGTCACTTTAAAGTGTACCGGATGTTACATTGGCACACAAAGCTGAGCACAGTCAACGGGGCTAAAGACCGAGTGTATGAAGCATGAATTCTAGTCTCCTTTTCTTGTCCTGAATAAGATTAATAGCAACAGTATGCTATTGCTGAGTTTGAGAGCGCCTTCAGCAAGACATCTGTCACTTCTCTGTCACTTCATCATTTAACTCTTGTCGACCAATAAATCTCATGCCGGAAACAGTACGTTACGAAAGAGAAGCGAGGGGGTTTTGATAACATAAGCACAAGAAATGATTTCTACTAGTTAGTGAGTCAGTAAATAGAGGGTATAGATTTAAGGCAATTACCCCTCTCTCCCCCCCAAAAAAAAGCATAGGGAGAGACTAGGAGAATTCTTTTCTCATTTTAGGATGTGGAATTTCTTACATGGAACCGTAGTTGAGAGGATTGTTAAGAGGGAATTAGATAAATATCTGAACAGAAGAAATATAAAAACATGCAGGGGACAAGGTGGTAACATGGGTCTAAATAGATAACACTTTCACAGAGTCAAAATAGGTCAAATAGTCTCTTTCTGTGCTGTAATTATCTGTGGTTTTACAGCTGGGAATCTAAATCAATCCCTTTAGAGCTACAGTAATGAGTAGTGATTTTGGGCAGATACCTACCCTCCTTGGAACGGACTTGACGTAGCCGTGGACAACCCAGCAGACTCCCGGTTTTGTTGCTATAGAGATAAGGAAGTAGCACCTCTGCCATCCACTTCCAGAGCTCCCCTGATCTGGAAGAGAGAACAGTTCTGTGTAGACTCCGACTGCAAAGTGACTGCAAAGCGCTTTTCATGCAGGAAGGAGCTGAGCAGCCAATAGGCTGAGGAGGCATTCATTCGATTAGTCTAGGCTGCATTCAAACACTGAATTTTATTATTTACTATTATTTCATATGATTGAATTTTGCTTTTTATTGAATTTAATAAAAAGGGTCACATCTCATGCCTAATTCAATCCTTCCCACTAGCCGGTTTTTACTTTGATGTGCCCCATAGTGGACTTCAAGAAATTATGTCCTAACTTCTATGAAACCAAAGGAGGCTCCCAGTGCAGGCAGGAGATGAGTCTGTGAGCAAAGTTTCCAGGGAGGGAGAGGGTAAATGTGTGGTATGTTTGGATGCAGGATTTCATATTTCCGAATCCTGTTCCAAATTGGATTAGCCCCGTTGTCAACTTTGACTTTCAAACAATGTTTCGCCGCGACTTTTATTTTAATATTTTGATGACTTACCTTTTGATTCTCTGGAATTCCACACTTTTCCTGACCCCGGCAAAACCCTGCCGAATCGAGCTGTGCAGGAGTCTACTCTGCCCGTCTTTGAACGAGTCTCCATAATTTATCAAAAGGACGACCAACAAGAACAGCATATAAATAATGAAATTCTGAAACACAAAGGATAACCTTTTCAGGCAGGTAGTTTTACTGTTAACAGGCTAAGGTAGTTTGGGACATATGTGCGTGCGACCGCCAGGAAGATGGAAGGCGAACTAGATGGACCTTGGTTTTTTTTGGCTAGCATTTCCTATGTTCTTATGTTAATATTACTCATGGTTTAGGCTGACACTCCAATGGTGGGGGGAGGAGGTTGTGTGTGCTGCATTTTTGGAGGTGTCCATTCTTCAGATGAGATGTTAAACCAGGGATGTCTGACTGTTTGGAAGGAAGTTAAAGTTCCCATGTCAACTACACGAAAACAGAAGGGAGTTTCTGGCAAATAATCCCCCAGATGGAATTGGTCACTCACTTCATGTGTGGACAGCCATGGTCATTGCTATGTGCAAATAATATTAATAATCCTTGCATTTGATATACGTTGAGACATCTCAAAGCGCTTCACCGAATATATTGAAAAGTGGAAAAAAAAACGCAAAATACTGCAGATGCTGGAAATCTGAAAACAAAAAAAGTCGCTGGGAGTGAAATGTGAATTGACAGTATATTGTGTGGGTAAATTGGCTGTTACAGAAGATACACAGTTACTGCACTTTACAGAAAATCCTGTGAATTGCTCTGAGATGTCCTCCCGACATGTAAAATCCAAGAGTTATTAATTATTCATTACAATATAACCTTGCCCAAAGGCATGCCTACACTGCAAGCTAAGACTAACAATGTCTTTGGCCCTAATCCTGCAGCACCTACAATCTCATGGTCTTGCTGGCATTCACACTGAGCTCGTAAACTGGAAACATTTATCCGAAGTGTGATGCAGTGAAAAAATATTTTTAGAACATTTAGATGTAATAATGATATTTATTTTTCTTGGAACTGGATTTAGTAACCGTCAGATATTCTTGGTCTAAAGTAATGTACATCCACCCCACCCATCATTGTATCTGAGATGTACACTTGCTCTCTTTTCCCCATCCAACCCAATAATATCTTTAAAAAAATGCAAAATACTGTAGATGCTGGAAATCTGAATAAAAACAGAAGTGGCTGGGAACACTCAGCAGGTCAGGCAGCATCTATGGAGAAAGGAAAGTGAGTCAACGTTTCGGGTCCACGACCCTTCATCAGAACTCAGTTGACTCACTTTCCAATTATACCTTAACCTCCCCACATGTCACAGTGTTTGTTACAATCTTTTCACCCTCATTGTAACTACAATATGTAACAACAACAATTAGCATTGATATGGCATCCCTCATGCAGGGTAGAGTCCCAGAGTATTTGAGTGTTTGGCAGAGCATGACACTGAGCCGTAGGGGGGAGTTGACCATACGCACAACCTGAAGATGGGGAAGGAATCCTTCACCCTCAATGCAACAACTTGCATTTATAAAGCGCCCTTCACGTGGGGTAGCACCCTGGAGCACTTATTGCAATACCCTGATCCACACTGTAATAATCTTCTCACCCCTCACTGCCTGTTACAATCCCCTCACCCTCAATGTAACTGCTACAATCCCTCCATCCTCACTATAACTATTTTACAATTTCCTTCCCCCCCCAAAACCCCCACCATGATGCAAACTTGCCTTCTTCTTCCTATCCATCCCAAAGATGGTACCAACAAACTCTGGTACTAACAATAAAGACTAAGACATGAAACCTGAAATTTCATCTGGTCTTAGCCTGTAAAACAGTTTTGCTTAAAACTGACCTTCAAATTAAAACTATCTCCTCCTTGGGAAACCTTCAAGGAGGAGATAGTTTGAACAAATACATTCCCACAAAGGGGAAAGGTAGGGCATCCAAACCTTCCTGGATGTCTAAGGAAATTGCGATTAAAATAAAACAGAAAAAAGATAAATGTCAGGTACAAAATACAGAAGATGGAGAAACCATTCCCACTGGCAGGTGGGTCGGTAACCCAAGGACGCCGATTTAAAATAGTTGTTGAAAGAAACAGATGGGAGTTGAGAAGTGTTTTCACATAGTGAGTTGTTGGGATCTGGAAGTTAAAGGTCCCCCTACGCCTGAAAGGCTGGTGGAAGCCGATACGATAACAACTTTGAAGAGAGAAGTAGATAATTATTTGTAGAGAAAAGTTTGCAGGGCTATGGGGAGAGAGTGGGGGAGCGGGATTGATTTGGATAGATCTTTTCAAAGAGCCGTCACAGACCCAATCGGCCGAATAGCCTCCTTCAGTGCTGTATAATTCTATGATTCTATGAAAACTGAATTCAAGAATTTTCCACAATTCTGTACGACCTTAAATTTCAAGACCAAATGGTCTCACAAACTAAGACTAGGTGAAACTTATGTTTAAGCATACGCCAGGAAACATTTGCAGAAAAAAAACTCTTTCATGTATGTGTGCCGTGAGTGAGTGAATATGATGCATTGTGTGAGGATGGTTGCATGTTTGTGAGTACGTGTGTTTTAGAGAGTGTGTGGGTATGATTGTTTTAAGGAAAAGGTGAAACTTGGGCTCTGAGCACGTTTCCTGCGTGCCACATCCAAACTGTTCCCTGGAACGAAATTCAACATGGCCTCTGGCCTTGAGGCTGTCTTATTTACATAGAATTGGCTGCCGGTGACGATGAAAAGGTCATGTGTTTTGCATGCAAAGCCAATATAATGTCGATTTTAGAGTGTGGAAACAGAAATAATTTCCACATCAGTGATATCACTTGTTTGTTTAATTCCATTTTTTTCATATAGCAGATACCAAAGAAAACAATGAAAGCTTAATTCCTCTCCGTGAAACAGTTTTCTTTGAGACTTGTGGGACTCATCAGCAGTGATCCACACAGTAATAAAAGCCATTACAGTCAGCCACTCAACAGCTTGGTACAAATGTAAGGGGGGAAGGTTAATTAGTGTCAATATAAGCTTGGCAGTCAGAGACACATGAATGTTGGAGATGAATCCAACCATGGTCCTGTCGCTGTGCAACCCGCGAGTTTATAGGTCAGCAGATTCTGAGGCATCGGTTGGCTTGTATACTGGAAAACCTGAAGAAAGCCATGATTCACTGGGAAATAAAATGTTTCTGCTCTTTCTCAGAAATGTGACTGTGTTTGTGGGATGATGGCGAAATATAGAATCTCCAAAGTTCAGATTTGCGTTGTAGGGAACATTGCATTCTGTCAGGATTTCCCTCTGAATTCGATGAAGTCTCAGCAACAACAACTTTCAATTATATAGGGCCATGCAGGGTAACAATGTCCCAGAGTGCTTGAATGGTATATTTGTACTGTTCCGCTAGGAACCTAAGTTTGCCTCAGGTGATATTAGGGTTTAAGGATAAGAGATAACAATAGCACTTTTTATCATCACATTGGGATTTTCCTTGTTGGTACTAAAAGGTGCTGAAGTTCTCTCCCCACTTAGTACCTTAAGCATTTTGTGAAGGGTGTGGACCTTCTTGGCTTCTTCCTTGGCTTGAAGGAGTCCGTAGCCTTGAGGAGGTCGAACTCTGCCAATTTTCTCCGCAATCAGTTCCACTCGTGGTCTCTCCACTAAATTGTCATCTTCATCTGGATGGACCCGTTTAGCGATCATCGCAAAGTAAAGTGCTTCAGTCAAAACCTGCAGTGCAGAAGGGGGAATATCACAACCTGCAATGGCACTTTCATTGCTTCCACAGTTTCCAAAGCTGCTTTTAATGCTTCTATTCTGTTCTGTTGCAATGATAATCATATCATTGCAACAGAACAGAATAGAAGCATTGAAAGCAGCTAGGAGTCCTGTAGCTCAGTGGTTAGAGCACTCGCTTTGCAAGCGAGAGACCTGAGTTCAATTCCAGGCAGGGCGAAACCTTGGGCAAGTTTCCTTACTCCACACAGAGCCTAATAATAATCCCTCCAAAAAAACCAAAAACAATAAGAAATTGGTCATTTTCAATCTACGACTGTTTGTGGGACATTGCTGTGCGCAATTGGCTGCCGCGTTCGCCCACAAATATACAGTCAATTCACTTTACAGTGTGTTCTGTGAAGCGCTTTGGGACGTCCTCCCGACGTGAAAAGCGCTATATCAAATGCAAGGATTATTATTATTATTATTATTATTATTATAGGAGGAGCAAGCAAAAGTACCAGCATCACCAAACTTTAAACAATCGCTCTAAGGCAGAATAGCAGACGTTTTAAGATGAATTTGTGTCATTGTTAATTAATTTTATCCTTTAATTCTTTTCATTATTATCCCAAATGATTCAACACCAAGTACTTTAAATTGTCTGGAAATTGTGAAACTCTTAAGGCAGTAAATTGTTGTGAACACAGGAACCCGACGTTATGGATGCAATGTCAAGTGCAAGGATTATTATTAATAAGTGAGTCCATTGCATTTAAATATTGTATTCTCATCCCATAACACTGCAGCACAATAACAATCAAAGGCAGGATGTTTCTGTGATAGAATCGGTTTCCAATAATAATTTTTCTGCTCTTTTCAAGGCTGAAGAACATGGCCTCAAATCAGCATCTCAGGAGGATCAGTGCTTATATCTGAGCCATTGTAATTACCATCATCAAGTGTGCAAAACATAGTAAAACCACAGCCATTTCTGCAAAGCAAATAGCAGCATTAGGGAGTCAGTGCTCTACATGTCATTCCAATTAGCAAAATAACTTGCTGCTTTTTTGTTCTTAAAGGAACCTTTGTTTTAAAGCTCGTTAGTTCCATTTTGAAATTCCATTATGTTTAAAGGAAACTGGTTCAGGTGTCCATGTACTACTGATTCAGTTCCTTTCTTTATTTTCCTAGAAATATTGAAATGAGAGACTACCCCAGAATGAGGTTAACCAGTGAAGTTGGCTTTTAGATGCAGTCTTATTTCTGAGGATTTGGGCCCCTCAAATTTCTCATAGTCTCAGCTTAAGGCTATTTTGTCCCATACGTGCAGAATTTTGGAAGATTCTTAAATTCAGTTTTAATTTGGAAGTTGTTTTTCCACCACTTCCGCAATTATACCCACAAAATGCAGTCAATCCACTTTACAGTATATCCTGTGAAGCGCTTTGAGACGTCTCGACGACATAATAAGGCGCTACATCAAATGCAAGCATTATTAAGATTATTAACATAGAAACCAAGTGGGGATTCCTTTAGGTCATATGAGCCTTGAGTTTGCCAACAATTCTTTTCTGGAACTTGACTGCGTCAGAGTGGCGCACTTCTGGTTCTCGTGCAATGAATTCTGCTGGAAATTGCAGTGTGTAATAATAAAAAATAATTTAAAAGTTTTGTATTTAATGCAGTGCCTTTAACACTGAAATGTCTCACAATGCTTCTCAGAGAATTACTGTCATGTTTTGTGATTGTATTTGTTAGATGACATGGGCAGACAATTTTGCACACAGCAATATCCCACAAAAAGCCATGAAGTGAATGACCAATTTTACAGTGGAGAAATCTTGGCCAGGACATACCACCCATAAATAGACAGTTGTTGACAACAATTATATGTGAAGCATTTTGAGATATTTCAACCTTATGGCAATGCAATAATTATTATTCTACTGCTTCATGTAAACAGGGCACCTCAACATGTCTAGGATCCAACTAATGATATTTCTTAACAGGCTCCTTGTTCATGAATCCTGTTAAAATTCCCCTTGAATGGCAGAGCATTTCTTACAGAAGAAAAAAAGGTTGAAATGGATTTCTTGCTGCTTGACGAAACGGATTTCTGGCTACTGGAAGGAGACCTCATTTGCATGATCTGGATTCCAATCAGGAATCCTGCTAAGAAAGATAGTAAATTAGACCCCTGTATATGAAAACATGATATCTCATGGTCTTACTCAAGATAGTTGATGCAAAAGTTTTTTAAGGCACCTTAAGTGGTGATAATATGGTATGTTAGAAAAAAAACTCTTTGGTTGGCCAACAAAATAAATGTTTCTCGATTGACTATTTCTTGATTTATGGCATAAATCTATGCTGTTTTGTTATTTCTACGATAATTTTGTTGGCCCACCAAAAAGGTTGGTCACCACTGGTTAAACAGTAACCTGCCTTGAGGGGCTCCAGGAGGAAGAATGAACAGAGGATGCTGAAGATTCCTGAGATGAGCCACATGAGACTGACACTGGCGGTGAAGTTAATGCCAATCCACACTGACACACTGATACATCCGGAAAAAAGGAAGAAACTTAGGACATGTGCGGTATAGCTGCACCAGGATGGGAAGAGGCACTTCTTCGGAGGCTCACTGAAAGCTGCAGGAAAAGAAAACACACCTTAGAAAATTTTAAAATGCTTGACTCGCTTACCTGTGAGCAATTAGTAATGACACCAATAAGATGCAAATCAGACTGAATGTAACTGAAGTCAATGTTGCTATTTCTGCAAAACATCTACCCAGATTCTTTATTTGGCTTCTTTATTAAGCGATCTATTAACACTGCTCTATACTTTAACGTAGGAGATTAAATCTATTTCTCATCTGATTTCAGCGTGGCTTTGTGTACGATGGCAACACTAGATGGCACCAAAGCAGTGCTTGCAAGTAGTGAACCGAGTGTAACATAAACACATCAAATCTAAGCTACCCAGCCTGGGTCTCTCCACTGCATCTGTTCTCATCGGATTACTGACTGATTCAGTGGAGTTCACTTTCATTCTCTTGGTCTTGATTTTCTAAAAATCAAGAGGACGGCCCATTGATTTTCTAAAGCAGTTTCTAAACATTCTGAACTGAAGTTTTGAAGCTTTGAGCATGTGGGAAGAAGATGATGCGTTTGGATCATCTTGGGAGTGGCAAGGGAAAACTTAAGAGAGATGAAACTACCAATGTAGTATTTATGAAATAGAAACATGGAGAGAGAGAGAGTGGAGAGGAAGGCAGAATGACATTCACCGACAGGGATGAAGATAAGTCGAGGGAAGTGACAGAAGAGCTTCTCAGTATGGGAGGACTTGGATGGACTTGGGTTTTATAAAGTGTTGAGATTTATGGAGGGGAAGCAATTGCTTTGTGATAATTGAAATGGATTGCCAAATGCTAAAATATTTCTCTGAGGAATTAGAGACTGTAAGACCAAATCACACAGCTGCTCTTCCCCAGTTGATGAGTGATGATATTTGCTGTAGCTTAATTAAACGGGTAAGATGTGAACTTACATAATTTGTCACAATTACATGCATAAAAGTAGAGATATGGGATGAGCACAGGTGCTGTAGTGAGAAGCTAGCAAGGGAGGGTCTGCATTCGTGCTGAAATTTCAATGAAAGTCACGTGTTACCTGTTCGTCTGGATACAGCTGACTTCGGGGAATCTCGAGACGGTCTTACAACCTGGTCGCAGTCGCTAATCTTGTGCAAAACTGCAGCGTCCACCCTGGGCTGGACGCGCCCACTAAGAATTTCAGTTTTCCTGGGAGTTGGGAGTGTGTTTGGGAAGTGGTGGGTGTGAGGGAAAGAAAGACAAATAAAGGGAAACAGATTGATGACCTAAATCAGTAATCGCCGTCAATCAGGAACGAGGATTGCAGTGTGCCAGTCATTCTGATGGCAGTGCATCTTAGTCGCTCATTCAGGCTTCTTCCCCCGTTGTTACTAAGGTGAACTAGTTTACAACCATGGGCGTCAAGAATGGGCCAGATCTTTTCAAAGGGAAACATTTACCCATATCAATCATTGAGAATTTTGTGTCAAATACAATTAGTATATGCTTCAGGCTCTCAGTTCCTTTCAAAGGAGAGCAAGACTGAGGATTTGGGTGTTTTCCGTGAAATACAGTAACAACATTTTACAATATATACTGTGAAGCACTTTGGGACATCCGCCCGACATGAAAGGCTCCATATCAAATGGAAGGATTATCATATGGAAGGATCATTATTATTATTGTACATTACATGGAAAAAACTTCAGCATTAGATGCCAAAGCTTGGCGACCTAAAGAGTGCATTTGGGGTCCTGCTGGACTTTAACTGGCTAAACCCACATAACTTGCATTGATAGCAAGCTTCTCGCTGCATCTGTCATTACCAGTGCCATGAAATACTCTGTTGGGTTCTTTTGCTAAGATAAGTCACCTAGGTGCTAGCCCAGCTTCAAGGTACCTGGCTACTGGGTTATTCTCCATTTACAGTCTCAGCCATGCACAGTGCAGTCCTAGGTCTACACATATTCATCTACAGTAAATGTTAATGAAAGCCAAGCAAAAGGGCCTGATGATTCAGAATAATTTAAACTAGAGCTGGGTCTTGGTGACAAGATTCAGATGTAGTTCCTTGTGCTTATTCAGATCATGTCATTCTGAGTCCCTCTTTTCTGGTTAAATGTAGATATCTTGTCGATTTGGTTGTGATTTTGTTTTTAGCAAACATTTGTCTTCATACTGGATAAGCCGCTCTGGCGAATTTTAAACCTGGGATACAATCGTGAGCTAGAAATGAGAGTTCACAAGAGGTTTGCATAAAAAAGACCCCAGGGTCCATTTTATCTTGTCCTTCCCCAATACTCACTGTTTCTTAAATTAATCACGTGTCCTGGCCTCAACCACTGGTAGTCTGTTCCAGTTATTAATTACCTTCTGAATAATGAAATGGTGTATTTTCTGAAATAGCTGCTTGCAACTCTAAACATACATCATCTTGTTCTGCTGCCTTGGCATATGTAAAAGTATTGGGCTTAACCTTCCATTCCTGTTTAAAAAAAAATACAACTCCATTTTTCTGTACGGAATGAACAGCAATAAACCAATTAATCGGTCTTGCTGTGATTCACCGCTAACGCTGAATCTAAAAGGGACCCTATGGGCTGGTAAACCAAACAGCCTATTTCTCTATTGCAACATTCTGTAAAATAAGCAAGTTGAGTTGATGCAGAACAAGGCTGAGAAATTTTCACTGATTGAGAGTTCCCTCTTGACTGTCCCTTTAAGCCACAAACTATGCAGTCAATTGTGACTCAGTGTTTGGGGTCCTGGTACACATTTTTACAGCTTACTTACAGATTAGATATTAACTGGCTCTCGGGAACAAGCGAAGCCTGGCCAATGGTATGCGAGGCGAACACAGCGTTGCTCCCATCGGTGAGAATTCTCTCTATTAATTGTTCATCTGCTGGGGGAGAAATGCACAATGTGTCATGGATGGAGGCTTTAGCATTTTAATCAAATAATAATAATGCTTGCATTTGATATAGTGCCTTATCACATCGTTGAGACAGTTTTGCCCACAAAATGTACACTCAATTCACTTTACAGTATATCCTGTGAAGCACTTTGAGATGTCTCGAAGACATGAAAAGGCGCTATATCAAATGCAAGGATTATTATTATCTCAAAGCACTTCACAGAATATACTGTAAAGTTAACTGACTGTATATTTTTGTGGGAAAAATGCAGCACCCAATTGCGCACAGCAGTGACCAAATTGAAGTTGTGTGCAGGTACTGAGCAATTAGCAAAGAAAACTACGGGTGTTTAACGAGTGGTGTGGGGTGGAAGGGTGTGAGAGAGGAGGGGGGAATAAATTATACTTTGCAATTTTGCAAATTAGTACTAAAAATGAAATATTATTATATATTTGCAAATAAATTATTATTATTGCTAATAGAGGAGAAAATCAAAGCTTACTTGAAATGCAACCTTCTTCAGACTTGTAAGGATGCGAGACATGGGATTTCATTATATTTTTTGCACGTTGCCAAGTTCCACTGTTTTCATGTTGCTGATAATTACATGGTCATTGTTCGTCTAACCTTTTCCCTCTTAATCTCTAACTGCACCATCCCACCTAATGCTCTTCCTTGCATGCCCACTATGTAGAAATCGAGTCATCACGCTTAACTAACACATTTTCTCTTAACTAATTCTTTCCCAGGACCTTACTTCCCTCCCTCCCTCCTACAATCTAAAGGTTTAAATGTTGCCTCACTATTTCTTCTTGTTTTTTGCCTCTCATGCTTTCTATTACACTTCAACAACAACAACTTGGATGTATATAGCGCCCTCCACGCCGGACGGCGTCTCAGAGCGCTTCATAGTAACAGAACCTGGAGCTGGGGAGGGGGAGGAGCTGGGGGAGGGAGAGGAGCCGGGGAGGGGGAGGAGGAGGAGCGGGGGAGGGGGAGGAGCTGGGGGAGGGGGAGGAGCCAGGGGAGGGGGAGGAGCTGGGGGAGGGGGAGGAGCCGGGAGACGGGTAGAAGCCGGGGAGGGGGAGGAGGAGGAGCGGGGGAGGGGGGGAGCTGGGGGGGGGAGGAGCTGGGGGAGGGGGAGGAGCCGGGGAGGGGGAGGAGCCGGGGGGAGGGGGAGGAAGGTGACCAAAGGCACGGTCAAAAAGGTCTTCAGCCGAGACCTGAAAATGGGAAGGGAGGGGGCGAGGGGAAGGGAGTGAGGAAGGCAGTTCCAGAGCCTCGGGGCATAGTGGCTGAAGGCATGGCCGCCGAGGGTGGAGCGGAGGACTCGGGGGACAAGGAGGCGGCCAGACCCGGAGGAACGAAGGCAACGGGTACTGTTTTGAGGAGAGAGGTCAGAGAGGTCAGGAGGTGCAGGGGAGTGGAGGGATTTGAAACAAGAGTGAGGATCTTGAAGTTGATCCTCTCTGGGACAGGAGCCAGTGCAGTCTGGCCAGGACTGGGGGGATCGGGGAGTGGGGTTTGGGTGTGGGGGGGAGGGCCAGGACTGGGGGGATCGGGGAGCGGAGTTTGGTGCGGGTGAGAATGTGGGCGGCAGAGTTCTAGATGATCTGTGTACACACACTTTGTAACATTGGTGAGGTTTTCCCTTCCCCTTTTTGTGTTCATTAAATGTCTGATACACACTGAAATCCACCACATGTAAGAATCTCCAAATCGAGCCACTTGGAGGTCCATATAGGCATTCCCCTGTCCTGAATTGAGAGTGCACTCTCTCTCCCTGGAGAGTCGCAACCTGCTTGCTGATCCTCCTGGAAAGTATTAGGTGCAATTTGGTAAGAATCAATGCATGGTGACCCCAAAGCGATCTTGTTTACCTCTTTCTTCAACCCCCTCCTCCCTCCCTGTGAGGAGAATAGAATTTCCCGTTCAGGAGAGTTTCATGTCTTCCTAACACACTGGGAATGCCGGGTTTTACCTGAAGTAGAGAAGCAAATGTTCTTGACTGGATCAAAGCCGAAGGAAGAAGGTTCTTCCTCTGAACACAGAGGCGTCTCGATCCCTAGATGCCGGGTTGCTCTGCCTCTCTTCAGCTTTGGGATGCTGCTTCCCATGATGGACCGGTCATTCAGCAGATCGGGCCAGTTCATGACACCGTCATAAGCTTGCCACCCAGAAAGGCTGTGGAGAGGAACAAAAGGGTGGCAAATGTGTCTCAGGAATTGGAACAGTTTGTATTTGATGGACGTTTTTGAACTGCTTCTTAAATGAGTCCATGGTCTTGACCTCAACCAATAACAATAATGGAGATGTTGATAATAATTAATTCTGTATGGATTAATCTACCAACACAGGGAAAGCCCTGGGAACCTTAGATGCAAAGTTGTGTAGTTCTTCCAAGCATACTACACTTACTATATGTCTCAAATTACTCATATACTTTACTGTACAGGACAAATAAAGCATAACTTCTGGAAATCTGAACTTAACTGATTTGCCAATATCCTGGCGGGTAGATGTGACCTTTACCAGAGCTTTCTTTAAACAAAGAAAATATTTCCCAGTTCCCGATGTTCACATTTTTTGCCACTGTTGACCACAAGGGCAATGATCCAAAGAGCTGAATAAATATTGAAGACGTACTGACCTCTTCAAAGTAGCTCCAGAGGATATATCTGACTTCAGCTTGTCTCTGTAATCCTAAATTAACAAAGACAATGAGCATTATAACAGCTACTACCAGTATTGATTTCCTAGGATGTGAAGTGCTCAGTGAGGGGCATTGGTCAAATGATGGATCCCTCCAATTCATCCCTCCCGTCAAGGTCACTCTGAGAGATACCGTTGCCTGCCAGATACTACAATCTATTAAGATTGACTATTAAGATATACAATCTATTAAGATTGACTGATTATTTTCCTTTTCCTATCCCCACCCCGTAAAGGGGCACACTTGCTGCCCTTGACATGTGTTTGTAATGAGATTTGTTCGTTCATAGCTTCGCATCAATTAAATTGCCACACTTAGTGACCAGGGCCACATCTTGTTTCTTTGTTCTTACTTACCTCGTCTACAGTTTCCGCAAAAGTAAGAAACGAGCTGCCCGGGGTCGAGGATTCGATGAAATCGTCAATCTCCAGCGTGTGTGATTCCATGTGAACTGGCTCATCAATAGATGCCTTTGAAAATAACAATGCTCATTATACACTGGTAATTCACATTATGCCTATTAGTGGGACACTGCTGTGTGTAAATTGGCCTGCAAAACACACCATCACTTTACAGCCAGCACTCATGGAATGCTTTGAGACATTTTGACATCAAAAGCACGATATCAACTGCAAATGTTGTGCAGTGGAGCCCTGTTTGTAACACGGTTTGTGGGTATACATAAAATCCCAACCTGTCTTATAACAGGGTGCAATCACTGGTCAATGCATCTGCATAATAACGTTACTTCCTGCATGCTACACATTGCATTACATTGTGTGTATCATACATAATATATCACTCCAAAACTTCCCTTCATTATAATGTCAACAGGGGTTCTGTTGAACATTCGGTGTTGACCTCTCTTTTGTTCACAGTGTGGACTGAACTGTAATCAGCAACGTTGGTTATTGCATGTAATTTTATCCAAGCAATCAATACCAAAACAAGCACAAGTAGTGCAGTCAGTCTCTTGCCTACAAGACTGGAGCACAGCTCCAAAGCTCAGAGGGAATAGTGAGAGTGCGAGGAATTGTAGTCTCAGAGGAGGGATCGTGAAGCTTACCTGGCTCCGGGACATGCGATAGAGCATCACCACAAATAGGTAGACTGGATAAACGATTACGCTGGAGACTACACCAGCTGCCATGCTCTCTCCACTCAGGGGCACTTGGGTTGCAATTGGAACATCGCTGAGAAAATAAAATAAGCACATCTCTATCTTTACTACTACAAAAATAACAATAAATTGCATTTATATTAGCACCTTTCATGTCAGGATGACATCCCAAGGCGTTGGACAGTGAAGGGTTTCCACCCGAGCTGGTGGTTGGAATCGAGAGGGGTTAATGTCATTACCAAATAGGTAAAAAAAAACTTGCCCTGTAATAGTGGGCAAAACTATTTCAGTAATACATGGATACTAGCACCTAACGCATGCAATTGAGACAAATATCATTTGAAGGATGCCCGGGGATTATGAATTTGGTTCATTTAAACACAACAAAGGCCCACTGTACCTATTGTTGATGTCTCTTATAATCCCGTACCATACGGCACCAGCGCAGAAGACGAGGTAAATGAGGACGAGGCAGCAGGTGACCCTCTGGACCCTGGTGAAGCGGCTACGAGGGTGTCGGTCCCAGACCGACAACCAAATGTGTTTCTCCGAGAGGCCTTGCTGGATCTCGGCGATGAAGATTCGGCCAAAGTCCTTCAGTTCAGCTTCGGCTAAAAAAGAAAAATGAAATTCAACTGAAGTAACGGTCCTGACTGCATTAATCCTGCCTGAGATTCCCAGGACAGGGAAGAATCAACAGCATATTTTTACACAATGTACAACATATCTGGGTAAGCCTTCTGTTCAACAAAACGAACATCGCCTTCGGCAATGTCGGCCTCTTATGGGATTTCCCATTATAGTTGTGCAGCTATGAAGGCATTGAGTAATGGTAAACAGAAGTTTTACCCTATTATCCTCTATCTCCTCCCTGGATCTGCACATGAGGATCGGGCCAAACTGCTTCAGTTTAGCGTGGGCTAAAGGGGAAAATGTAAATTGTATACGGCAGTAATGATTCTGTATTAATCCTGTCAGAACCAAAAGGGGAATCAAGGGTGGTGCTGATTAGAAGACAGGGAGAGAAATTAATGCACATTTTTAACACAATGTGATGACAGACAGACAGTTTCTGTCTTGGTGTATAATTTAATTTGCTGCATTGCTCTTTGTGTACTCTGTTTTTTGCTGTACTCTATTTGCATTGTCTGTATAAATAATGTTGACTTGTATCAATTTATAAAGTCCAACGCTGAATTCTATAATTTTTAAACGGGCAATTTTACATTGAGTGAGCCAATTTTCAGGTTCTTCTAACATTTTCTCAATTACAGTTTTTTGTACTTTTTAATGCAACTTAAGAGTTCCAGTAAACTTCCATTCATGCTTTTTGCAAATTCCTCGCATTTAACATGAGAATGTTCAAGTATTATAAGTTTATTTATTTATGACTTGAGATGAGAAAGAAACGGGACGGCTGGCAGACTAATTTGAATGTATGGAGGAGTGTTTCTTATTTAGAGTGAGTAGCATTTTTTTTAAAACCAAAGCTGTGAGAGCTTGGCAACTCTGCGCCTATCTGGATATCCAGTGCTCCGAGACGCTGTCCTGCATGAAGGGCGCTATATAAATGCACGTTGTTGTTGTCGTCGTTGTCTACTTACTTGCCATCAGAACCTCCTTTTCCACCAAGCCTCTGTTTCTGTCATTGTCGACAGACAGCCAGTCGTTCACCAGAAAGTAATAGCTTTCATTGGTCTGGAGATCTTTGATTATCACATGCTGCAGGTACCAAGATGGGCTCAAACCTGGCGAGAGAGAAAAGCCAGGGAAATAAAGAGTCTGGAACTGGAGCTGGATCTCAGCTGAGGAATCTGAAGTGTTTCACTATACAGCCTGCATTGGATTATTAGCTTTGTGACAATGTTAAACGTCACACTTTGGCCACAAAATCCAGCGTTGTACAGGTTTATGTAATCTATTGTTACATTCTGAATTGAATGATTTTAATGCAATAAACAGCCTCTAAATGCTTTCACAGATTAAATCCACAAGCAGCTGCAATTAATATCATAGAATCATAGAATTATACAACACGGAAGGAGGGCATTTGGCTCATCGTGTCTGTGTGGCTCTTTGAAAAGAGCTGCAAAATCAACCCCACTCCCCCACGCTCTCCCCATAGCCCTGCAAATGTGTTCCGCCCAAATAATTATCTACTTCTTTCTTGAAAGTTGTGAGTCAGCTTTCATCAGCCTTTCCGAACAACTCGCTGTGTCAAAAAAATTCTCCTCACCTTCTCTGTTTCTTTTAACAACTATTTTAAATCGGTGTCCTCGGGTTACCAACCCACTCGCCAGTGGGAATAGTTTCTCCTTGTTCACCCTATCAAATCCCCTCATCATTTTGAAAACTTCTATTAAGTCTCCTCTTAACCTTCTCTGATCCAAGGAGAATAATCCCAGCTTCTCCAGCCTCTCCTGATAACTGAAGCCCCTCATTCCTGGTACCATTCTGGTCAATCTCCTTTGCACCCTCTCCAATGCCTTGACATCCTTCCTAAAGTGTGGAGCCCAGAACTGAACCCAGTCTCTCGCTGAGGCCTAACCAGTGTTTATATAAAGCTTCATCATAACTTCCTGACTTGTGTATTCTATGCCCCTATTTATAAAGCCTGGTATCCCGGATGCTTTTTTAACAGCTGTATCTCCCTGTCCGGCCACCTTCAAGGATTTACTATATGACCCCCAGGTCTCTCTGTTCCTTCGCCCCCTTTAAGACTGTATATTGCCTCTCCTCATTCTTCCTCCCCAAATGCATCACTTCGTATTTATCCACATTAAACTTCATCTGCCACGTCTCTGCCCATGTTACCCATCTGTCTGCGTCCATTTGCCATCTGCTATTATCCTCTGTTTACTACTTTTCTTAGCTCATACCCTCGGCTCCATTGGTGGCCATGCTTTCAGCCACGATAGCCTGAATCTCTGAAACTTCTTATTTCTTCCTCCTTGACCATGTCTTTGGTCACCTCCCCTCTCTTTCTAGCTTGGCATAGCTGCTGTTAAGCATTCTAAGATACTACTCATGTGAAGGGCGCTTCAGGAAGCTCAGGAAGCTATAAATGCAAGTTGTTGTTGTATTTACTTTGGCAGAAATCTACTTGTGTAAGTATTTCTTTCTCCTTATAATCTATAGACTATAGACTAAAGACTATAGTCTGTTCCCTGCCTCGTGAGTGCTACCCTCACTATGGAGTACATCAAGTTGTTCATCCTATGTGCTTCTGTGAGTGAAAGTTGTTGTGCCTTGATTAATATTTCACTCTATAATCACAGTGTGCTGCTGTAGTTCATTTACAATGACATCTAGGTGATGGAACACTAATTCTGAGACTCTCAAGTCTCGGATGTTATTTAAAGTCGTCCTATTTTGACTGTTTACCCAGCAGCAAGTAGGAAGGTTGCTAGTTGTTGTAAGGTTGTTCTAAGCAGGTTGTTAGTCAATCGCTTTTCTGCGGGTAATAATCACTTTTTAAAAAATTAAAATAATAATTTGGTCACTCATTTTATTTTATTCATGACTATTTGTGGGACACTGCTATGTGCAATTGGCTGCCGCGATTCGCCCAAAATATAGTCAATTCACTTTACAGTATATCCTGTGAAGCTACTTTGAGACGTCTCAAAGACGTGATAAGGGCTATATCAATTGCAAACATTATTATTACTTTCAAACATTGTGAGAAGTCTGCTCTTTTGTTTCTGTGCGGAATTTTCATATGGCTTAAAACATAACAATTGTCACAATAAGATGTTGGGAATGGATAAAACGCAGCCCTTTACCCTAGGGTTGAAGGGCAGTGTTTAGGGTCGTTAACCGAGCTTTGTGTTGTAAACCATAATGACTCGCCTACAAATGGATTCAATTCCACTGTGGTTCAAAAACAGCTAGAGATTAAAGCCAATACACACGCACAGACACTCCGCATTGAATGGCTAAAACTTTTTTGTTTTAGAAAACAATAATAACAATCCTTGCATTTATAGCATCTTTCACATCCAGAGGATGTCTCAAAGAGCTTCACAGGTTTTGCAGCAAAGTGTAGTGATTTTGTGTTTTGTAGGCAACGTGTGGGTTTGAAAATCTGGGAGAACATTGAGCTGTTTTTGTCTGAATATTACAGCTGCTTTGTGGTAGCGTATCTATCACTGTGACAAGACCTGTTATTAATAAACTGCTGACAGATCATAATAATGCCTTTTATTCTTTTTGTCTGATTCATTTACCAGCTGTCTATTTTTAATTTTGATTGAGGTTTTTATGCTGGCAATGGTCTAGACAGTTAGCTGACAATCATGGGCTTGATTTAGAGAGTGGCTGGTAGCAATGGCTCAGTCAGTAAGTGGCACCATGCAGACAGGAAAGGTGTACCAAATTTGCTGTACCAAATTTGCTGTACCAAATGCAAGGATTATTATCATCATTTGACTACAGTGGAAGTTGATTATAAGTGGGGTTTACAACAGAACCGTGGAAATACCACAGGTGATCCCAAAAATATTTACTGCAAGAATCTGTAAGAACTCTAACATTTCACCTTTTGATTGTTTGTGGGACAAGTTGGTCACAAATTGGTTGCAGTGATCACCTCCAATATATACAGTCAGTCTACTTTACTGTAAATCCTTTGACGTACTCTGAAACTGCCTCACAACGTGAAAGATGCTATATCAAATGTAAGGATTTTTATTATGATTCTACCCAGGGATTGAGGATCGTCTGTAACTGCCTGACTGAAGTGACTAATTCCGGGAAGTATTAGACACAGTTTGGCAAGAGCCAAGGCTTGGAGACCCCAGAGTGTGCATTGGGGTAACTGCTGGAGTCTAACCAGCTAAAACTACACAGCTTGCTATCGACAGTGCTGCCTGTAAAGCTTTCCCTCTGTTTTTGAAGTGCTCCGGGATGCTACTACTCATGTGAAGGGCTTCATATAAATACAAGTTGTTGTTGTTTTCCAGCTAGGACCACCCTACCCGTTAGGGCTTTGGCTTGCAGGGTTAACAGGGGCTGAGTGGAAAGATTCCAAGTCCTCTGAGTTTTAAAGTGTAATATTTCCATTGTTGGGAGCGTTGCACTCGCAGCCCTATGACCTGCTGTGACCCCTGCCCTCAGCCGGTCCTGCTCAGATCCTCCTTTACCTCTGTTGTCATGCCAGACACGGATCTTCCAGACTCGGCCCAGACTGTAACCCGTGGCGATCTGGAACACGTCCAGGCCATTGCGGCGGAATGCGGACTGGTTGTCCAGGTGTCTGTGACCGCTCTTAGTCTCTTTTCCATACAGGCTGATCCCCACATGCGATGTTGTGCCTGTCGGGACATAAACAGTAACTTAATAACCTCGGCCTGCCTCCCATCTTGTCTGCTGTAGATGGTGATGTGTATACCAGGCGAGGGAAGGGGGGTTATGACTGGTTGCATGATGGGGGCATAACTGACATGCCTGTGGTGGTGGTGGGGGGCAGTGACTAACATGCCTGTGTGGGGGGGGGGGGGGGCGGGGCGGGGTGACTGACATGCCTGTGGTGGGGGGGGTGGGGTGCCTGACATACCTGGGGTGGGGGGGGGGGAAGACTGATTTGCGTTTTTTGGAACTGACTGAAAGCTGTGCACGGAGAGTTGTGATGTACCGAATCCCCCCACTCCCCAGAATAATCCCTTGTAATTTGCTTCTCAGGAATCTCCTCCCTGAGATAACGGGAATGTGTGCGTGTCTTGTGACTCCTTCAACTGCGATGTAGTTGAGAGGGAACGTGTCTGTGGTTGTAAAGTAAATATCGCTTTACAGCTCACCTGAGCCTCTGCCCCAACCCGTCTTCACTAGAATCTCGTACTTGTAGTATCCATCTATCCCACAGAATGGGATGAATCCGACCCATTTAATGTCTATCTGGTCCAGCTTCCGGACAATGAAAGCCGAGACAGCGTAGATGACAAAGCAGACACTGCACGTGATCAGCACCACGTAATTCCTAACCACAGTGGATGTCGGCTGATCAGAAACGCCGGATGTGTGTGGGGGGGTGGGGGGGGGGGAAGGAAACACAGATTGTTAGTGTTGCTGACCTAGCAAAGCTCTTCATTAACTATCGTCCACAAATGGTCAATTCACTTTACAGTATATTCTGTGAAGCGCTTTGAGACATCTCGAAGACGTGATAAGGCGCTGTATCAAATGCAAGGATTATTATTATTATTCAAACAATATGTTACCTGATCCTTCAGTTGACATATTAAACTGAGATCTGTTTAGGTTGGGTGTTAAAGAACCCACCAAACTACTGGGAAAAAGAAGTCCGTTTCTCCTGTTTTCTGGCCAACAATTCTCCAGGTAATTTTGTCACTCATCTCTGTTTATGAAACCTTGCTGTGCGCACAAATTGCTATGTTTGCCTACAAATACACATTTACTACTCTTTACAGCAATTACCAGATTTACAGCAATTTGCGCTTTGAGATGCTTCAACCTGAAGGCGCTCTATCACTTGGAGTTTGGTCTGGGAAGGAGAAACATGGGTGTAATTCATTGCATTATTATAGATCTGGTGGTGAATTGAAATGTAAAATAACTCAGCCAATGATGTGAAACATTGGTGGGCTTTGCCTTTTATAAATGCTGACAGTAATATTGGGGCTGTGATGGAAAGCAGCAACTCCCTCACTTTTAATGATTCTCAGAAGAAAACTGGTGGGATTAGCAGCATGGAATGGGCCATGAATCGGTGAATTCATTAATCCTCCATACTGGCTCAAAACCCATTGCTTGGGAGCAATGTGCAGCAGCCTGACAAATGGGATGCTGACTAGGCCAGGGAGGGGATGCGAGGGCAGAGAGGTGGAAATCAAGTTTATAGTCAAAAAGCTCCCAACAAATGACATAAAATCAAATCTACCACAAAGCAACACAAAGCCGAGAGATTATTTTTATGTATATATATATATAAAAGGGGAACAAAGAGAGCTACAAATACAACAGCTCCATGTAAACATTCAGTTGCACATGGAAACCATTTGCTATGGTTTATCGCACTTTGTGACCCGATCTTGGTTATCTGACTTCCATGCCTCATAAACACACGTCTTTGGCAGGTGAATGATTTCTCACTGACCCCTCTTCTCCTCTCACCCTCCTCCACAACACCCTCTCCTCCACACTCGATACTCTTGCCCCCATCACCTCCCGTATTGTCTCCTACTCTCGCTCCTCCCCCTGGTTCACCACCCACCTCCGCTCACTGAAGAGCCAGGTGCGGGCCGCTGAACGCACCTGCGTCAAATCTGGCTGGACCTCCTCAAAATCTACCGCTCCACTCTAGCCTCGGCCAAATCGTCCTTCTACTCCAGGATAATCCTGGAGGCGAAGAACAACCCCAGGCTACTGTTTTCTACCACATCCCAACTCCTCCGTCCCCCCCGCCACCCCGCGCAGGTCATCTCCTCCAACCTTCACTGCGAGGAGATGCTGGATTTCCTTGAATCCAAAATCAAGGGAATTCGCTCCGCGGTCACTTCCCCTCCAACATCCACCCACCCCCCACCCCTCCCTCCCACACTCCGACTCCTACCCATCCTCCCCTACACACCTTCGTACCCGTTTCCCCACCCTCTGTCACCAAACTCATCCTATCCCTGAAACCCACCACCTGCTCCCTTGACCCCATCCCCACTCCACTCCTTATCTCCCAGCTCCACCTCCTTGCCCCACATATCAGACATCGTTAACCTGTCCCTCTTCTGTGGCTCTGTTCCCATTCCCTTAAAAACTGCCACCATCACTCCCACCTTGAAAAAACCCTCCCTTGATGCGTCGCAGCTATCAAGCTACCGGCCCATCTCCAACCTCCCCTTCCTGTCCAAGGTCCTGGAACGAGTTGTGGCCTCCCAACTGCGCTCTTTCCTCTCCAACCATTCCTTATTTGAACCCCTTCAGTCGGGTTTCCGTGCTGCCCATAGCACAGAAACTGCCCTGGTCAAGGTCACCAATGACATCCTGACCATCTGTGACCAGGGCTCCCTCTGCCTCCTCGTCCTCCTCGACCTATCGGCAGCATTCGATACGGTCGACCACGCTATCCTCCTCCACCGCTTGTCCTCCCACCTCAACCTTCAAGGCCCTGTCCTTGAGTGGTTTAGGTCGTACCTCTCCCACCGTCTTCACTTTGTTTCCACGAATGGCTTTTCCTCCACCCCCCGCACTGTCTCGTGCGGTGTCCCTCAGGGCTCTGTCCTCGGTCCCCTCCTCTTCACCCTCTATATGCTCCCCCTCGGTGACATCATCCGCAGACATGGGGTTAACTTCCACATGTATGCGGATGACACCCAACTCTACCTTTCCTCCTCTACCCTCAACTCCACGACCCCCGATGTCCTGACAGCTGCCTGTCCGACATCGAGTCCTGGACGAGAGACAACTTTCTTCAGCTCAACGTGCACAAAACTGAGGCCCTCCTGATTGGCTCACGTCAGCGCCTCCGCACCTCAGGCGCTGACAGCATCAGCATCCAAGGCCGCACTCTCCACCTCTCAAAGCCATCAGGAACCTCGGGGTTCTGTTCAACCCTGAGCTGTCCTTTCTCCCTCATATCCGCGCCACAACTGGCACTGCCTTCCATCACCTCCGGAACATCGCCAGACTACGGCACTACCTCACCCCTCACGCGGCTGAAACTCTGGTCCACACCTTTATCACCTCAAGGCTGGACTATGGGAACTCTCTCCTCGCCGGCCTTCCCGGCCCTCCCTTCACACTGCAGGTCATTCAGAACTCTGCAGCTCGTGTACTGTCCCGCACCAGACACCGCGACCACATCACTCCCACCCTCGCCCTCGCTCGCCTCCACTGGCTCCCCATCCCCTAGAGGATTGAATTCAAGATCCTCATCCTCACCTACAAGGCCATTCACGGCCTCGCTCCCTCCTACCTCTCTGACCTACTATCCCCCTACCTACCTGCCCGTACCCTCCGTTCCTCTGGCTCCGGTCTGCTCCACATCCCCCGCCCCAACCGCCCTACCATCGGTGGCCGGGCCTTCAGCCTCTCAGCCCCGAGGCTCTGGAACTCTATCCCCAGTGCCTTCGCCGCTTCCTCCCTCTCCTCCTTCAAGGCCGGTCTCAAGACCTTTTTCTTTGACTGTGCCTTCAGCTCCCCTCTCGACTTTCTACCCCCTCCTCGCTCCCTCCCTTCCCTCCCCATTTCCCCCCAATGCTCGGGTCCTGACCCAACTGTACAGCCCCTTGGGACGTCCTCCCAATGTGAAAGGCGCTCTATAAATGGAATCTTGTTGTTGTTGTTGTAAAGGCTGACTGGGGCGATTTGCTGTAAGTAAATTCTTAGAAGTATATTACACGCAATCACTTGCCCAACTACGCACTTCTCAGAGCCAACTTATGTGTACAAACACACACACAAATTGGAGCTCTGCATTTTGGGTGAGACATTCCATTTCAGAAGTCCCGTCTACCTGTTTAGGAGGATGTTAAAGATCACGTGATACTACTTGAAAAGAGGAGTTTCAGATTAATTGGCCATTTTGCTTCCTGGCTGCTTTGTGAAACATTGCTGTGTGCAAATTGACTGCCGCCTTTGCCTACAAAATACTGCGATTAGACTTTACATCAACTACCTGCGAAGCAGTGAGACATTTTTCCGCTGTCTGTGTTGTATCAAATACAAGTCTTCGTAGTATTATCATTACTGTGTATGTATAGTTTTCTGCAAACAGCAAGTGAAATACTTACAGGATTTATAAACACGACGGAATTAGGTGGCACAAAGAGGCTGGCTCCGAAAGCAGTCAGGTGCTGGGTTAGGCAGGTAGCAGTGTCTGGGGTGGTATCTTCGAGCGGCACAATACCATCTGTCTGCCAGCTCATGGTGGTCGTGTTGAAGTACTGGCAAAGGGACGTGTAGACCCCAACAGCAGCTCGCACCGAGGAGCTATAATAGTTTGTGATATTCAAATAATACTCTTTGGTCGTGTCATCAACACTATTTGAGAAGAGCAGAAGCAGGAATAAGGGAATGTGGTTTCGAATTAGGATCATAATGATTCAGATATAACTGCGCATTAGGTTAGGGTTTACGGTCACCTCCCCTCTCCCTCTGGCAGGGGGGTCAGACTCCGCCACTGACAAGTGCTCCGGGACACTACCCTACGTGGAGAGCAATATATAAATGCAAGTTGTTGTTATTGTTTCATTGAACAGCTTGCCAACAACCTTTTGTGTCTAATTTCAACCCAATTCCAGAAATGGCCAGAAACCTAACACGTTCCCTTTGCCATCAAGAGGCAAAGAGTCAACCTGGCATCAGTTGGTAGCGTTCTTGTCTCTGAGTCAGAGAGTTTTGGAGTTCAAGTTTAGGCTGACACTCCAATGCAGTGCTCAGGGAGAGAACTGCATTGTCAGAGGTACCATACTTCGGGTGACACATTAAACTGAGCTCCTGTCCTGCCGACTGAGGTAAATGTTAAAGATCCCACAACACCACTTGAAAAGAGAAGGGAGTTTCTCTTTGTCCTGGCCAGCAATCACCCAGATATAATTGGTTATTCATTCATGGATGTTCATGGGATCTGTTGTGCGCAAATTGGCTGTTGCGTTCACCTTCAAGATACACTCACAACACTTTACTGTGAAGTGCTTTTAGACATCCTTCCAATGTGGAGGCTGGAAAATCAAACGCAGAATTAATTAATTTCTTCACAAGCTTTGGTCGGTTCTGGTCGTTGCAGCTCTCCATTGTCTGGCAGGGGTGGCACTGGTGCAGGAGGCCCCATTTGAAGTTCCAGCTAAGTACCAGCAAAGTCTGCCCATTGAGGGCAGCTTCATTCAGATGACCAATGTGGCTGTGATTCAGACTCTTCATGTTCTTTCGGCTGTTGTTGGGAAGCCAGACTCCTTCATGCAACACAGTAAGAGGCTGGAAGTGACTATGAAGCTTAATAAAAGTATAATTAAAAAGGTGCTTACTCAGGAGACAGGAAAAAGGTGTACAGCTTGTGATCGGACCCTCTCACTGACTCCAAATCGATCCGCTTTTTGGTTTTGAAGTTGGACTCGTTTGGATTTGTTGAATTGTGGAGTAGGACATGAATGAAGGAATTGGCTTCCCTTAAACTGAGTGTTTCTGAAGCAAAATCAAAATTAACAATTAAAATTAGAAAGAACCTCAATTTAGTCAGACTCATTAATATTTTAGTAATAATTAAATCTTAATTTAGAGCTTAATTTCTCAATCCCATTTAGAACCCTATGTAACTCTATAAGGTCTCTGTGACATCTCTTTTCATAGAATCATAGAATCAAACAGCACAGAAAGAGGCCATTCAGCCCATCGGGAGAATAACAACAACACAAAATTACATGTGTATAGCGCCTTTCACGTCGGGAGGACATCCCAAGGCACTGGACAGACAGAGTTTCAGACCCGAGTTGAGGATCGGGGGAGGTTGGAGGGCGGGGGGGGGGATGCAGAGAGATCGAAAGCACATTCGAAGAGGAGGGTCTTGAGGTGGGTCTTGAAAGTGGCGAGGGAGGGGGCGAGACGGAGGGACTGCGAGATGGAGTCCCAGAGGGTGGGGCAGAGTGGCAGAAGGCCTGCCCAGCGATAGTGGGGTGAGCGAGGCGGGGGACGTGAAGCAGGCCAGAGTACACTGAGCGAAGGGAGTGAACAGGATGGTAGGGGGTTAGGAGGTCGGCAAGATAGGGGGGAGGAAGACCATGGAGGGCTTTGAAGTGAGGACCAGGATCTTGAACTGGATCCTCTGTGTGATGGGAAGCCAGTGGAGTTGGGCGAGGATGGGGGGGATAGGGTCACGGAGCCTGGTGCGGGAGAGGATACGGGCTGCAGAGTTCTGGATGATCTGCAGCCTGTGGAGGGAGGAGTTGGGGAGGCCGAGAAGCAATGAGTTTGCATAGTCGAGCCTTGATGTAGTTAAGGCGTGTATGAATAATAATAATAATAATCCTAGTTTTGCTAACCTCTCCTCATAACTAAGGTCCTTCATTCCTGGTACCATCCTGGTAAACCTCCTTTGCACCCTCCCCAATGTCCTAACATCTTTCCTAAATTGCGGTGCCCAGAACTGAACGCAGTCTCCAACTGAGGCCTAACCAGCATTTTATATTCAACATAACCTCCTGACTTTTGTATTCTATGCCCCTGTTTATAAAGCCTAGTATCCCGGATGCCTTTTTAACAGCTGTATCTACCTGTCCGGCCACCTTCAGAGATTTGCTGATCTGGACCCTCAGGTCTCTCTGTTCATTTGCCCTCTTTAAGATTGTACCATCAGCTTACACTGCCTCTCCTCAGTCTTCCTACCAAAATGCAACACTTTGCATTTCTCCACATTAAACCTCATCTGCCACATTGCTGCCCATTTTACTAATCTGTCTAAGCCCTCTTGGAGTCTGGTGCTATCCTCCTCACCATTAACTACTTTTCCTGGCTTAGTGTTGTCTGCAAATTTGGAAACTGTGCTCCCTATATCCAGGTCAGGATCATTAATATAGATCAGAAAGAGCAGCGGTCCCAATACCGACCCCTGAGGGACACCACTACATACCTCCCCCAATCAGAAAAGCAACCGTTTACTACCACTCTGCTTTCTATCTCCTCGCCAGTTCTGGATCCATGTTGCCACAGTCCCTTTAATACTGTGGGCTTCTATTTTGTTTATAAGTGCAGGCTCTTGAGGGTTTTGTCTCTCCTTTACAAGTTCTCACCTGCACCGAATTCCCACTCTCACTTAATTCCCAAATAGAATTCTTACTCTGTTCCTCCTCATTCCGTTCCCTTCTCACGCTCCTGGGCTCTCTGAATGAAGCTGACACTTGAGTGGCTTTTCAAGGCTGAGAATCCCTAACCTATCTAATCATTGCTGATAGTTCATCCCACTATCACTGTGTTGCTTCCCACACTGCACGTGTCTATTTTGCAGTATGTCCTCCAATTTTGAGCCATTTGCTCAGTTTCCTGCTTAACAAACTAATACACACCGTTCAAAAGCGTATATGTGACCTGAATGTGCAGCCCAGCCTCCTTGTTCAAATTCCCAGAGGTGATGTTGACGGTGACTGAACTCCTTCCGTTGATCACGGTGGTATTAACGGTGGTGTTTCTCACTCCGACTCGAGTGGACACCTTGACAGTGACGGCTCTGTCGAGGTTCAGGTTCTCGATGGGGATGTGTGTGCCATTGTCCGTTCTGAACTCAATCGAAGCCACTTTGCTGGAGACAGTGTAGTTCTCAATGTAGCCGTATGGAAAGGGGTTGGAGTCCACGAGGAACAGGACCTGGGTCACGTCACTGATGTTGGTAAACACGCGGCTGAAGGAGTGAGGGATGGAAAACTGGCAACTTGAATTCTTGTCAAAGCAGAGCAGATTATACCGGTCTGCGCGTTTGCCATCTGCAACCATCTTGTTTCCACGCACACTCAGAGGCTCTTCATTCAGGACTCGCGTGTCCATAAGAACTTGCATTAACTTAACAGATAGATTATAAGCCTCTGTGGCCATCAGCTCTGGGCTGCAAGTGGAATTATCACTGGACTTGTTGGTCGTACACGGAACTTGCTGGTTCGTTATGTCGATGAGACCTCCTGCAGAACAAATCGGGGAGGGAAAAATAACCGGAATGTTTCACATTCCAAATCGGATGTCAGGGAAAGAAAGGAGTAATGCATTTCTTAATGACAGCATTTCCTAGTTTTGTTAATAGTTTTGTTAATGTGCTTGTAGGTTCAAATTGGTGCATGCTTTTAAAAAAAGCAGAATGCTTTATGTGACGTATAAACTGGTCTTCATTACAAGATTCTGGGGACAGAATGAATCCTGAGATTCTCAGACCAATTGATAGCTTATATAAAGCCACTGACACCATAACTGAATAATAAAACCAGCAGTAAAGAGTTTTTACATTCAGGACTGAGACAATGGTTGACTTATAAGCAGACGACCACTGTTCTTGAGATTGGGAACAAATTGGAAACATTATATTCTGTGAAGTGCTTTGCGATGTCTCAACAACGTGATAAGACGCTATATGAAATGCAAGGATTATTATAAATAGATACTGTAAAAATTGAGAGTGAAATTGGTTAAGTCTGCCCTCACCTGCAGTAACCAGTATATTATCTGCTATGGAAGTTGGTGTCATTTTTCCCTGTCCAGTTTCTTTCTGAAGGACCGATATCATGTTGTCTACAGCAAACAAGGTCTGTTTCTGACACTCACGACAAATAAACTCTCTGCTGATTACCTGGAAACAAGAACAATGAGCAATAACGGACTGACAAAGTGCCATCAACCCTCTTCCCTGAATAGACCCGAAATTCCTCCATGTCTACAGCCTGTAGATAATTGTGCAAAAAATTCTTCAATTCAATCGTAATTTGGATGCCCCTTCCTTTTTAAGAACTGTAGAAATCCAGCTTTCAAACTGAATCCAATTTTAAGAATTTTCCACTATTCTTAAATAACACAATTACATTTTAAGATAAAATGGTCTGACAGAATTCCAGGCTGCTCTGCTTGTTTTACTTCGTGCTTAAACTGTTGTATCACTTGTAGAGAGGTCATGCAGGGCTGCTCACTGTGACCCAAACGTAAATCCTATAGAGCTTACATAAGCGCTCCAACACGTATGAAGGGTATTCTCTATGCACAGACATTCTCTACTGGTCAATTGCCGCTAGGTGGCAATCTTGCGCATGATCAAAACGACAAGAGGCAGGAGCTACAGAACTACGTAGTCCATTTGAAATGGAAGCCAGATGCACAAATTATTTCATGCATCTTGAAACAAAAATGTAAACATTATTGTTTAAACTACGGTGAATATCGCTCCTTCCTCTTGTTTGGGACGTCCTCTCGACATGAAAGGGCTTTACAAACGTAATTTTGCTTTGTTTATTGAGCACACGCTTGATGACACCTTATCGACGATCGACTGCTGTGCTTGATTGCTCTGGATTGGGTTATTCCAGCAGAACCGCTCTTACCGTGCACTGTGCTAATGCAGCAGAGATTTGCTGGGTGTCATCGACAGTGGTGACCTTTAAAGAGGTCAGGGCCAGGGTGATGTTACTACGGATATCAATCCTGGTGCCAGCATCGTCTCCCCATTCTGTTTCAGGTTTTCTCAATTCTGTTTCGGAATTTCTGATCCTCTCGTACTGCTGAGGGAACAAGGTCAAAACGTAATTTAAAAATGACAAACTTCTTTCAAGCCTTTATATTTTAAAATTGAGTGTCATCATGGTAAATAATCCTTGATTTGATATAGTGCCTTATTGAAATGTCTCAAAGGGCTTCACAGGATATACTGTAAAGTGGATTGACTGTGTATTCAGTGGGTGAAATGCAGCAGCCAATTGCACAAGCAATACGCTACAGCTTCATCCAGGCATGGAGTGAGTGACCAATTTTATCTCGGGGATTGTTAGCCAGGATACCGAGAGAAACTCATTCCTCTTTTCAAATAATGCCACGGGATCTTTAACATCCACCTGAACAAGTAGACAGGACCTCGGTTTAACGTCTCATCTGAAGAACGTCTCATCTTAGCTCAGCGGATACACTCTGACCTCAGGGTTGGAAGATAAAGAGTTCAAACCCCACATTAGGGTCTTTGAGCACATAGGCTAGGCTGACACCAATAAATAAAAAATGGTTTTCTTTCTGTGTAAAATGTTGTGCAGCAGAGGAATTATCACTGGCACAATGGCTGTGTAGCCTCATGTAAACTGCTATACAAGCCCAGCCCTTGTTCCCAGGGAACTGTACTCTACCTCGTTGAGCACTGTGATGAGAGCGAGGGCGTATTCGATGGTGGGCTGGGGATCTCCCTGCTTCAGGAGGTCCTGCAACTTGGTCTCCGTCTCCAGCTTCATCCAGTCAGTCAGAGTCTGAAATCCTTCTGGAGTATCTGTTATATTGATAACCACAGATCTGTGGGGAACAATGGAGGTTGTCGTCAAGTCCCTTTATAAAGTAATATTTTAAAGGGTTAAATGATGAGGACAGGTTTCATAAACTTGGTCTCTATTCCCTTGAGTTAACATAAGAACATAAGAAATGCTGGACTAAAAAAGACCAAGGTCCATCTAGTTCACCTTCCACCTTCCTGGCGGTCGCATGTCCTGAACTACCTATGTACTGTATCCCATAATGTTATTTCCTAAAAGAAAACTATCTAACCCGCGTTTGAAAGAATTAACACTGCCTTCTTCAACTGTCTCCATAGGGAACCTGTTCCACAGGTTCACTATTTGCTCACTGAAATAGTGTTTACACAGAATATGTGCATAGATTCATTCTGAATTTACCCCCTTCAATTTCAGGCCGTGTCCTCTGGTTTTACTATTCTGGACAAGTTGAAACAGCCTGTCATGACCTATATTGTTTTGCCCCTTTAGAATCTTAAAGACAGCAATCATGTCACCTCTCAATCTTCCCTTTTCCAGCGTGAACATACCCGATTTACTCAGTCCCTCCCCATAGTCCAGTCCTTCCATTCCCTCAATCGTTTTGGTTGCCCTCCTCTGTATCTTCTCGATTTCTCCAATATCCTTTTTTGTACTGCGGCGACCAGAACTGTACAGTACTCTAAGTATGGTTTATACGATTTATACAGTGGCAGGATGACCCCACTATTTCGGCTGCTATTGATTTTTTGATAAATCCCAATATCTGGTTTGCTTTATTCACTGCCACAAAACATTGTTGGAAGAGCTTCAATGTATTACCAATCAGGACCCCCAGTCCTATTCTTTTTCCATACATATTATTTTCCTTCTGTTCAAATAATAGTCCCTTCCAGGATTTTTTGTCCCCATGTGAAGTACTTTACATTTCTCTACATTGAATTTTATCTGCCACTGATCTGCCCAATTCCCAAGTATGTTCAAATCCTTCTGTAACCGATCTTGTTCAGCTTCACAATCTACCACCTTCATTAGCTTGGTGTCATCTGCAAACTTAGCCACTGTGCTAGTTCCAGATCATTTATAAAAATATTAAACAAAAGAGATCCCAACACAGACCCTTGTGGAACTCCATTGGTAACATTTTCCTAGTCTGATGACATTCCCTGTTCCACCACCCTCCGTGTTCTTCCTGTCAACCAATTGCGTATCCAATTTAGGATGTCAATTCAGCACAACAAGGATATGAGAATGAATGCCTGAATGAATTATGACAGAGTGGAGGGCACTGAGTGGCCATAATAGGATTGATATAGGTATATATTGTGGGGCTATAAGTGCATATTGCCCACAAAACACAGTCACTACACTCCTGTGAAGCGCTTTAAGACATCTCGAAGACGTGATAAGGCGCTGTATCAAATGCAAGGATTATTATTATTATTGCGAGGTTGGATATTATTATTATAGGAGTGGGGGAGAATTCTCCATTGAGGAGAGTGGACTTGATTGACCTCCAGACCTTTTTTCTCGCTCTTTCCATCTACATACCTATGAAGTGAGAAAAAATCTATGAGGCTCAATCCAATCTGTTTTAAAACTATGCTTAATTCTTGACATAAGGAGATTTTGCATCTCGCATTCAGCAAGACTCCCCAGCATCTCTCTGACCTTCTCACCAACGCAATTGTAGCTTGTTTCCATTGCTCCAACAGTCAGAAACCATCAAGTTCCTGTCTACGATGGCTGTGCAAGTACTTATACACCCATATTCTATTCCAGTACTTTCATCTATATATATTTTCTTGATGCCATTGTGCAATCTGTGATTAAGGTGTTGCAATTCTGTTATAAATAAGAATCCTTGCATTTGATATAGAGCCTTTCATGTTTGGAGGATGTCTCAAAGTACTTCACAGATTTACTGTAATGTGTAGTCACTGTGTATTTTGTAGGCGAACAGATGTTCCAATAAAAGTGATGTATGTTTTCATTAGTTCCATTACTAAAGGCACTGCCTAGAGTGAAACTCATCCATGTGGATCAGAAAGGTCCCAGGTTTATGCTACAGAAAAACAGGAATGGGAAGAGGCCATTCAGCCACCAAGCCTGTTCCACCGGTTTATTGGATTTTGTCAAGATTTTCTTAATCCCAATGTCCTTTTGGCATAACTCTTAATCCCTTGACTACTTCTGTCTTTCTCTCTTTTAAATATCGCTATTAATTAACTAACCCTCTACAGCTTTCTGGAGCAGAGGGTTCCACACCCTCATAACCCTTCCCGACCTCAGTTCTAACTGCCTTTGTTCAGATTTGAAGACACTGCCCATTTGTGATAGAACCCTCTACTAAGGGGAACAATCAGGTCTGTCTAATCTGCCAACTCCTTTCAGTATTTTAAATATCTCGATCAAATCACCCTTTAATTTCCTCCTCTATGGTGGCACCATTTTGCCAAGGATACTTAGTTCAGACTTGGCAAAGAGAAAGGAAAATTCAGCTCGGAGTTTCTGTTCCTGATCGCTATCAAGGGACATTTGCTGGAAAGTGTTTGGTGAGTTAAGAGAGCTTCCCATTTTCCCCTCAGCACACTCTTCAGCGTCAGTGTCTGGGATACACAAGGAGAATCATATTGCTTCTAGCAGTAGAAATGAGGCATTAAACTCATTGCCACAATTTCTATCCTGAAATAATGTTAATATCAGAAATCAAAAGCACAGGCTGCTTATTAATCATAAATCAAAAGCTGGGATTGTTCAGCACAGTTTTGCTTTGGCTCTTGAGGCAAATTCGATGTATGAATGAAAAAGGTTGTCTCCAATGAAAATAAAGGTTAAATCTCTGCTGAAACCAGAAACACTTTCAAATCATTTTAAGACTTCTCAGAAGGCGCCAATGTAATAAAATAAATGCCATGTGACCAGACGGAAGACCACGCACACTCACTTGTTAATGGCCACAGCAGCAGCCCCTTGCTGGGTTTCCACAATGACAGCAATGTAGGCGATGAAGTGGTTTGACCTGAAACCAGGGGGAAGGACGGCAGAGTATTCTGACCGGCTTCCCCTGTAGACGTAGAACTCATTGCACTGATTGCCACCAGATTTACAGCGAGTGAGGATGAAACTGTATACCAGGGGAGCTCCAGTGTCATTTGTGTCCTTCCAACCTGTAACAGAGAAAAGCAGAACCAGTGAACAGCAAGAGGTGTGGAGGGTTGTAAAACCGGTGACTAGATTGTGAGGGGTATTGTGCTCATGTGGAAACCCAGCCATCCACAGTGTATAAAACCGTTTTCCTTTTATACACAGTGGATAGCTGCTCTATGCAATAAAACCCTCCTTCAAATGCGCCGATATACTTTGTGGTGCTTTTATACTCCCTAGTAAGCTATAGAGAAGTTTGAGTGTACAGCACTGTATGAACTGCTAATACCAATAGGCTTTACTTGTGATGAGCTGCATGCTCTCTTAGAGTGGTGACTAAACCAAATCATGGGATTGAGTCTTGAGTTAGTGAATGGTTTAAGAGGAGAAGTCCAGGTGACTGTTCCTGTTCATGGCTTTGAGATGGCATGCCTGTGTGATGTATGCAAAGTAAAACCAAATGGGTAAAATGTAAATGATGAGGGTTGTCGTGGTGACACAATTGCAACCCTCCCTACTACTTGATAAGTATGGGATGTACTTCTGTTACTATGGAAACCTTGGTGTGTAGAAATTCCACCCGGGCCTCTATTTACATTGTTAACATAACATTTCAGAGCGTTCAGAATTTGTCAAATTCTTAAATACCATCAGTTTTAGGGAAGCTGCTGTACAAACGCTAGTTATTATAATAATAGTAAACCTTGGATTTGATATAGCTCCTTATCACGTTGTTGATACATCTCAAAACACGTAATAATAATAATAATAATAATCCTTGCATTTGATATAGCGCTATTCACGTCGGGAGGACGTCCCAAAGCGCTTCACAGAACACACTGTAAAGTGAATTGACTGTATATTTGTGGGCGAACGCGGCAGCCAATAGCGCACAGCAATGTCCCACAAACAGTTGTGGATTATTGACGTTGTTGAGAACTACCATTGGAAATAGAAATTAAGTCTGAATTGAACAATTTGCTAAATTCTGCGCGTTCTAAAACAGTGTACAAGTCTCAACTTCGGTAGAATTTTTACCCCGTGTGGGAGCAAACCTAGAGGGTAGGGATGTAGTTTTTTTAAAAAAGAACTCAAAGGGTCACTCTGGACAAGAATAGCAAGTTATATACTAAACAGGGTTAATGTGAGGCAAAATTAGTTACGTCTGGTTGCTGATGTTTAATTGAGGGTTAGAAACTGCGGTGCCTTGTGTTGGTCTCTAAACCTAAGACCGTGTCACATCTTCTTTGTGCCCAGGATGGAACTTTGAACCTGTTCCTTTTGTTGAAGGGAACCTTCTCTTGCAAGTAACATTTCCCTTGTTTGTATTAACATAAGCAGACATGAGTGAACATCATTGCCCCAGTCACGCACATTTCCTGGTTCCAGCAACCTCTGCTGGACAACAGGAAATGGACAACAGGAAATGACTTTAATTTGAGTGTAATTATGCCATTAGCAAACAAAGCAGATGTGAAAACACTCTGATGTCGTGTGGATTGCTGGGCTTACCAGTACATGTGAAAGTTACACTAGTTGTCAAAGCACTGATGTTTTCTGTTGGGTAAATCTGGCAGTTTCCACTGGAAGGGGGATACATTGGAGGGATATATATGGATGCAAATCCCACATTCTCCATCAGTGGATCTATAACGTTCAGACTAAATGTGTATCCAACTCCATCCTGTAAAACTCTGTGTCGCACTACCAAGTTCATTTCAGTGCTGCCAGTGGTTGTCGTGGTACTGTTCAAAACCAGGGGAATCTTGTTAAACGTTTCTGCTTCCCACTGTTGGATGGGAAATAATGGTGTCAGACTGAAGTATAAGTAAACAAGTATGTAAGATGCTTAATGGACAAAATGCTTTTGAGACATTTTCACATGTGCAAGATACTACATAAATTCAAGTTGAAAGCATCAGATACTTGAAGACAATATTACAAGAATCACGGGTTCAAGGCTGGAAAAGCTAATTTTGGAACTGACATCACGAAGTACTTTGTTACAATGGAGGTTACTAAACATCTGGAATGTGTTGTCAGGAAGGCTGAGGCCAGGGTGCTGGATTTGGTGCTGTAATGGGAAGGTGGGATTGGTATTCTGGAAGGATGAGATGAAGTGAGCCAAATAGCTCTGTTCATCTGAATCTCTGTTACATATCTAAGTGGCCAGCAGATGGTGAAAGTTGCAAAGGGATAGAAAGAACTAAAATGTCTCTGATCATAATATTGATCGTCTACCTCTGAAGCACAGTCGCTAAGTTATGATCCATCATATTCATAAAATATAACAAATAAGATCTGGATGCTCTAATAGACAAGTCAGACCTGTTGTAAGTGAGAACTGTTCGGGTCAGCCTTTTCTTACCGCGTATTGAGAACTCCAGTGACAGTTGCTACAGCTTCCAGATAGAATAATGTGCGAGCTTCTGCTCACTCCATGGACGGACTGTGCTTTGCATGATATGCACTCCAGTGACACGAGTGGAGATGTTCCGTTTTTCATGGAGATCTAACAATGAAATAAAAAGTAGCCAGTGAAAGAAAGGCTCGAAAGTTAAATGTGTTAGAATAATAATCCGAGGAAATAAGGAATTTGGCTTTTCCTCGATGGCCGAGTGGGTTTATTCAATGTGGAGCAGTACCAAATTAACCATGAAGGTTAATCACTGTTCAGTGCAGTTAGCTTATCTGAGCTGTGGTGGCATTGGAGGAGCTAGAATCTCCTTCAAAGCCCTCAATGGCATTGCTCCTTCCTACCTCTGTGACCTGCTAACATCATATCAACCCTCTGCTCAGCAGGCTCCAACCTGTTCCTGTCCCCCGCCCGGCCCACCCCACCATCAGCAGTCAGAACTTCAGCTTCTCTGCCTGGACCCTTTAGAACTCCATCCCATAGACCCTTCGCCTTGTTCCCTCTTTGGCTCCTTCACGGCACATCTCAAGACTCTTCTCTTAGACCGCATCTTTGGGACAGTATGGAATTAGGACATTCGGTCCAATTAGTCTATGCTGGTGCTTCACTTCACAGAAGCCTCTTCCCCTCCTATATGGCTCCATTCCCCCCTCCCCCATGTATTCATTAAGTTTTCTCTGAAGCACACTGACACTTTCCACATTCTTGCCATCCTCTGTGTGAAGACAATAGTTTTGAATCCCACCAAATGACAGTTGCCTCTTTCAAAACTATTAACGTACCAGCAGAAATCTGTACAGTTTCATTTCCTATCCACGGGGCTAATTTGCCAGTTAAACCTGGTTGTACGGTGTATGTGCTCAATTTTGCCCGCTTAGTGTTATGACATTAATGTCTAAATTGGTAAGCGTTGCACTACTTACCAATTTAGACATTAATGTCATAAAGCTAGTTTGTCGCAGCAAGGAAACATTTTGCAAATATGACAATTCACGGCACAATCACTTACAATTTGTTCGACTGACTGGGGTTCCCGGTTGGGTTTGCTGACAGTGAGATGACATGTGTACTTTGTATCCTCCAGTCTGTGACTGGGGATGTAAAAAACAGCTCCATTCCCGGATATGTTACATTTAGACGGCTCCTAAAAGAGAGAAAGGAGGGAGGAAGAGTTACCACCACAGCTTTCACTGAGATATTAAGATGCCAATTTGCATTAATATGCACTGAGATGCCAATTTGCAATACATTAAAGGAAACGACAAAAATGTTAGGGATTAAAAGATCGGCCAACATGTAATAAATTGTTGGAACAGGCTCTATGGACTGATTAGCCTCCACCTGTTCCTGTTTTCCTTTACACTAACACACTAAGATACCTTGTTCACCATGCCCTCTCCTCTTCTGAAGGTGCTGACAGTTCATTCAGTGATTGCAGCCAACCCCTACTACTTTGCGCAAGCGTGAGTTCAGACGGTGACTGCCCACAAGCTATTGATCCCACGGGAGACATCCCAACTGAGCCTGACCCAGTCATTGCTTGATGTCCACAGTGGCTCACGTTCCAGCAGAGGTCACTGGATAGTGATTGAGGACAGAAATTCTGGCTGGACTTGCCCCACCCTAAAGTGTTGAATTTCACCAGCCAAGCCCCGGAGCCTGTTACTCTCTTCAGCTTTTCTCTATTGGGTGTTGCAAATGACTGTAAGTGAATGAATAATAGAAGTGATGACATTAAAGACATGGGGAACTATAGACCAGTTAGTCTGACTTCAGTGAGGGAAAATTCTTGAGTCCTTAATTAAAGATGTCGTTATGGGATTCCTGGAAGACCATAACAAGATTAGGCAGAGCCAACATGGCTTTACAAAAGGGAAGTCATGCTTAACTAATCTTTTTTTTTGAAGATGTATCTGCAGGTTAGAGAGGGGGGAACCAGTAGATGTAGTATATTTAGATTTTAAGAAGGCATTTGACAAAGTGCCACACAAAAGGCTATTGCACAAGGTTAAGGCCCACGGGATTAATGGGAACATATTAGCACGGATTGAAGAGTGGCTAACGGGTAGAAAACAGAGAGTAAGGATAAACGGGTCATTCTCGAATTGGTAGGATGTGACTAGTGGAGTGCCACAAGGATCAGTGCTTGGGCCTCAGCTATTTACAATTTACATCAATGATCCAGACGAGGACATTGAATGTAACGTATCTAAATTTGCGGATGACACTAAACTCGGTGGGAGAGTAAGCTCTGAGGATGATGCAAAAAGATTGCAAAGGGATACAGATAGGCGAGGGGAGTGGGCGAGTAGGTGGCAGATGGAATTTAATGTGCGGAAGTGTGAAGTTATTCACCAAAGTAGAAAAAATAGAAAAACAGATTATTTTCTAGAGGGGGAGAGATTAGATAGTGTTAGTGTTCAGAGGGATTTGGGTGTCCTCGTACACCAGTCTCAAAAAGTTAGTTTGCAGGTGCAGCAGCAACTAAGAGAGCAAACGTTAGCGTTCATTGCAAAAGGTTTAGAGTGCAAGAGTAGGGAAGTCTTGCTGCAACTGTATAGGGCTTTGGTGAGACCGCACTGAGAGTATTGTGTGCAGTTTTGGTCTCCTTATTTAAAAAAGGACACACTTGCCCTCGAGGGGGTGCAGCGTAGATTCACTCGGTTAGTTCCTGGGATGAGGGGACTGACCTATGAGGATAGGCTGAATAAACTGGGGCTATATTCTCCAGAGTACAGAAGAATTAGGGGAGATCTCATTGAAACATATAAGATTCTTAAAGGGCTGATAAAGTAGACACTGAGAGTCTGTTTCCCCGGTGGGAGAATCTATAACCAGGGCTCACAGTCTGAAAATTAAGGGTCAGTCTTTTAGAACAGAGTTGAGGAAACATTTCTTCACTCAGAGGGCAGTGAATTTATGGAATTCACTCCCCCAGAAGGCTGTAGCTGTCAGTCCTTGAACATCTTCAAGGCTGAGACTGATAGATTTTTAAAAAACAGAGGCATTAGGGGATATGGGGAGAGGGCGGGTAATTAGAGTTAGGTCTGAAGATCAGCCATGATCTTATCGAATGGCGGGGCACAGGCTCGAGGGGCCAAATGGCCTACTCCTGCTCCTAATTCTTATGTTCTTATGTTCTTATGTTAAAGCTCTCACCTTGATCTGGAATGCACTGCCAGAAAGGGTGGTGGGAGAAGTTTCAATAATAATTTTCAAAAGGGAATAATTTAAAGAAAAAAATTGCAAGGCTATGAGGAAAGAGCAGGGGCGTGGGACTAATTGGATGGCTCTTTCATAAAGCACAGGCACAATGGGCTGAATTGCCTCCTTCTGTTCTGTAGAATTCTATGACTATTATATGTGGTGTCTCACTTTCAAAGCAGAATCTGGTTGGTGGTCAGGTGATAGGGAGAAGGCAAGAATGACGTGGAGGGCGGAAACATCTAAATAATGGAGATGAGGTGGGACAGAATGGCTTGTGATTTATTAAAGACAATAATCATCAAAGGGAGTGAGTAGTGGGCAACACATAACAAAGACAACAAACAACACTTAGCTTTCTGATGCCCTGATACCCACCGTCATCTCCCAATAGATGACACTTTGCGATTAAAACAGAAACTTACCTTCCAAGAACATATGCAAAACCAATTGTAGTTCAGAGGTGTCTGACTCTCAATGGGCTGGTCGAGGTCATAAGACTCGGTGCCGTCCAGGATCAGATCCTGGGTTGGGGACCATGACCGAGCCGTGCCGCCGTCTATGATTGGGACGAGTGGACTCGGGATTAAGGTCACAACGGAGAAGGTGCTCTTGGAGTACGAGGTACCCGAAAAGGAGATGGAGAAATTAACACAGTAGTTGCCAATCTGCAGAGCTTGTCTGGGCAGTAGCAGCTGTGGCCTTGTCAAGTCAACATTTCCAAGTTCAACTTTGTTCACTTGTTGAAAAGTTTCACAGCGCAAAGCCTTATAGATATCCCATAGGTATTCAATCTGATACTCCGCACATCCCTTGAGGTCAATCTCTGCCTCCAAGTAGTTCCTCTCGGCACTTTTCATAGTGTCACTCAAGACCAAGTGTATCTTGGGCGGATCACATTTCAACAGCACAACGATGACTTTGACCTTTGCGATCAAGAAACTCACTGAGTTGGATGCATTAACTTCAACCTCGTACTCTCCAGGACGTGAATATAAGTGGGTTTTAACTGACTCCTTCGTAAAGGCGTCTTGGGAGCCATCTCCAAACTTCCATTCAAAGGAGGCTTGGCTAGAGCTTGGAGTCCGAGAGAGGTTCAGGTAGACGGTTTCTTTCACTACAGCGATTAATGGGATCACTGTAAGGCGAGTGGATAGAATCTTTTCCTGCACCAGAATCACTATCGAAACATTTTCCCTGGATATGTTGTTGAATGCACTCAGAAAAACCTTTAACTGGCCTTGTGCCTTTGGTGTATATGAAACATTCTGCCCATGAAGGGTCTTGTTAAGACCACCCAACTCAAAATCCCAAGTGTACGAGACCTGAGAGCCTTTGGAAAGCACAGCTCCAAAGGTCCTCAAGACCCCAGCAGGAATGGCTTGCACATTTTGGTCTCGTAGCCTTAGACCCGCGATGGGTTCAATGACCTGAATCACGAGGCTGGTCTCTATGCTGCTCACCCTGTTTTCTGCCCGCAGCCTGACAGTGTGAGGCCCAAGCTCTCTGAAGCTGTAGCTGTAGCTTGTGTTGTTTAGCAGCACAGGCAGGCTGTTGCCGAAGCTCAGCGAGAGGATGAGGTCTGTCCCAGAGGAGTACCTGACGGTAAAAATCAGCTCCTCGCGTGGAGCCACCGTCCACTTGGAGGCCTCCAGCTGTAGTCCCCGCACTGTGTCTTGGACAATGAGGCGCTTCACGGCCATGTCACAACTCACGTCATTCGAGGCGTTTAAGCTCACTTCATACACACCAGCTGAAGCGAAGGACAAGGTGATTTCCTGCTGTGTCCTCTCCTCCGTGTTCCACAGCATCCAGATCCAAGAGATATTTGTGCCACTGTGCACACTCCCGCGCAAGATCAACGTGGTGTTGGTCGCCACGTAGCACTGGCTGCTTGGATCTCCCGTGTTGATGGTCAAACCAGTCACCGGCTCTTGGACACGGATGGCTAGTGTCCCGCTGCTGGATCCCAGCTTGTTGGTGACTGTGACGTTAATGTGCTTGAGCCCTGGGCTCTGGAAACGGTGCCTGACAAACGGACGCAGGGTGGGGATGGTGAAATTGCCACCCAACGACCAGACATACGTCACGTTGGTACCAGCATGCAGAGACGCGCTGATGTTGGCGGTTGTGCCCACTGCCACCGGCTCGGGCTCTGCCCTGAGTTCCACGCCATCCACCCGCTCCATCACCAGGACGGAGCGGTTCACGCTGAGCGAGCCCAGCAGGTTGCTGGCCTGCAGCACGATGTGGTACGTGCCGGGCTCGCTGAAGCACGCCTTTGTGTCGTTCTCCATGCATTGGAACACAGTGACACCCTCGCTCAGCACCGTCCACTTGTACGAGACGTTGGTGCCCTCCCTGATCACCAACTGCATCTGTAGCGTCTGCTCAGTCGCGAAACAGCAGTCCTCAACTAGGTTAGGCAAGATCATCTTGAGGCCTTTGATTTCTTTGAGCACAAAAACCAGGATGCTGGCCTGCCCTGTGCTAATCCCGTTTTTCGCCGTGACGCTGACATTAAACAGCCCGGGGGATATGAAGGTGTAGAAGACTGTGGCTGGCTCCGACAACAGGCTGCAGCTGTTGCAGAATGACCACAAGTAGTTCACATGATCTCCTGCCGTGTGGTTTGCCACGAAGCCCACTGGCATGTTTACAGGAGTGGTGCTGGTGTTGGCTGTCACTCTCAGTCCGGCGATGGGAGTTTTCACGGTGATGGTCAGTGTGGCCTCCTCGCTGCTTACCATGTTGCGGACGGTCAGCACCACCACAAAGCGGCCTGGGGCGCAGTAGGAATGGCTGGCGTTGACCCCGCTCTCTCTCCGCCCGTCCCCGAAGTCCCAGCCGTACTCTGCCCGGTCTCCCTCGCTCTGCGCTGTGAACGCATACGTACGGCCCAACACCAGATCAGTCGCAAAGGTCGCCTCTCGCAGCTTGATCCTGACCAGTCTCACCGGCGCTTGGATCTCCACTGAGCTTGTGTTCCTGCCAGACGAGACATTGTTGAACACGGTGACATTCACTGTGTGGAGGCCGGGGGTCCTGAAGGTGACATTCATCTCCCTCCCGTGAGCCTGCTGAGCCTCCATGCCCTCCAGGTCCCACACGTACGTGTACTGCTGACTCTCAGGGAAGACATCTGCTCTGAACACGCTCTCTTCCCCCAACTTCACGTACCTGCTGAGGGGCGTGAGCACCACGAGGCTGATGGCGGACTGCACACACATGTTGGAGTAGAAGTTGACCTTGTTGACGCTGCTGGAGACAGACAGGGTGAGCAGGAACGGGCTGCTCCTGGTGTAGTTGTGCTTGGCCGTGGGATCGCCTGGGACAGTCACGTTGGGCGACCCATCTCCGAAATCCCAGGAGAAGACGAATTTGGCAGGATCGCCGGGGGTGAAGGCACGGAAGCTGACCTCCACCAGCTCCTGCACACACTCGGAAGGCTCGATCCTGCACACCTGCAGCACAAAAACGTGGACCAGGTGGGAGGCGCTAACAGCGCCCAACGGGTTGGTGGCCGTCACGCTCAGCATGTAATTGCCCACAGCCGCATAGGTGTGGTTGACCATCGCCAGTCGGGTCTCAACAAGCGGCGTCCCGTCCCCCATGTCGAATGTCCAGGAGATGTCGGTGCCCCTCTCGGAGGAGGCGGTGACGATGGTGGGGGAGGACAGCTCTGTTGGGCTACTGGCCAAGATGCTGAGTTGCACCACTTGCTCCAGCACTCCCACTGGCCGCCCAGCCTCCACACTGCTGATGGCGTTGTGGGCTCGCACGCTGACATTATACTTCCCACTCTGCCTGAAGGTGTGGTTCACCCTTTGCTGGGTCCCGTTCAGCGGTGCCAAGTTGTCGCTGAAGTGCCAGGTGTAAGTAATGCCCTGCGTGGCCGGCCAAGGAACAGCTTCAAACTGCACCCGCTGGTCAACGGCAATGACGTCACTGTCCATGTTAATGGTGACATTGGTGAGGAGGTTACACACCCTGACCAGCAGATGCCGACTGATGTTCTCGTACTTGTCCGACACTGTCACCGTGAGGTTGTAGTCGCCTATGAGAGAAATTGTCACTTGTTTAACATCAGTGTAAATCATCACCTAGAGCAGTGGTGGCCAACCTGTGGCCCGTGGGCTAAAAGTGGCCCATGGGGCTATCTAGAACACCCCCACCCCCAAATATTCTCACTGGTCTAGGGTACGATTGGTAGTGTGTATTCAGTTTGTTTTTCATGATTTTTGCCATGAATAAATCAAAAAATATTGAATCATTAAAATTTATTTTGTTGGCCGAACATAAAGGTTGTCCACCATTGCACTGAGCAGAGAGGCAAACAGCTTGCGTATAATTTTTTCATTTGTTTAGCTTTATTGTTTAGAAATGATTGAGTGATGGAGAAAATAACTTTGATTATAAAGGATCTGAGGTTATTGATCTAGCGATACGCATGATGTTATAGTGAAAAACACAGGACCAGAAATTCCTCTTGCTTCCATGGCGACTTGGATGAGATCTATTTGTACAGTGTCAGAATCCCATTAGCAAGAAAATCTCAAGAGAGTCACTAACTCTAACAGGTCGTGTATTCAACATCTCTCGTTCTGATGAGATCATTGCTTATTTCTAATGCACCCCTGTTCCCCACCTTACCGGGGCTTTGGTACGTGTGGGTGGCATTCTGTTGCAGCACAACTTGCTCATCACTGAGGAGTTGAACCATATCACTGTGGTTATAAGGCGATCGGAAGTCAAAGATCTTATCGGGGCTTCCATCGCCATAACTCCACCTGCAAAGCAACAGCGTTACTCAGATTCTGCCTGGGTAAAACCCAAGGCTGGTCTAAAACACAGAGAGAATGCAGAGCATGGGTAATGCTTGAGCTGTTTATTACTGGGGCAATATTTAATAATAATAATAATCCTTGTATTTGATATAGTGCTTTATCACGTTGTTAAAATGTCTCAAAGTGCTTCACAGAATATATTGTATAATGCATTGACTGTGTGTTTATGGGCGAAATGCGCCAGCCATTGCGCAAAACAATGTCTTACAAGCAATCGTGAATTCAGTGATCAATTTTTTAAAAACTGCTTTTAAAGCATTTTTGAACAACAACAACTTGGAGTTATATAGCGCCTTCCACGCCGGACGGCATCTCAGAGCGCTTTACAGTAATGGATCCCGGGACCGAGCCGGGGGGAGGGGGAGGAGCCAGGGGAGGAGGAGGAGCAAAGGGGAGGGGTGGAGCTGGGGGAGGAGCCAGGGAGGGGGAGGAGCTAGGGGAGGGGGAGGAGCTAGGGGAGGACCCAGGGGAGGGGGAGGAGCCGGGGGAGGAGTCAGGGGAGGGGGAGGAGCCGGGGGGAGGGGGAGGAGCCGGGGGGAGGGGGAGGACCCAGGGGAGTGGGGAGGGGGAGGAAGGTGACCGAAGGCGCAGTCGAAAAGAAAGGTCTTCAGCAGAGACCTGAAAATGGGAAGAGAGGGAATGAGGGGAAGGGAGTGAGGAAGGCAGTTCCAGAGCCTCGGGGCATAGTGGCTGAAGGCACAGCCGCCGGGGGTGGAGGAGGACTCGGGGGGGGGGGGGGGGGAGGGAAGGAGGAGGCCAGACCCGGAGGAACGAAGGCAACGGGTACTGTTTTGAGGAGAGAGGAGGTCAGAGAGGTCGGGAGGTGCAGAGAAGTGGAGGGATATGAATATGAGAGTGAGGATCATGAAATCAACGCTCTCTGGGACAGGAGCCGGTGCAGTCTGGCCAGGACTGGGGGGATCGGGGAGTGGGGTTTGGGTGTGGGGGGGAGGGCCAGGACTGGGGGGATCGGGGAGCGGGGTTTGGGTGTGGGGGGGAGGGCCAGGACTGGGGGGATCGGGGAGTGGAGTTTGGGTGTGGGGGGAGGGCCAGGACTGGGGGATCGGGGAGCGGGGTTTGGGTGTGGGGGGGAGGGCCAGGACTGGGGGGATCGGGGAGCGGGGTTTGGGTGTGCGGGGGAGGGCCAGGACTGGGGGGAATCGGGGAGCGGGGTTTGGGTGTGGGGGGGAGGGCCAGGACTGGGGGGATCGGGGAGCGGGGTTTGGGTGTGGGGGGAGGGCCAGGACTGGGGGATCGGGGAGCGGGGTTTGGGTGTGGGGGGGAGGGCCAGGACTGGGGGGATCGGGGAGCGGGGTTTGGGTGTGGGGGGAGGGCCAGGACTGGGGGGATCGGGGAGCGGGGTTTGGGTGTGGGGGGGATCGGGGAGTGGAGTTTGGGTGTGGGGGGAGGGCCAGGACTGGGGGGATCGGGGAGTGGGGTTTGGGTGTGGGGGGGATCGGGGAGTGGGGTTTGGGTGTGGGGGAGGGCCAGGACTGGGGGGATCGGGGAGTGGGGTTTGGGTGTGGGGGAGGGCCAGGACTGGGGGGATCGGGGAGTGGGGTTTGGGTGTGGGGGGGAGGGCCAGGACTGGGGGGATCGCGGAGTGGGGTTTGGGTGTGGGGGGGAGGGCCAGGACTGGGGGATCGGGGAGTGGGGTTTGGGTGTGGGGGGAGGGCCAGGACTGGGGGGATCGGGGACTGGGGTTTGGGTGTGGGGGGGAGGGCCAGGACTGGGGGGATCGGGGAGTGAGGTTTGGGTGTGGGGGGAGGGCCAGGACTGGGGGGATCGGGGAGTGGGTTTGGGTGTGGGGGGAGGGCCAGGACTGGGGGGGTCGGGGAGTGGGGTTTGGGTGTGGGGGGAGGCCAGGACTGGGGGGTCGGGGAGTGGGGTTGGGTGGGGGGGGGGCCAGGACTGGGGGGTCGGGGAGTGGGGTTTGGGTGTGGGGGGGGAGGGGGATTAATTTTTTTTGTTGGTGTGGGGGGGGGGTCGGGGAGTGGGGTTTGGGTGTGGGGGGAGGGCCAGGACTGGGGGGGTCGGGGAGTGGGGTTTGGGTGTGGGGGGGAGGGCCAGGACTGGGGGGGTCGGGGAGTGGGGTTTGGGTGTGGGGGGGGAGGGGGATTAATATTTTTTTTGTTGGTGTGGGGGGGGGATCGGGGAGTGGGGTTTGGGTGGGTGAGAATGCGGGCGGCAGAGTTTTGAACAACATATAAACAGTGGATTTAGCGCTGGTGCAACAACAACAACTTGCGTTTATATAGCGCCTTCATGCAGAGTAGAGTTCCAGAGTGACTGGTTAGATAGATATCCAGGGAGAGTGATACAGATCTGCTCCTAGAGAGGCAGTGACGAATTCCAGCTCCTGTGTGCCCGTCTTACACATGAGTGAGTGGGATGTGGCAACGCCCAAGTGCTCCCGGTTTTATTGGCTTGGAAGGAAAAGTAACCAGACGCTGTCCTCAAGGCTGCTCCTGCGACTTGAAGTTTTTTTTAGGAAATAAAGCATCTGCTAACAGCTGGAGGGTTGGGTTTGGCACAACCCATTCACAGCTGTGTTGGTCAGGCCTCAGAGCTGTTTGGAGACTTTTTTTTAAAAAAAGTCAAAAACAAATCGCTTCAAGCCTACTGACCGGATGTCCTATTCAGGACACCTTACAAGTGAAGTTATTTTCCCAGGTGTTCAATTCCACTGGCGGCAGATTAAAACACCTGAATGAGTTTCTTATTCTTTGAGGGAAGGATCCAGCTCTATTTCTACCGCAGCACGGTATAATACAATACAAAATTACATTTGTATAGTGCCTTTCATGTCGGTAGGATAACGGCCACTGAAACACAGGGGCTCCAGTTTATCACTCGTTTTTTACATATATTGTGCACACAAACTGGAGATCTGAGGTTCTGAAATATACCGCATGTGTTTTTTTAAACAAAGTTACTTTTTACACCAGCCACTCTGCTACTGTTCATCCTGCAAGCCAAAGCCCTAAATGGGTAGGGTGGACAACCAGCAGGTTGCTTGCCAGACAGTGCTCTCAACAGCAAGCTATGCCGTGCAGTTCTGGCTGGGTTGAAGTGCGGAATTCAGGCTTAAAATTTTAAACTGTCTTTGCCAAATCCATTGTGAAATGTTAGAGAAATAGTGCAAGTCTAGACTTCAGCGGAATGTCTCTCTTCTAGGACAATTGCTGTGCGCAATTGGCTGCCGCCCTTCACCCACAAAATATACAGTCAATTCGCTTTACCGTATATTCTGTGAAACACTTTGAGTTGTTTCAATGGTATGATAAGGCGCTTTCTCAAATGCAAGAATTCTTATTATTTATTATTTACATTATTTATTATTTAATTCTTATTATTTACAGCTTGTGTGGCTCGGTAATGCAGTAATAAAGGGTAAGCACATAGCACTTGTCTATCTTGGATCATTCTATCCGTTGAAGCTTTGGATTGGAAGTTTAGGACACTCTTGTATCTCCACATCCACTTTGGATATGCTCAGACCTGCCTGCCTTCTTGGAACCATGCCAGCCACGTGGACAACTTGCCTCCTTGCCGCTCACCTGAATGTGGCGTTGACGGCTGCGTCCACTGTCACAGAGCCCGTGAAGGTGCACGGAGAATCCCGTACCGCAATGGCAGGAATACCAGAAACACACAGATCAGCCAATGGGTTCCTCTTGTACACCGTAACGTTATAAGTCACCACGTCCCCATTTACGTGATTGGAGGCTGTGAGCTGCAACATGTAAAGAACAGCCTTATTAAGACCAACACAAAACATATCCTCCCTTACCCTAACTAAGTGTTGGTATCATTCACAGGTTGGGAAGAGCCTCCAAACCTTACTCACCGACAGCTTGTAAACGGCTTCATTGCAGTAGATGACATTGAAGACTTGCTTATAGTTTGTGAAGGATGGGTTGTCATCAATATTCCATTTAAATGTAATGTCAGTCCCAGCTGTCACCACTGCAGTATAGCTCTAGAGACACAAACCGAATTCAAGGACCAATGGATGACCATGTTACCATCTTTCACAGACATAAATAATTTGGACCGTTTATAAATGTGACAAAAATCAGGACTGAAATTCCTCTAGTGAGCAGGCTTTACTATCTTTCTGAGTAAAATCTCAATCTCAAGCTGAGGGCTGTTGATGCTGGGCTGGACCTGTTATTCACTGTCAGTGCCAGGAAATCCCAGGTCACATGTTTAAGATAGTTGTATCTCTCGCCACTTAGCCCCATCTATGCAGTGAGCTGCAACTTTCTCCACCCAATGACGATATTTGAACTGTTTGACCTTTCCATTTCCCACACAAACAATGACTGCTTGGACTGTACCGGGGACAGCTTCGGTGACTTGAATCCAGCATTCACTTGCCAAGCATGACACCTTGGAGCCGTGGTTAATGAAGTTAATGGTTAAGTTAATGAAACTTAATTAATAAAACTGTAAATATATCACTTACCACCAGAGTATTGGACAACACTCTTAATTTAGGGTCAGGCATTACCCTGAGGCCTTGGATGAGCTCCTCGCTTTTCACAGTCACTGTCTTGTTGATTGAACTGACCTCGTTCTTTGCGCTGATAACAATGGTCATTTGTGTGCAGTTGGTGAAAGTGATGGGGAAACGTGAGAAGCAGGTGTCGTTTGTAACCCTTTCACATTTGTAAGTGTCAGAAGAGAGTTCCAATGGGCAAGCGGCTTGACAGGGGAAGGTCTGATTACTCCCGGCCCAGCACGTCACACTCCTGCCCCATGAATTGATTTGAACAATAATGACAGTTTGATTTCTGGGAACAAAATACACCCCGTTTTGCTCCTTTGGGTGAATTACTCTGAGGAACCTAATTGGAGCCACGACTTTAATAGTACAAGAGGAGAGGTTTGTTGGAAAAAAAACATTTTCCATTGTGCTTTGGTAGGTATAAAGGCCTGGAGAGTGTGGCGCATTCTGAATCAAAGGGCTCTTTGCAATAGTTTCTTGCCTGCGGGTGTACAAGACTCTGAGGTTGCACACGGTGCTGTCTGACCAGCTAACATCAGTGAGGTCCCTCAGAACATCTCGGGTCCCATTGAGAGTGATGATACTGAAATAACGTTTCTGCCAGGGTGATGATGGGTCCTGCTGACACTGTAGGAAGGACCCAGGCTCCCCATCGTGTTGAATGGCGATAATATCATTGGACTGCACTGGTATGCTTTCATTTCTCAGCAGTACCTTGGGTTAAAGAGGAAACGAGAATTTTGCATTTTACTGGCCTACAATCCCCTCGCATCAGGGTGGTCCAACTGGCGGCCCATGCACGGTCCGCATCTGTCGCCCGGGCAGATTTCATTCCCCCACTTCCATTTCATCTGCCCCAACCTACTCCCTCCATAACCTATAAATGATGTTATGTTTCTGGAAGGGAAACACAAAAATATTGCTTATGTGGCCCATGGACGTTTCCCAAATAGGGCCTCAGCAGCTAAAAGGTTGGACCACCCTTAATTTTACATCATGGCTGCAATTTGTGGGACATTGCTGTGTATACAGGTAATTCGAAAGGAACAGAAAGATTTGCCAAGATCTAATAACCTAGTAGACCCAGGCTCGATGGGCTGAATAGTCTGTTTAAAGTTTTAAGCTCGCAACTGTTATGAGAGAGAACCAGAGAGAATCATAGAATCTTACAGGACAGAAGGAAGCCATTCAGTCTTTGTGTCTGTGTCGGCTCTTTGAAAGAAGAATCAAATTGGTCTCATGTATCTGCTTTTTTCCCCTCTACCCTGTTATATTTCTCCTTTTCAGATATTTCTCCATATCCCTTCTTAAAATTGTTTTACTGATTCTGCTCCAACCCCAGTGCCAGATTGAACATTTCATCTCCGAACCAGCCCCTGTGTGGAAAAATATATTTTCTTCATCTCTCCCTGCATTCTTTCAGGTAAATCTGTGACTCTCTGTGTAATGTTATCAACATCCTTCATAATTTCAGAAAACCTCCATCAGGTCTCCTCTCAGCTTTCTGAGTTCTAGAGAAAACAAATATTTAGTTAGGCTTCAGTTGGAGTATTGTTAAGTTTGGTGGCACTTCACTATAGGAAGGATGTCAAGGCCATAGAAAAGGTACGATGCACATTCAGAGATGATACCAGGAGTCCTGTAGCTCAGTGGTTAGAGTGCTCGCCTCGCAAGTGAGAGACCTGGGTTTGATTCCCAGCAGGGCGAAACCTTGGGCCTTTTCACATTTTCTAGACGTCTCAAAGCGCTTCACAGAATATACTGTAAAGTTAATTGACTGTATATTTGTGGGTGAAACGTGGCAGCCAATCGCGCACAGCAGTGTCCCTCAAAGAGTCGTGGATTGAAGTGACCAATTTATTATTGTTTTTTATTCTTTTGGGATTATTATCAGGCATGTGGAGTATGGAAACTTGCCCAAGGTTTCGCCCTGCTGGGAATCGAACCCAGGTTTCTCACTTGCGAGGCGAGCACTCTAACCACTGAGCTACAGGACTCCTGGTATCATCTCTGAATGTGCATTGTACCTTTTCTATGGTCTTGACATCCTTCCTATAGTGAAGTGCCACCAAACTAGATAATAGTCCAACTGAAGCCTAACTAAATATTTATACAGGCTTAGTATTACCCTTTGCTTTATATTATATTCCCTATTCATAAACCGAGGACTCCATTAGCTTTTTTTTTCCAAACATAGCAGTCGACTTGCCCTCATTCTTTTAAAGTTTTGTGCGTAAGTGGCAGCTGCAATCAATTTCTTTGGGGATTTTGGCAAAGATAGCGGCCCTTTGCTTTGAACGTGAGAGCACAGGTTACAATTGGCACCTCTCGCTTTGCAACAGTCTATCACAATTCTGTCGGGCAGGTTAAAAATGAAGCCAGTGCGGTCAGGAAGCTTGTGAGGAAATGTGATGTAATGGTCTCACTGAGTCCAGCTGGGCAGTTGCCAGTCCAAGAGCTCAGCTGCCTGATGTAACCCAGATAAGTGAAGAGCAACGCTGGGGGAATGAGCAACAGAAATGGGAAATAATGGCTGATACTTACTACGTAATGAGTGGGACGGTCGGCTGGGACCGTACAAGTCACTTCCTTCACCCGATCGTAGCTCAGGCGGCTGATGTTGAACTGGGGCAGGATTAGATTTGGGCACAAATTCAAATCCTCATCACCGCAGGGTTCTCTGAGTGGCAGACAGGTCTCGACTGTATTACACCAGAAGGTTCCCCTGGGGCAACCAGTGGTGAAATTGCTGTTCCCCTGTGATGTGCAGAAAGCAAACGGTGTGCAGGTCTCTTCATTACCTGCAAAGTAAATGATATGTTTCCAGCACTGAATTCCTATTGTGTCTGTGCCAGATCTGGCTCCCCAATTGGGGCTAGCTACCCTCCTTGTTCTTTACTTGTACTCTTTAACATCAATTTTTCCTGCAGTATTTAGCCAATTGTGGGATGTGACTATATCCAAATTGCTGCCACTCTTGCCTACAAAATATACAGTGACTAACTACACTTTACAGTACAATTTGGGAAGTGATTTGAGACATCCTCCAAATTCTTACCAACTGAGCCAGGCTGCTCCTGCTGATTATTCACATGCAAAGAACTATTATTTTGTCACTTATTTCCCTCTCTTATTAAACCATTACCTGGCGTCACAAGGCGTAGGTCAGTGCCAACGCATCTTGGGCGGTAGATCTGAAATCTTATCTGGACTGTACTGTTCAGACTTTGCGTGGCAAATTCAAGTGCTGAAACAAACCCTTTATGACCAAACCAAAGGCCTGGAAAAACCATGAGCTGCAAAGTCAAAGCATGAACAAACAGATTAGTAACCAGTTCAGTCTTGAGGAAGACAGAAATCTCAGCTGTTCCCTGCTTCTGGGGAGAAATTCACCTGATGAACTATTAACTGTTTTCTTCACATTTCAGAGAGTGTTGAATTCAGGCAAATTGCTCAATTCAGTTTTAACTTTGAACCTTTTTTTGTAGTGCTTAGAAGAGCTTTCAGAAAACTGGCTTCAAAATTAGGGCAGCATTTGACAAATTCTGGACACTCTGAATTTCGAAGATCGAGACACAGGTGGAATATCTGCTCAAGTGCCATTAAACATTAACATTAACATTAACCTTAAGTAAATTCTATAGTCAATAGCATCAACAAAAACCCATGCTTAATTAGTGCCCTTTCACTTAGGACAGTGTCTCCAAGCTCTTTATAGAGACTAAGGGGAGCACTGAGGAGGGTTGGGGTTGGATGATGTTGGCAAAAAGAAATGATAACTGAAAATTTATTTTAAGAAGCTTTAAATTAGACAATTCGGTGAATGCGGTCACTTGATTAAGAAGCTGACAAGATGAACATATTTACAAATACACAGCCGATCCAACCATTCCCAAGGTGCCAAAGGGGAGACCTTTACTCACCTCAATTTGTCCTACTAGTGTCGGTATGTCTCTGTTTATAGTGAGATTCTTTACAAGTTGATGTGTGCTAAATGCTGGGGGTCCCAGAAGAAAATAATCAGCATCTAGTACCTTTTCTGTGTTTCAAAACACATTAAAAGAAAATCTTGTTAAATAAATAGTAATATCTGAAATTCTAATTCAAAATTAATGTACACGTCAAACATAGTGTTACACTGGGTTGGGCTTGTTCCCGAAAACACTGTAGATCAAAGCTTTTAAGACAGAAGTAGATAATTATTTGGGGAGGACAAGTTTGCAGGCCTATGGAGAGAGAACGGGGGAGTGGGGTTGATCAGGGCTATGGGGAGAGTACGGGGGAGTGGGGTTGATCAGGGCTATGGGGAGAGAACGGGCGAGTGGGGTTGATCAGGGCTATGGGGAGAGCGCAGGTGAGTGGGGTTGATCAGGGCTATGGGGAGAGAGCGGGGGAGTGGGGTTGATCAGGGCTATGGGGAGAGCGCAGGGGAGTGGGGTTGATTTGGAAGCTCTTTTCAAAGAGCCGGCACAGACACGATGGGCTGAATGGCCTCTTTCTGTGCTGTATAATTCTATGATTCAAAAAAGCCTCAATCAGTAGCGTGGTCCAAGCTGGACAAGCACAAGCTTGGCAGTGTTCATAATTGGCAAGTTGCATGGTTTTAGCTGATTAAACTTCTGCTTAAACCTCAATACACAGTCCAGGGTTCTTAAGCCTTGGCTCTTGCCAACCTGGGCCTGAATTCTCCAAGATTAGGTAAGCAGGATGCCTCTCACTGGGTGGAACGAGTATGCACTCTATTCCAGACAAAGTGGATTCCATACACATGTGGAACTCTCTGTAGTTTTGTTTGGATGCTCTTCAGTACGGCGATTGGTTTCCATGTGTGTCAAACTGACCAGATGAACCGAATGTTAGTGCATATTAGTGATATACCTCCAGGCCTGTATTCACAAATGAAGCGTCTCTTGGTGTTACATAAGCCAGCCCTCCATTGCCCTGCGTGGTTCACTCCCATAAGCACACAAGTGTTATTCAGTAACATGTTCGGTTCCCCGGGCAACCAGTTGTGATAGTGTTCAAGAATAGACCCGTCCACCCACTGTAGTGTTCCAGCACTAACAGTATCGCTGAGTCCAATCCACACAGGACGCCTGCTGCAACAGGGACAGAAGAGTTTACCAACGGACATATTACTATGATTACAAAATGAGCTTTACCAAGACGTTGAGGTTCCTTAGGGAGAAACTCATTGTCCCAATTGGAAACAGCACTGCTCCAATGTCAAACTGAGCAAAGGCAACCTGTAGATCAGACAGATCTGCATAGTGTCTTTCAGGTGGCTTTCTGGACAGAATGAGATTAACTGCTGTAGAAATTAAGTGAATGTTGTTATGGAGGCTGATGCACTGCTAATGTGGTACAAAACGCAAGCTCACACTACTTTCAAAAGCAAGTATCTGTACTGACGCCACCCATGCAGCCTTATCTACTCCACAACATCAACTTACCCTTATGTTGCAGTCAATCACCAGAGGCTCTCAGGAAATTTCTCAAATTGCTGCTTAGCCAGTGTTCCCCCCCACAAATATACTAACATCAGTTTTGACGCCAAAAGCCTTGAGCCTTGGATGGAGACAATGGATGAATCAATGGACGACACAGTAGGAGGTGTTTGCTCCTCCAAATAATCGTCCAATTTAATCCCATTTTCCTGCTCTTTCCTTGTATCCTCTAATACCCTTCTTCTGCATGTGTTTGTCTAATTCTTTTTCAAATGCCCCCTAATGCCCCCTAATTGGCTAATGCCCCCATTAGCCAGACCTGACAAATCATTCCATCCTCTGACAACACTCTGCGAGAAGAAGTTCTTCCAAACCTCTCCCTTTACTCTCCCCACTACCACCTCCCCATCCACCCAGTCACATCTTAATATCTTTACAGTCACATCTTTTTAAACATAGGTATAACACTTCTTGTTATACCTATATTTAAAAAGGGAGATAGAACAAGCCCAGGGAACTATAGACCTGTCATCTTAACATCAGGGGTAGGAAAGATAATGGAATCCTTACTGAAGGAGATAATAGAAAAACGCCTAGAAACGGAAAACATAATAAAGAATAGTCAGTAAATATTTCAAAAAGGAAGGTCATGTTTGACCAACCTCATTGAATTCTTTGAAGGGGTAACAGAAAGAGTAGACAAGGGGAATGCGATAGATGTAATATATTTAGATTTCCAAAAGGCGTTCGATGAGGTACCACATAATACACTGATGAATAAGGTCAGAGCATGTGGAGTCAGGGGGAAAATAGTAGAATGGATAGCAAGCTGCTGCAAAACAGAAAACAGAGAGTAGGGTTAAAAGGTAACTACTCAGACTGGCAGGGGGTGGGCAGTGGTGATAACATAACATAACATACATAACATGTAGGAGCAGGAGAAGGCCATTCGGCCCTTCGAGCCTGCCCCGCCATTCAATCATGGCTGATCTTCTAATCTAACTCCAGCTAATAACCTGACACTGCCTTATCCCCATATCCCTTAATCCCTTTTGCAATAAGAAATCTACCTATCTCAGTCTTGAATATGTTCAAGGACTGAGCGTCAACAGCCCTTTGGGGTAGTGAGTTCCATACATTCACCGCCCTTTGAGTGAAGAAGTTCTTCCTCAACTCAGTTCGAAAGGGCTGCCTCTGATTTTAAGGTTGTGACCCCTGGTTTTAGTTCTCCAACCGGGGAAACAATCTCACACTATCTACTCTATCATTGCCCTTTGATGATCTTATAGGTTTCTATAAGATCCCCTCTAATTCTTCTATATTCTGGAGAATATAGGCACAAATTGGTCAGCCTATCCTCGTAACTCAACCCCTTCATCCCTGGTACTAACCTAGTAAATCTACGCTGCAACCCCTCCAAGGCAAGTACATCCTTCCTTAAATGGGAGACCAAAACTGGACACAGTATTCCAGGTGTGATCTCACCAGGGCCCTGTACAGTTGCACAAGACTTCCCTACTCTTATACTCTAATCCTTTCATAATGAATGCTAACATACCATTCGCCTTCCTAATCGCTCACTGCACCTGCAGACTAACTTTCTGTGATTGGTGTACAAGGACACCCAAGTCCCTCTGGACGCTAACACATTCCAATCTCTCCCCTTCTAAAAAATAGCCCACTCTACTGTTTTTGCTCCCTAGGTGGATGACTTCGCACTTCCCTACATTATACTTCATCAGGTAGGTACCTGCCCAATCACCTAACCTATCTATGTCTCACTGCATTTTTTAATGTTGTCCTCTGTGTTGACACTTCCTCCTAGTTTTGTGTCATCCGCGAATTTAGATATATTAACTTCGATGTCCTCATCTAGATCGTTGATGTAGATGGTAAATAGCTGAGGCCCAAGGACTGATCCTTGTGGCACTCCACTAGTCACATCACGCCAATCTGAAAAGGACCCGTTTATCCCTATTCTTTGTTTCCTACTTGTTAACCATTCCCCAATCCACGTTAATATGCTCCCCCCAATTCCATGGGCCCTTATCCTTTGGACTAACCTTTTATGTGGCACCTTATCAAATGCCTTCTGGAAGTCCAAATAGATCACATCCACTGATTCACCCTTATTTAGTTTACTGGAAATATCCTCAAAAAACTGTATGAGATTTGTCAAACATGACTTCCTTAAACAGTATTGGGACCCGCTGTTGTTCATAATATACATTAATGATTTGGATTCGGGAATCAGCAGGACAATTTCGAAATTTGGAGACAACACCAAACTGGGTGGAGTAGTTAATACAGAGGAGGACGGCAACACATTACAGCAAGACATTAATAAACTTGCTGAATGGGCATTTAAATGACAAATGCATTTCAATGTATAAATGTGTGAGGCGGTACATTTTGGTAGAAGGAATAAGGAAGTCACATACATCCTGGAAATTAAAGTCTAAATGGGGTAGAGGAGCAAAGGGATCTAGGGGTACACATACACAATTCACTAAAAGGAACAACCCAGGTTAATAAGGCCATAAAAAAGGCAAACCAGGCATTGGGGTTCATTTCTAGAGGGATAGAAATGAAAAGCAGGAAAGTTATGGTGAACTCCTATCGAACCTTGGTTAGACCACATGTGTGCAGTTCTGGTCCCCATGTTATAGAAGGGATGTAGAAGCACTGGAGAGGGTGCAAAGGAGATTCACAAGGATGATCCCAGAACTGAGAGGTTACACCTATCAGGAAAGGCTGAACATACTTGGATTCTTTAAAATGCTGAAAGGTTTTGATAGGTTGATAGGGAAGATGTTTCCACTTGTGGGGGAGACCAAAACCAGGGGCCATCAATATAAAATAGTCACAAATAGATCAAATAGGGAAGTTAGAAGAAATTTCTTCACACAGAGAGTAGTGGGAATGTGGAACATGCTGCCGCAAGGAGTTGTTGAGGCAAATAGCACAGATGTATTTAAGGGGAAGCTGGATAGGTACATGAGGGAGAAAGGAATAGAAGGTTCTGCTTGAAGGTTTAGCTGAGGAAGGGCAGGAGGCTCATGTGGAGCATAAACACCGGCATAGACCAGTTGGGCCAAATGGCCTGTTTCTGTGCTGTATATTCTAATATATTCTAATGTAACCACTTTGATCATACCAACCCTCAAACCTTCTCTATCCAGACAGGATTCTTAATGGCTAAGAAGACAGGAATCTCTGAGGAATAAATCCTTCAACCTCCCTACACCAGAGACCAGGAACTGCACCCACATTTAGTCTTTTGCACCATTTTGTCTTAATATTTAAGAACTTGCAGAATTTTTTCATTCGCTCTTATTTTGGAGGAATGTTTTCCAAAGTTCTTCAATGCACGAAGTCCTGTTTCATTCCTGATTTGAATTCCTCTGGATTCTTCCTTTTCATTCTTATTCTTTAATGTTGCATTCAGTGAACTTTGACTCAGCATCTATATCCGATAGTACAAGGCTGAGAGAGCTCAGTTTACTATCAACTAACTGTGACATTAAAAATTTCATAGTCGTATTTACTGAAAAGCTTGGCACAGTTGCATAGTTTCAGAAATCTGGTGCTGTGTAACATATAGACCTTAAGCTTTTAATTCAGGATGAAGAAGAGTTGCATTGTCAAGGGTTGCTATCCTTCAAAGCTGTTTGTCAGACATTGCTGGGCATAAATTGGTTGCTGGGTTCACTACATTACAGTCATGACAGTACACAAAAACTTTGTGAAGCACTTTGAGACGTTCTTGATGTTATAAGCATAGACAATACTTTTCCTTTTTTACACTGTTCTCTCTTAAGTTTTCTCATCTTGGCCAGCTAAACAAATGTGATGTAATGCCGCTAACAGATTTTCAATGGACTTACAACAGCTGTGCACTGAAACTATTGTACAGAACAAATCTGAATGACTGTTCTGTCACTATCAACTTTGTGCTTTGTAATCAATACAAAGTGTGATTATTGGCTGTACATGTCAACATAACTGGCAAATAGGACTGCATTTTCTGCTATATTATTAATCGCTGCAGAGGAAAATGCCTTGTAATTTCTTTATGAAGTGTGTATTTCTTTATTAACCAAAGGGCTGACCTTAATCCTGCTACATGATAGAAGATTAATTTCCTGGGTTGTAGTCTGAGCAGAGAGATATTGAAATGATGATAAGAAAGATAGAAAGAGGGTGATGGTAGACTATCAAATAAGCTCTACACTGTGACGAGGAGAAATGTTCCACGACTGAAATGCACCCGCAGCTTAGCAGAGTTGACTATCAATTGCTTTGACATTCGATAAACCTTCTCCCTCCTCTGTGTATCAGTGGTCATCAGAGTGATGAGGTCATCATTTTACTTATTTGCATCTAATGGCATGTCAAGCACTGTCTTCTCCTATGATCTGTTATAGTGCATAAGATAAACACAATGCACAATGCAGTGCTTTTACCCAGCAATAAGCCTTAACACCAGCTGTCTGAGCCTATCCCCACATACTATGCTGCAAGGACATTTCACCGCCTCCATTATTGTGTCCTTAATGGAGATCACAATATGATATTCACTCCATGCAGCGAGCAGTACAAATACAACAACAAAAATTACATTTGTAAAGCACCTTTCGCATCGGGAGAACGTCCAAAGGCGCTGAACAGCCTTGGGACATCCTCCCGATGTGAAAGGTGCTTTATAGTCAGAGATCAGGATCCGAGCGTGGGGGGCAGGGTTGGGATGAGGGAGGTCAGAGCGGATAGGAAGGTGGCTGAAGGCACGGTCAAAAAAGAGGGCCTTGAGTTGTGCCTTGAAAGAGGCAAGAGAGGGAGTAGGTGAAGGGATTGTGGGATGGAGTTCCAAAGAGTGTGAGCAGAGAGGCTGAATGCCCGACCGCCGATGGTAGGGCGGGTCGGGCGTGAGACCTGGAGCAGGCCGGAGCCTGCTGAGCGGAAGGTGCGGGCAGGTTGCTAGGGGGTCACCAGGTCAGAGAGGTAGGAGGGGGCAAGGCCATGGAGGGCCTTAAAAGTGAGGACAATGATTTTGAATTCTATCCTCTGAGGAATGGGGAGCCGGGCGAGGGTGGGGGTGATGGGATGACGGAGCCTGGTGCGAGAGAGGACATGAGCTGCAGAGTTCTGGATGATCTGCAGCTTGTGGAGGGAAGAGTTGGGGAGACCGACAAGGAGGGAGTTTCCATAGTCGAGCCTTGAGGTGACAAATGTGTGTATGAGGGTTTTGGTGGCCTGAGGTGTGAAGCAGTGGTGGAGTCGGGCAAAGTTATGGAGGTGGGGGGAAGGCAGAGTTGGCGCCTGGCACGGATATAAGGGAAAAAAAGGACAGTTGAAGGTCGAACAAGTTCCTGACTGGCTTGGTGAGGTGGAGTGTGCAACAGTGGCTGTTGATGCTGCCAGGGCCTGAGGTGCGGAGGCGCTGTGCGAGCCAATCTCTCCTGAGTCTCAGTCTTGCTGACATTCAGCTGTAGAAAGTTGACTCTTATCCAGGACTTGATGTCAGACAGACAGTCTGTCAGGACATCAGTTGTCCTGGAATCGAGGGTGGAGGCAGAGAGATAGAGTTGGGTGTCATGGAAGTTGACCGCATGTCTGCGGATGATGTCATCAAGGTATGTAGAGGTTGAAGAGGAGGGGACCGAGGACAAAGCCCTGAGGAACGCCGCACAAGACTGTGCAGGGGCTCGAAGAGAAACCGTAGGCGGAGAAAGATTGGAGACAGTGTGAGAGATAAGACCTGAACCATTCAAGGACAGAACCTTGAAGGTTGAGTTAGGAGAGGCAATGGAGGAGGATAGAGTGATCCATGGTATCGTAGGCAGCAGAATGGTCAAGGAGAACGAGGAGGCAGAGGGAGCCCTGGTCATAGATGGACAAAATGTTGTTTGTCACCTTGACCAGAGCAGTTCAGCAGGGAAACCTGACTGGAGGAGCTCGTGAAGGGGGTGGTAGGAGAGGAATGAGTGAAGCTGGGAAGCAACGACTCTTTCAAGGACCTTTGAAAGAAAAGGGAGGTTGGAGATGGGCCAGTAGTCAAGAAGGCAGGGAAGGGTCCAGGGAAGGTTTTTTCAAGATGGGGGTGATTGTAGCTGTTTTATTGGGATGGGAACGGTGCCAGATGAAAGGGAGAGATTGATGGTGTCGGAGAGTAGAAAGATGAGGAGATGGAGCTGGGAGGTAAGGAGAGGGGTGGGATGGGATCAAGGGAGCAGGTGGTATGTTTCATGCTGCATATGGTGGCAATGAGAAAGGAAGGGGAGACAGCTTTGAAAATGTGGAGAGAGGGATGGGTAGCGGTCGGAGTGTGGTGGTGGAGATAGGGAGGAAGTGCCATTTGGGAGAGCGGAGGCAGCGGAATGGATCCCCTCGATTTTGGATTTGAAGAAATCCAGCATCTCCTCACAGTCAGAGCTTGTAAGAGATTCCTCACACGAAGTTTGCAGGCTGTAAACTTGTGTTAAAATGTGAAGTCATGGCCCATATTTTACTGCAAGTTCAGATTAGTATTCATTATTTAAGGCACAGGGCAGCACAGCATAAATAAAGCGTATAGCAGACCCACATTACCTTGCCCATTAAAATGCACTCTGGTCTCATTATAGTGCTTGGGGAACAAGCATTTTGTGTTTATAACATTCCCCCAAGATAGCAGAAAATGACACATTAATAAGGCTCCAGTAGTTTCATAAACGGATGGTGTGCATAAAGCTTCAGACACATTCAGTTATAAGTGTTGCAAATGGCCATATCCTTCACTCTAGAGTTAATTTCCCATATGTGTGTAGCACAAATCTGTCCAGTGCAGTCAGTGTGAAGAGTCTGAGCATGGGATCAAAAGGAAATGATGGCATTGCTCAGGACTGCATGAAATCTGTTTGCAGTCTGCAGACTGTGCGAGATTGGTTAGCTGTCTACAAAGCAATTTTCATGCCATTATAAAATGAAAGGTGCAGTCAGAACATGTAAAGCAAAGAATGCATTTCATCTTGTGCTGCAGAGCCACTTAAAGTGGAAGCGGATCTGCTATATCCTTGGCTGGCTGTGCTCGTGATTGCACTGCTAGGCATCGACAGCAACAGATGCACTCAAGTTGTTTGAATGTGTCACCCCAAATCTGTTTGCTGGCATTCTAGCTGTGGTAGCCTCTGGAAGGTTATGGGTTCAGAGCCTACGTCAGGGAATTGAGCTCATAATCTAGGTTGACACTCCAGTGTCGCAATATCCTTCGGATGGGATGTTAAAGCGAGGTTTGACTTTTCGGGTGGATGTTATATCACATTACACAATACACATTCATTACACGTTTGGAAAAGGGAAGGGAGTTTCTCGCATATAACAACCATTTTGCTCACAGCAAGGTCCCCACAAACAACCATGAGGTGAATGACCAATTTTATCTGGCAAATCTTCTGCTTTCCAGCATCATGGGATCTTCACAGCCAACTGAACAGACAAAACAGAACCTCAGTTTCACATCCCACCTTACACAGTGTTCGTGTCTATAAATATCCACAGGGCTGAGCATCAAAGTTCAAGAGAGACTTAGAAACCTAAATCAGTAACTGACTTATGTGTAGATTTGGAGAATAATTGGACAACTTACCATTCTGTGACATTTAGAAGAAAGGTTTGAACCTCTAGATCCTTTAGAATTGCCAGGTCACCACCGGTATGAGACTGACAGAAGTGCCGGGCTTTGGACCATGTAGAGCTCTTGTTCACGAGCTTATAGCAGCGACTGTTGGTCAGATACCCACCCAGAGAGCAAGATGGCATTTCTGTAGAAAAGTCATAATTACACAGATTGTAATCTGTATAAAATATTAATAGAGAAAAGTAGCAATTCATGCTATGATATAATAATCCTTGCATTTGATATAGCGCCTTATCACATGCTTGCGTCGTCTCAAAGCGCTTCACAGAATATACTGTAAAGTGAATTGACTAATATTTTGTGGGTGAAACATGAAACCTATTTGTTACCAGATACAGTATAATAATAATAATCTTTGCATTTGATATAGCACCTTTCACGTCTTCTAAACGTCCTGAAGCGCTTCACAGAATATACTGTAAAGTGAATTGACTGTATATTTGTGGGCGAATGCGGCAGCCAATTGCGCACAGCAATGTCCCACAAACAGTCATGGATTGAAAATGACCAATTTATTATTGTTTTGTTTTTTTGGAGGGATTTTTATTAGGAGTGTGGAGTAAGGAAACTTGCCCAAGGTTTCGCCCTGACCTGCCTGGAATTGAACTCAGGTCTCTCGCTTGCAAAGTGAGCGCTCTAACCACTGAGCTACAGGACACACCAAGAAGCAGCCTTTGCTTACGGTCCTCCTCCTTGTATGACACACAAGGAGGAGGACCGTAAGCAAAGGCTGCTTCTTGGTGGTACAGGACAGAGTGATGGTGGCAGTAATTGCATTGGCAATTTACATAGCATGCTCACCTCGCAAGCTAGAGGACCTGGGTTTGATTCCCGGGCAGGGAGGAAACTAGGCCTCCGTTTACCTGGCAGTAAATAGGAATCCAGGTGTTAGTCGATTGGCGGTTCACTTTTTAATCCTTCCCCACCCCCAAAAAAAAATGTAGTCACTCAATCCACGACTGTTTGTGGGACACTGCTGTGCCCAATTGGCTGCCATGTTTCACCCATAAAATATACAGTCAATCCACTTTACAATATATACTGTGAAGCACTTTGAGACGTCTCAACATCATGATAAGACGCTATATCAAATACAAGGATTATTATTATTATGTGTATGTTGAGATCATTTGTTAAAGGTAATTCAGAGTCTTTTCACTCACCCCTTGTTGTGTTACCATTCGGTGTAGTGATGCTCCACAATGCTGTAACATTGAGGCTATCCCAGTTGCAGATCCCAATGCCAATGCTTTCCTGAGTCTGAACTACGGGAGGGCAAGTCAGCTCCATCCTTCCTGGGTGAACGGTGACCTGAATCTCTACGTGGAGTGAGATCACCCTGTGACCCACAAACAACGTGACACTGACCAGGTACGTCCCTGGCAGGCTGTATTTGTGGAGGACCACATGGTCGGTAGTGTTGAAAAGTGGGGAGAGATCTCCAAAGTCCCACTGGAAAGTGCTAACATGAACCAAAGGCACAACAGTCAGCCGTGCCAGTTCGTAAAGGCTAAAAGTGCGCAGTTCAGCAAAGTTTGCGATTGTAACTTGGAATGCTTCTTTCACTACAGTGCAGCCACAGGCTGGCGAAAGCTGCCCCCCCGTCTTCTCCTGTGTGCATAGTGCGATAGAGTCAGGTTCCAGGCTTGAGCCACACAGGCATTGATTGTCGCTGTCTAGGGCAGCGTACAGTTCATCTTCAGCGAAACACAGAGCAGTGCAGTTTTCTCTGCTGGAATTCCACAAAGTTAGTAATGATAAGCTTACTATGGATTTCTTATCAGATAAACACGCCATATATTCAGATCCTTGGGGTAAAAGAAAGAAGACAAACAATGAGAAAGGCCTCTCTCTTAAAAAAAGTCCCACAAAATATTCATAACCTAATGCATCTTATTGTGTATATCTGAAATATGTTACCACCCTTGTGCTAACTATAGTAAGATAGTGGAAAGCTATTGCCTTTCACCAGTTTGCTTTATCGATATTGGATCAGCCTTGGATTGATGACTAATGAAACAAGATCTTTGTTTCTCTTAGTGGAGCTCCAGATTGTATTCAAGAGCTGACTTACAATTGAATTCTAGTTGGTTGCTTTGAGCGAGTCCCAAAGCTGCAATTTAATCATAAAGAAATGCCATAAAGAGAAATGAACCTGATAATTATGTGAGACCTGATGGCTTTTGGCATTATATGCAAAATTTTATAGTGTTGTGATGTCTTTTGAGTGGACTATCTGCAATGGCTGCAGGCCTGAAATTCTACTTAATCTTAGCCTGTTGGCCAGTTTTGTCTTAAAACTTGTCTCAGTCTGGAACCTGGTTCTTTTTAAGAACTACGGACAAACAGCTTTTAAGTAAAGACTGCATTTACAAATTTTCATAATTTTAAGCCAAAATGGTCTTGCTGACTAAAACTAGTTGGAATTTCAGATTATATATATCCCTGATTATTGCTATTTATGTGCCATAAACCCCTGTATTTTGCAGAGTAAATCCCCCCAATAATTGTAGAAATTGTGTTAACTGGAGAGCAATGAATGTAGAAGGGGTTATTTTTCGTATTGCTATTGTGGCCTTTTGTCTTAGGCCTTTTGATTCAATACCTAACAGTGTTTCTTTACAATCCTGAATGAGGGGATGAAAGTCTCTTCTCTTTGATAACTTCTAGTTTTCTTTATACTAACTGATGTTGGGGCAAAGCCCAATTCATGTTGGGACAAAGCACAATTCTGTAGATGGACCTAAACTTACCTCCTGGTGAGTTTAGGTCAATCTACAGAATTGTGTTGCTTTGATTCACCAGAAAGGAAAATAATCAACTTTTTTGGCTATCCCATCTGTTTTTACATTGTATTTTACTTAAAAAAAAGCACAGAGACCGCGGCAGATGAAAGTTGCTCTTTTAATGCACATTTCTTGACAACCTAATTCAATATTTTCCAAGCTAAACCACAGAAAAGAATCAATGAAGAAAGCTACTTGGACTCACCACAGAGAATCCTTGAAATATTAACACTGAACACCGACAAGTCTTCAAACTTGGAAGGTTTCGCACACTTGATGAATTCACTATCGACCACATTCACCCCTTTTGCTTCCTCACTGTTTATCCAGGCAGGTAACCAGGAAAGGTTACAGTCACAAACAAAGTCATTAAAACTCAAGTTTCTGAAACATTGAAGGGTTTTTAAAAAAAATCTGAATTATTGATTCACAGATTGATTATCATTGTCCTGCGATCCTGTTCCCCTCGTCAAAGCCTCCCCGACTGGCTACACTTCCCACCACACCCCTCACCCCAACCGACCTCATCTCCCAAACCTATCTGGTCTATCCCTGTATTCCTCTGGCACCTTCCCCTCCTTTGAGCACCTCATCCTGTACCCATCCACCTCTTCTCAAACATTCCAAGAGGTTTCCCTGCATGAAGTCTGCTATATAAATGCAAGTTGTTGTTGTTTGTAGACTAATGCTCATGCTTCTATAATGATATTCAGATACCATCATTAATTCCGTCCCACCAACTGCAAATATGGCCTTGGTGCAATTAATTTTGCACTGTAAACATACAGAGAGCCAAGAAATAGGTCATGATCAACAGAGGCTAACAGCTGACACGTGGAATGCATGTTCTCACTATTGGGCCCCATGCTTCAATTCACTTAAGTCTGTGTTACCGATCAGACACCCGCTATGCACCATTTCCGCAAGAGAATTCAGTAAAACTTACATTTCACTTAAATTAAATAAATCAGCAAATATCCCATCTTCTAAAGTAGATATCTGATTGTTGCTTATATCTCTGTAATGAAAAAGTGGGAAACAATTGTAAATTTTATTCTAAATTGATTCCAGCTTTCAACGTTAAGCATTCACCATCAGAGATGATAAAGTGACAATGTTGCTAACACATTTTGTGGTCATAGCAGACAGCATATTTGGCAAACTTCAAATCACACGTGACATTGCAACTTTCTGTAATGGCTTTAAAATGAATCAGCCTCTGTATACGTCTATGTACTTGTGAGTGTATTTCATATACAGTATGTACAAAATCCAGTGACACATCTATATTTTCAAATATATATTTATTAGAAAATATAATAACTTATATATAACATATATTATTATTATTATATTTTCAAGGTTGAACATAGTATGCAAATCTAAGAAGCTTTTTGATTAGTTTTATGAATCCAGTGGCTAGGGGAACTAAAACACAAGAGCGAAGCTCTTTGATGTCTGAATCCTTGGATATTCTCCTCCTGTTAATTGCAATCACACCAGTATTCTGTCTTGAAAGAACACATCTCAGAGGGGACCAAAAATTGGGATTGAAAAATTAAACCCAGAACAATAATTTAGAACTCACCAAAACAGCACAACAAGTGGACAACGGTTTAGAGTCGCAAAGGGCAATTCCAGGATGGACACTGGGAAGTTTTCCTTTTCCCAGAGAGTAATTAAGAACTGGAGCTGGTTGCCAGGCAGGGTGGTTGAGACCAGGGGCACTGGACAAATTTTAAAAAATTGTAATGGGCAGACGGTTGGGTAGGTATTTTGGAGGGATGAGACCAGATGGGCTGAAGGGCCTTCTTCCAAGTGGTCACGGCTGTGATCTTGTGTAATACAGTGATGTGCTTCACAGTTTTTCAAATGATTTTCCAGTGCTGGGGAATCTAGCTATGAAGCATATCATGGACTGTTTGTAGATTATATGTAAATGGATTTGCTTTTACTGTACTGCTCAATCCTAACCAAATGAAGTGCATGTAACTTATCGCAGAGCAGTAAGTGTTTTTTTTAGGTCAACACCAATACTGCGAATTGTACATCTCATAAACAGCCCTTGACCCAATTCTTTCAAGAGGAAAAGAGAGAGTACTTACATAACTGATAAATATCTTCTACCAGCGAAGATTTCTTTGAGAAGAATACTAATATTATTGCCCTGAAGATATCTGGGGATAAAAAAGCACAAGGCATTACATACATTGAAATCTGTTCAATATTAGAACTAGAGAATGCATCCATTCTACACATATGTTATGCAATTTGAATGTACATATGGATTTATCATTTAATACCTTCCTTGTAAATTATTCTAAGATTCTTGCCTCATTCATTAAAATATCCTTCCTAATTTTGGTTTTAAAACCATTTAAATCTATCTTCCCATCTCCCACTTCCTGCATTTCATCTGATAATATATATATATATATATACATATGCAAGTTCGTTGAAGTAATATTTATGAGGTAGCAAGTCGAAGAGACCTGGGAATGGATTTCCAGAGAGTGGGTGCCAAGTGGCTGAAAGCCTGCCTGCCGATGGTGGGGCAGATAGAGTGGGGGACAAGGAGTAGGCCAGCCCAGCATACAGTTTGTTTTAAAAACTGCTGTGCTGAATTGTCCTGTCGACCTGCTTTCAGCACATTTTGGGTGAAGCTACATCTCAGTTACAAGGTGAAAATGGACAAAGAATCAAACACTTTCTCAGAACAACCAGAGAATGATGGAGATGTACTGTATGTAAGCAGCTTTTGCTGAAATTAGAATCAGGCTCTAGAGGGGAAATAATAATGTGAAGCCAATGCGATTTTAATAGTTTTTTTGTTACGGTTTAAAAAGCGATAACATTGAATAAACAAGTCACTCACATTTTCTGCAGGGAAGTCAAATTGTTGAAAAGGTTATCATCTAATGAGGAAATGCTGTTGTATGAAAGATCCCTGGAAGAGAAGAACACAATTTCACTTAATATTGGTTTAGAGAAGCTACAAAGACACCTGTATTCTAATACATCCTGCATCTTATTTTCTGAGTGATGCACAACACTTAATGGTTTGCCTGAAATGCTATGTAAGAACTACTCCACGCAGCGAGTAGTGAGATTGTGGAAGTCACAGCCTGAAGTAGTGGTTGAATTAGGAATGCCCTAATAGGAACTGTGGTTGAGTGTTTGTTTTATTAGATATAGATACATATCTGAAAAATAGGAATGTAAAAAAATAGATACATGGGGATGTATCAGTCAGCCAGCAAAGGGACCATGGCTGAATGACTGCCTGTACTCAAACCCGCTGTGGTTCTATGGAGCCGTGGAGCCGTGCTCGTTGATCTCAGTTGGAGCTGCACAGGGAGTGCTACAATTGGCCTTTGTTCCTGTCAGAATGTTTTGTGTTAAAAATTAAGGTCACGCAGAATTGCGGGAAATCCTGTGGACCCAGTTTTCCACAGTTTGTAAATTAGGACTAAATTTAAGAATTTTCCATCATTTTAACTGTAAGACTAAATGACCTTACAATTTAAACCAAGTTGGAATCTTGAGCCCCGGGAGTGGAAAGTATGAAAGTGTTTCACAGGATTGTATTGTACAGTCTTATTGTATTAGACTAGAATGTATATTTTGTAGGCGACCACGGCAGACAATTTGTGCACACAATGTCTCATTCATAGCTACGATCAAGCTCTGCTTGAACCTGTTCAGAGAAGCTAACAGTACAAGCTTGTGTTGGAGAGCAGTCTATTGCTCGTGCGTTGCAGACACAAAACGATTGAAATGATGAAAAGATGTGAGGGGGGGCATGGGGTCCTTTTGTTATGTTTTATATGAGTCTTCCAAATGTGAAGTGTGCAGCTATTTGAAAAATACAAACGGGAGTGAATTGTTTAAAGGTGAGTTAGCTGTTAAAACATTTTACAAAACAGTATTAATTTACAAAGCACCTTTCAATTCAGGAGGATTCTCAAAGTAATTGGGCATCCAAGCTGGGGGTGGAATTTGAAGGGGGTGGGGAGAGGAAAGATGATGAGGTATGTGTTTAGGATGGATCTTGGATGAGGGGTGGGAGGGAGAGAGGGGACTCCATTGTGTGCAGTCTATTTCTCCACCTCCCCATCCCTCTCTTTCAAACTTTAAATCCCACTCAACAGCAAACCTCTTTGATTGCATCTAAGGTCACCGTCCCCCTTTGCTTAGGGTCCACCTCTCCACTGTGAAGCCAAGATGATATCCCATATGAAGGGTGCTACATAAAAGCAAGTTGTTGTTGAAAACCAAGTGGAGTTCCAGGGCGCAAAAAATCCACGTACCCACAGGACTCTCTATTTATAATAATAATAATCCTTGCATTTGATATAGCACCTTAGCGCATCGTTGAGACATCCCAAAGCGCTTCGCAAGATATTTGCAAATCAACTTGAATGCATGTTTGCCGGCTGGATTTGGATAACATCTGGATCTTTCAGGGCAGTTTGTTAGCGTGACACACGATCATAAATAAAAACCCAAGCGCTCAACAACCAGCAGGGACTCAGGAAAGAACTTGAGGGAATGTAGGCAATTGCAAGGGAGAAGAATTTGCGAATGGAGCGTAGCACAACTGCGGAGAGGTGACCACACCGAAATTGAAATGAAAATAAACATTTCCATTATAAATCCACGCTGAAAATGAAGTGAATAAACAAGAGCTTTGCATTCTTAATGTTTCTTTTTAATGTGACTCTGGCCAGTATAATCAAGCTGTGTGAATTTAAATGAATTAATGAGTCTTAACTGTTTGCTGGAAGTCTGGCAAAACCTCACAACACTGTTGCGCGTTATGCAACAAGTAGGTTTCCTCTGAGGAGCCCGGGAATTTTCTCCTCCAGATGTTAACCCATTAAATCGTGAACTTTCTCCGTGGTTCACTGGCACAATTCACTTCCGCTGCCTGTTCTACTGAAGAGTCGGACTTCAGAGCTCGTTAATGGAAACCAGGGCAGACTGGTGGGCTGGATCTTATCAGACATTCATCTCTGTGCATTTTTTTAAAAAAATTGGCTGCTTGTTTTGATTGTGGAATACAAGGCACACAAGTCAAAGTGGGGAGACTGCAGCAGGCATGCACTGTGAGCCAGTCTCCTTCAGCTCCAGCAACGAGAGGAGATTCTGGCTGGCGGAATATTTTCTCCTCCTCCTACTTTACTTCTCTCTCTCTTCCTCCCCAATCTGCCCCCTTCCCCCAACCCCCTCTTAAGAACACTCTCTACACCAATGTTTCCCAACCTGTTTGATACCAGCAATCTCTTAAATTTCTTCACACACCCCCACCCTATACTTTTAAAGCTTGCCTTAAGACCACACTTTCGGTCACCTTTCCCCCCCATCAATCACTGTGATACTTTGATACTTTCTCCTGATGTGAAAGCCACTCTGTAAATGTAAATTGTCTTTGTTGCTGTTAATGCCGGCCGTTAACAAAATGTTTTCACCCACAAAACACAAGTCACTACACCCATAGTATATGCTGTGAAGAGCTTTGAGATGTCTTGATTGCTTGATAAGGTGCTATACCAAATGCAAGGATTATTATTATAAATGAGCCTGTAGGGTCACACAGTCTATCGAGATCTCTGGTATGGTGGTCACACAGCTCAAAGCAGTTGCTGAGAAACAAACGTTGATCTGGAATATTTCAGCCAGGCAAGAATCCAATTTTAAGTAGCAAAGCAGAGTGGGCTACAAAATAGGATCAATACAGTACAGTATAACAAATCACCATCTGAGTTACCTCCAGAATGAAGTAAGTTGGTTCGAAATGGAGGATGTACAAGAATCAGACAAAAGGCTGGAGCGAGATTTGTATTTGAACTGACAGAAGAGCCATCCATATCCGTGAGATCTTAATGGGATTCATGATCAGAACTAGAGAGACAGACCCCAAACTCTTACCTAACAAAAATCTATCCATCTCAGTCTTGAAAATTGAATGAATCCGGCATCCACAGCCTTTTGGAGGCGAGAGATCCCAATTTCCACTACCCTTTGCGTGAGAAAATGCCTTCTGATTTCAATAACAGATGCGTGAAGCCAAACCAATAAATGTCCAATGGCTGTTTGCATCAATGCTTTTCACTGCTGCACAGAGCTAAGTTTGCTTCTCTTTGAACCTGAAGGCTGATTTGCACTGGGATACAGTTCCACTGGCACCAACTGCTATTCGCTGAGCGGCCATTCTCTGTCTATGTGTGTGTCGGAGGAATATTCAACAGTAGATGGCATCACAATCTGCATCTAATGCTGCCGCCACCCAACATTTGTTTGTCACAAACAAAGACTTCCCAGCGCAGGTCAGTAGACCACAGTCTAAAGTAAAAGCTCTGCCAAACACTGTATTTCCCAAACTGAGCCCAATAGTGCTGAGACTGGATGCAGAGTCCCTACTAATAATTTGGTTGAGATAAGCTGTCTAGAGCAAACTTGATGGGCCCCTAGGCTTTTTTTTCAATTTTTTTCCTGTTTAACGTAACTGAGACCAAGACTTGAAAGTGGGCTCTTTCTGGTTCCTTGACTTACTGACCCACCACCAAATCATTCTGTCGTGGTTTTTTCTCAATCTTTTTTGTTTTGGTTACTGTTCCTAACATTTCTAACCTTGCAGCTGGCTTTGCGAATTGGTAACCTGGATTTCCCACAGCTGTCATACAGCTGTAGCTTAAGGGGGAAAAAGCAAGGCTGTTGGAATTTCAACACATGTTGCCAATAATTTATAGCCAAGAGCATAAGCATTCGCCTTCCGCTTCACTACAATCTCCACTGGATCAAACGGTTGTTTTGAACAACCAGACCCGCTCACTGAAACCTATTGAGTTCAGACATGCAATCAAATGATCCGATCAGATCCTTAGGTATTAGAATCTGAACCTGATTTGGAATTGCAAGTCCAGTCTCAGCACTACTGGGCTTGGTTAAATTGTAAAATGCTGTCTGATGGACCTGTTTGCAGGTATTCCTGCTTCTGTGAGTTACCCATGGGTTCCTCTCTTGTGTTGAATAGAAAGCATGCGGGAATCACGAGTTGAAGAAGATGGTGAGGGTAACACTCTACTGGACTGGTAACACGACAGTCCAGTGACAAGCAACTTCAAATCAAGTCCAGATTCTGATATCCGAGGATCTGGTCGGTGCTGGTGATACGCTACATTGTGGAAGGTGCCGTCCTTTAGATGAGATATTAATCCGAGATCCAATCTGTGTTTGTTCAGGTGTACTTTAACATCCACCTGAACAGGCACAGCTGAGAGTTTCTCCCATTTTATCCTGGTCAGCAATCTTCTGGATAAAAAATGTTTCATTCACTTCATGGCTGCTTGTGGGACATTGCTCTGTACAAACTGGTTGCCACAATTGCCTACAAATACAGAGTCACTTCACTTTACAGTAAACTCCTATTGAAGCACTTTGACATGCTTCAATGACGTGACAAAATGCTATATCAAATGTAAGGATTACTATTGTCTGAATCCATGTAGGCCTGTGGTACTGTATGTAGAAAAGGAGAATGATAATAATATACTTTACATAGAGACCCACATCATTCCGCAAATATTTTCCACAACTGTTGAAACTTCTATGAATACAAACATGATTGACTGTGTATAGACACTCTCCAAAGTAAATACCTACAGTGTTATTGGAAGCATGCGCTGACCTTACTACCCCAGGACTTTATTAAAACTGCGGATCTAAACTCCTCAACCTCCCTGGGCTCTCCCTCAGACTCACCGAACCAGTCCACAACCTAGGCGTCTGTTTCAACTCCCAACTGTCCTTCCTCCCCCACATCTGGTCCCTGACCAGGAACGCTTTCTTCCACCTCCGCCACAATGCCCGCCTCCAACTGTACCATACCCCAAATGCAGCTGAAAACCTTGTGCATGGGTTTGTCACCTCCCGCTTGGATTACTCCAACGCACTTCTCACCGGTCTCCCCAGCGCCACCATTCAAAAAATCCAGTTCATTCAAAACTCTGCTGCCCGCATACTGA